TCTATTTTTATTCATCTGGAGGGTATGCCAAAGTAGGTTGAGAAGAAATAGTCTGTATACCATGCAGGGAATATATATTTAATTTCTGAAATATGTCTAGAGCTATCCTGCCATTTTCAGAGCCACAGGATTCAAGCTATAAATTTCTATTGAGTTGCAGTTGCAACAAAAGTGCAGATTGAGATTGGGTCAAGACTCAAGAGGCTCTAAAGTTTTAAAAACTTTACAGGTATGTTCCTTGAAGCTGTAGAATTTCAGTATTATGGATAAAATTTTTCAATCAGGCATGGAATATATGATTTATTTTATATATTTACTTTCAAGCCATGACTCAATTCTTCAAGCCATGGTTTTATGGGTTTGCCAGCTGTGTTCCATTTCTTTGAGCCGTGAATTCCATATCTTGGCCATGAAAAGCCATATACAAGCCACAAACTTGTTTACATAGTCACATGCTTGTGTTACCCCAAATAGCTAATTTTACCCTAAAAAAAGTCCAATAATACAGCAACACTAACATTTATCTTCACTTAAGTGGCAACCAAACAAGTGACAATCAGAGGTGGCAGTAGTGCGCTACATGTAGTGGCTGCTACATTTTCAGTAGCGGTAGCGGCGCTACATTTAAGCAATTGTAGCGGTAGCGGCCGCGGCCGCTACATTTAAGCACTTGCAGCGGTAGCGGTAGCGGCGCTACATTTAAGCAATTGTAGCGGTAGCGCCCGCTACATATTTAAGTAGCAACACGAGGTTTTGCCACTACAGTGCTACCGCTACATTTATAGATAAAGCCTTTACATTTTACTCAATAGTATTAAATATTATTAAAAAACCAGCATGATATATGCATAATATAAATTAAAGAATAAAACTGTACAAAAGATTTCGGTGTAATGTTGTCAACCTCAGCCTGTTACTAGTGTCAGAATGTTAGTTGTTACCAGAGGTGGGCAGAAGCGTGCTGCATGTAGAGGCCGCTACACTTCAGTAGCGGTAGTGGCGCTACATTTAAGCAATTGTACCGGCGCTACATTTAAGCAATTGCAGCAGAGCTACATTTAAGTAATTGTAGCGGTAGACCCCACTACATTTTGAGTATGAAGCGGTAACAGTAGCGGCCGCTACATTTCAAAGTAGTGCTGCCCAGCTCTGGTGACAATGCAGTCTGACTGCTCTGCTGTAACCGCAACTACGCAATCTTCAAGGAAATGTTTTGAGTTAACTTTTTTTTTATACATTCTGCAGGATATTTTGGCAGGAACATTGAAGTAATGCATATTTTGAAAGTTTAAATTTTATGAATATACATGTTTGCAAAATGTGAACCCCAATTTTTTCAATCAAACAAAAATACATGACATTAGAGCTGCAAGATTTTATACCTATTTAAATTATATGATATTAGAGCTGCAATATTTCAGAAAAAGGTAGGACTTTTCCCCGACCTGATTTCAGTGTTTTACATTTTTAAATTTCATTGACTCATTTGACTGAAATGTAAGAATTCCTTCCATTAACCATGGCACATTACTAATAATGAGTTATATTCTGAATTTTTAGCACATAAAAATGGAAATGAAGACCTTATGATTGGTTCAGTTGCAAAGAAGTTGCATTTTCCCCAGGATGCAGCAAGTGGGTGAATATTGCAAGATCTTTGGCTACGCATAAGCAGCAAAATGTACGCCTTCAGAAGATCTTGCTGACACATTTGAATTGAAATTATTGTATTTTATATATTTGCGAGCCTTTGGCCAACTATTTAGAAAATAGTTGAAAATCTGAAAGACCGCAAGCACACACAGTAAAGTTTCAGCCTTTTGGTACATTGGAATAAATTCATAGTGACAAAGCAGAGAATAGAGAGTTTTTTAGACTTTCCCTCAAGTTCATTTTTGAGTCCTATAAGTAGACCAGTAAAGTATCATGGATACCACCATTATCATACCAGCATTATCATACTTAAGAAATTGGTTCAAATCTTGAGTTATTGAAGGAATTAAAAATGAACTGATTCCAAAAAAGCTCTGGTTTGCCACTACACATTGGATGATTCAGGATGCAGTGAAGGTTGCCTGGAAATCAGATGCAATGAGTGCAAGTGTTGCTGATTGCAGTGCATGCCGCATGGAGAGTAAGCCTTAAGGGATATACTATTAAAGTTGTTAGAAGCATTTTCTTAATAAAAATTACCTGGCAACTCATCTTGAAAATGGCGGCAATGCTTTGGGCTGTAAATCCATATATTGGATTATTGGTGAGTGAATGGTGATGCTGCTGCCTGCTTGCACCCTGGCACTGGCAGGCTGGCATTTTCCGCTCGAGTCTGCTGGTAAGTTCATGCCTTCATGGTTGAGACTTGAGTGGAGAAATCAGAAATGTAGATTCAGTTGGTTTTTGAGGTGCCGTTGTTTTTGGGCCGAAAACAATGGCACCTCAAAAACTAACTAGCCTTCTAAGATAGTGCATAATGCATCTTGATTATCAGCATCTGTCATTTTTAGGTGGCTACATGTCCATCTCTAGACTATAATTGGTTGTATACTTGTATGATTGTATCCAATATGCCATGCCTATATTATTATTATGTTAATAATGTTGGTATGTGCACTGGTTAATTTAATAGCTCTCCAGAATTCCAGCACTCACTGTCACGGTGAGTCATAAATTATTTATGACTCACCGTGACAGTGAGTCATTCCTAGTTTCCTACTAGAAGATCTAGACCTATTACCTATAATCACCTATTACTAATTATTCTTGCATTTGTCTATATCAAAGATTTGTTTTCTAGTAGACTAGTAGTACTACTACTTTAGTACTTTTAGTACTAGTACTACTACTATGTACTAACTACTATTATACTATATAAACAAAACTTTGGTACCTATAGATTATAAAATACAAGAATTAGTAATAGTTCTAGATTTCATAAAAATCCTATAGACAAACAGAACTGTTACTAGGTCTGAGTAGTAAAAAAATGGTAAAACGATACAGCAAAAATGCTACTCTTCTGACTTCTCAGTTCTCATTGCCATCGCCTACCTAAATATCAATCTTATTAAAGGACAAAACCTCAAACTATGTTAACTATCCATACTTCCTTAGTACGTATCCTAAATACCTGAATTACTTGAAGTCTAGAACTATTTCTCACACATTGGTACATACATCCGCGGTCCGCCTCAAGTTCAACCGCAGCTTTGACGAGAATATCCTAGTCTCGTGCCAAGTTGCCAACAGGGTAATATGATCTTCTATTGATCTTGATCTTCTATTAGTTGACGGCGTGTTCCACCAGAGGTGATTCTCGCCGTAATCTGCTTATTTATTAAGTCTCAGGGCTGGAATCGATGAGTTTTGCCGATGAATTCTTCAACAGCTTTGCAGATGTGCGGCCAGGCAGGGCAGTTGGAGGTGTCTCCTCCCAGCAGTGAAGCAGTGCTGAGTGTAAGAACTCCATGCGAGTTTACTTTATTAGAATACTCGTATTAGGGTGGCAAATCTTTCTAATTGCCTAAAAGGTCAATACAATCTCAACCTCTCAATATACAGGGTGGAGCAGAACCAATTGAGCAGTTTTGAGGTAAAATAAAAGAGTAATGGAGGTACATAAAGAAGAAAGTTTATTTTCCTAGCGGTTAGCATAACATACCATTTTGAATACTTATGTTTTGAAAACAATATCTGGAAGATGTGGGCCATTAGCTGCAACACAATGTTGGAGTCATTTTCAGAGGAGGGAGTAACCGGAACAGTGAATTCCAATCGCTATGCAGCAAAATTTCTTGCAGCCATGATGGAAAACATTGTTGAAAATGAAGCATTGAGAGACATGTGGTTCCAGCAGGATGGGGCTACAGCTCACACAGCCCGAATGTCACTCAATGTTTTGAATCGCATGTTTCCTGTAGGTCTGGTGTCTCTGAGGGGTGATTTACAGTGGCCTGCGAGGTCACTTGATTTGAGCATTTGCGATTTCTTTCTTTGGGGACATCTAAAAGAAAGGGTGTTCAGAAGTTGCCCTCACACCCTACCACAGCTAAGGGGACAGATTATTGCAGGAGAAGTTATGGCCATACCTCGCCATATGTGTGAACGTGCTGTAGAAAACTTTCTAGAACAACTCCAACAGTGTGATGCAGCTAACAAACCCCATCTTCCTGATATTGTTTCCAAAACATAAGTATTTTAAATGCTATGTTATGCTAATCATGAGGAATATAAACTTTCTTCTTTATGTACCTCCATTACTCTTTTATTTTGCCTTAAAACTGTTCAATCAGTTCTGCCCCACCCTGTATAAGCTAGCTAACACATTTAAACTGTATATTGTAATCAATATATAACAAAAAGTCAAATAGTTGGACTACTTATAGCCTTATAAGAATTAGCTAAGCTGCTAGCTACGCACAATGTATTGCACACTTGATGCCTCTGTACCAAAAACATTCCATTTATTGGAACCTAATACACACTAAAGGCAACAAGTTTATATACCAATTTGTCGTTTATAGTACATTTATACTAAAGCATGAATTACAATACCTCAATATAAGTTAAAGACTGCCACTCAATATTTTTAAATATATGAAAAAATCAAAAAAATCAAAAAAATCGAAAAAATCAAAAAAATCATGATTTTTTTATAAAAAAATCAAGTGATTTAATCACATGATTTAATCATTTTGATTTAATCATTGCCAACCCTGGCAGCTGCTACTGTTGATTTTGCTTCCTGAGTTGTTTTAGAGTAAGCTTTCCTGTTTGAGGGTGTTGGGTGTCGGTAGAATAGCTTGCGTGCTTTCCTCCTTGCATGCACCGCCCGAGCACAGGCTGATGTCCACCATGGGCATCCTGGCCGATGTGGGCGAGTTGATTGTCTCAGTGGGAAGTGTTGCTTGCTGTGCTCCACCACTGCCAATGAGAAAGCCTGATAAGATTCTTGTGGAGTGTCTCCTCGAGGAATGGATCTGTTTGAGAGAGCCGCTGTCCAAGCCAAGTGAAACTGAGTATGAGTGGTAGGGAGAGGCACCGAAAAACAGGTCCAAAACTGAGCCTGTACCCGAGTGTGGGTCTAGGCGGGTAGGAATGCCAGGAGTGTTAAGGAGCAAGAGAGGGGTCTTGCTAATGGCATTGAAGAGAGAGACTCCTGCCTGGTTTGGTTTGGTATGTGGGCAGCTCCAAAGTGGATGATGGGCATTGAAATCACCACAGATGAGGTCTCGAGGCCCAATGTGGGAAAAATAATGTTCAAATTCAGCCTGTGTTATAGGGAGGCAAGGGTTGTAGAAGAGAAAAATTTTTGACCATGATCCCCTGTGGGCAGTGTCCACCGCCAAGGCCTGCATCTGTCCATCTGCAATTGGTTCCAAGTCTGTAGCTCTCTGTTGTAGATGGACACCAACTAGGATGAGCAGTCCTCCGTAGCCATCTGCTCTGTCCTGGCGGTAGGTCATGTACCCTGGGAACCGTGGCGAGTGCCAATTTTCCAGGTGGGTTTCTGTGATGCAGACTACAGAGGGAGTTGAGTGCGACAAAAACAGCTTTAGCTCTGAGAGTTTTGACATGAGTCCTCGGGCATTCCAGAGGAACACTGATTGGAGCGGCATTAGACTGATGAGACTTGGCTAGTCAGCGAGGCGAGAAGAGGCTGCAAGACTGCGGCTATTGGGTTGTCCAAGGAGGTCAGATATTCTGATAAGGCGTGCATGCATTGTACAAAGAGTGATTTGAAGAAGTTGGCAATGAGATCAGTGAAAGAGGCTTTTTGTATAGGTTCTTCTGTTGGGTTGACTGCTGGGGCTGATTGATGATTTTGTGTGAGCTGAGTCAGGGCGGGGAGAGGGTCCAGAGAGTCAGACCAAGACTCCCCACTCAGTATACGGTTATATTCCTCCGTCAGGTGTTGTGGGGTAGGCAAGCTTGGAATTTTCCTCTTGCGAGAGGGGGTTTCCAAAGGTGTACAGTGCTGCCCTGGGGTTAGGACTGATGAGGCATATGAGGGCCGTGAAGCGGCAGCAACATAAGCAAGGCTTGGGGCCACGATTGATGGGCTTGCTTTTGGTAAGGATGCAGGTGTGTTCCCGTTTGTTTTTGCCTGTTGGCTGGGGATAGTTTTGGTTGGCATATACAGAGATGCATATTCTTTTGCTGCCATCTCGCGGGTGAGCTCCCTGGCAGCTACCCGGGATGAGATGGCAAGGGCCTTCTTGTAGAAGGGGCAGCGAGGAGATGATGCAGGATGAGCACCCCTGCACGATGCACAGCATGGGTTTTCAGCATCACAGTTCTGGACCACATGGTTGGGTGATGAGCAGCGGGCACATACTGAACGTCTTCTACATGATATGGCACCATGTCCAAACCTTTGACAGCCATAGCAGCGAGGAGGAGGTGCAAGGTAGGAGTGTACGTTGAGGGCTACATTGTGAAAAAATACCTTATCTGGTACAGCTGAGGAGCATTCAATTGCAATGCGCATTGAAAGAAACTGGCTATTGTTTGGGTCTGTTACAACATGACTTGGGTATAGCTTCTTTATGGATATTATTTTATTTGAGTTTTGGCTGGAAGGCAATGTGAGCTGGGCAATCAGGTCTTCTGTTGAGTAGCTTAGTATGGACTTGTCTTCCATATCAGTCAGGTCAAATACCACTTCTCCTTGGTAAAGGGGTGGGGTTTTGGGAATGCGGATAGTATATTTTATGCCATTGTGCTCATGGGTATGCTCTGAATTGGTAAATCGGTTTAAATTAGTAGCAGGTACTTCCATGGTCAGGAAGATGTGCCACGTGCGCGGGAATTTATTTTGTCATTTTAACGACCTGCGCGGTGCGCCGTACTACGTTGGTAAAAAAATGCGCCGTGCGCAGTACTTTAGAAAGCTAAATAGTTCTACTATTTTAGTCGACAATATACACGAGTATATTGACTACACGAGTCGAACTGACAATAATAAAATGTAAGACATATCCGGGTTACTTCTGACTCTTCCGGTTGTCCGCCTCGTTGGCTACGGAACGTACGGTAATCGTTAACTGTGGCTGTTATACATACGAAATGTAAACAGATGGTGTTCAGTGTTGCCATATGACTTTGGAGAAAATTTCTTCTAAAATAAAATAAAGATGGCTGGGATTGCGCGAACACGTGCGCGAAGATAATCAATTTTCATTACATTGCGCGAACTGTGCGCAGCAATAGCTTAAAAAAAGTGAAAATGCGCGGGAAAATTCACCGAAAACATACATCATCCTGAGTGTGGAGGTACTTTACCAGTGATTAAGGTGCCTTTGGCATTGCGATGCAGGCTGTCTGGTTCAATGAGCTGCAGCGCTGGCCAGTTCTTGAAGGTTTGGGCAAAAAAGTTGAAGGGTAGTGATTTTTTGTCTTCTCTCATCAGTAAGCATGTAGTTTGGGTAGGCTTGTCTGCTAGTATGGAATATATCTACTTGGCGAGCCGCGACTGAATTTTGCGAGCAGTGGTTTTATGGATTTGCCAGCCGTGATTCCATTTCTACAAGCCGTGATTCTATTTCACCGAGCCGTGAATTCCATATCTCGGCCATGAAAAGTCATGCCAATCACTGGCGAGTCTGAAGGGAAGCCATCGAAGTCAGTTAGATCGGTCATGGATTCACTGAAAAGTTCTTCTGGTCTTCCAGATGATGACTCCGCCATGCTTCTTGCTTTCACACCAGTTTCTGTCAGTTCTCAAACGAAAAAAAGAGAAGAGATTTGAATTGGTTCTGGTTTTTGCGCACTTTGATTTTCAGGATTTGGACTTTTCAAAACTTTGGCACAACACGTCTTATCACCAAGAACGATCGATGGAAACTGAGAAACGATCTTCCACTTCCTCAGTCCTCACCAATCCCAAGCGAGCTGAGCCGATCCGAATAGCGGATGAGCCGCGAATGGCCACTTTTCCGCAGATACATTTGTTGAAAGAATACGAATTCATCTAGGCAAGTAAATTTTTAGCCAATTCTGAGAGTTTGAAATAGTTAGTTTGATTATAGGGAATATGTAGCTAATGTTATTCAAAGATGTGCCAACTATGCAAAGAATAATGACAAAATAAATAAAAACATGTCTCTGACCTATGATGAAAAACACTTAACATAACATAGTGATGTCGGCGCTGAAGTGTAGGCCTGATGTGGCCTGTCGCCAATTCTTTTACACGTGATTAATTTTCTTCCTTGTTCACAGAAGATCTAAAATCGTGTCATTTGACCGGATCTTTTCAGGACTGACGAAAGTTTGAAATAGCTACTAGACTTCCCCGGGTTCGATATGGTGCTAGGCATTTCAAATCTGAACATACATTTTTCCATAGCTTTATCTAGTCTGTTATTGAACGCGTTCATACTTGGAGAGTCAACTATGTAATCGGGGAGGCTGTTCCACATGTCGATGATTCGAAGCGAGAAGTAATGTTGTCGCGTGGACAAGTTGCAGCGCAGTTTTTTTAGTTTATAGCCGTGGCTCCTGGTGTTAATTCTTGTTTCAAATTCTAGTAATACTTCGGGGACTTTCATATGCAGATAACTTGCGCTGGGTGATGTCATATACTGTAATATGCAGATAACTTTCGCTGAGTGATGTCATATACTGTAATATGCAGATAACTTTCGCTGAGTGATGTCATATACTGTAATATGCAGATAACTCGCGCTGGGTGATGTTATGTACTGTAAAATACAGATAACTTGCGCGTGGTGATGTCACCGGGAAAGTTTGCCAACCTTATCAGGCATATTCGCTGTTAAGTGACAAGTGGCATCATCTCACCTGGATGATAGCATATCTGACAGCAATTTTCAACTTATTTTCGCGTGACTGACTGAACAGAAACTATATTTTGTGATGCAATATTTCAAGCTGAAGTCGAATTTCAAATTAAAATTTGTTTACCAACTCTGTTTCTTAAGCTGTGTATTGATACAATTATACTTATGTATTATATTGTGCATTAGTATATAATTCCATTTTATTATTAGTGTATATGTATTATTATATTATTATTAAGTTAATCTTTATATTAAAAATAGATCACGATACAAGAGTTAAGACAGTTCACGTTTGACGCTTTAGGGCTCGTCACGTCAGTTCACTTACTCGCTTGTTCGTAACTTCTGGACATTTTCTTGCTACTGTACAATAGGAATGTGCCATTGGCGAGGTGCTCCATGTTATTCTGGTACCGCTTTTTCTTGTTGCACAATCCCGATAAGGGGCCTTAACAAAAATTTTCACCGGACTTAGTTTTAATGTATATGCCGAGGAAGCAGGAAAATTTTACTACGCTATATATGTGCTACATGAACTACATTCATGACACTAGATTCTAAAGATCGTCTTGGGCTATACCCGCTTAATAGTCTTTTCTGTGAGGAGTCCCCATTCTTTATTATCGTGCTAAATATTTAGTTCATCTACCGAATCACTCATTATTTGACAACAATGTATAACATGTTTTGCCAACAAAAATATTGCTCAGACCGACTGTGTCTAGTCTACTGCCGAAAACAGTCAATCTAACATCAGCTTGAAGTAGATTCAACTGCTGCAATCTGGATCACAATAACTCAGCCTTTTATCTCGGACCATATCATGGAGTTATTTTTGAGAGATTCGATGAGGTCATCTACAACTGCAGTGCCTATTTAGAAATGTTACGTTTTCCGAAATTGATGACTCCGAAGTTTCAGCATTATCACCAACATCATCATCACTGACCTCAGTTAGCAAGTTGGTTGGTGGGGTCGCCTCAGCAATTGAGTCGCCGGCCTCCGATAGAAACGATCTATTTAGTAAACAAAACTGAACCTCATTTTTCTTTTGTGATCAAAACACCTTCGTAATCATCATGTGGTTATCAAACCTTACAAATATAGTATATAGTAGTTCTGTCCAGTATTATACTTTTTAAGTGACATTGGTCGAGGTAAGTGAATGATCTTCCTGGTGACGGTCTATCCTATCAAAATTTGGAGCCGCCTATAGGCTTCGGCTGAATATTCACTACACTCGAAGCAAAGTTATTCTGAGCCTGCTTGGCCACCCGATCAAAATCAGTTTCTGCTCAGAACACCTTTCCGACTTTATAGTCGCCTAAGACTAAGAGTATGATAAGGGTTGGGCGAATCGAGTCATACCTAGCTAGCAAGCTGCTTAGAGGCTGTCATTTGTAGCTTCCTCGCCGGCAACCATCCTAACTTCAAATTAATCCACTACATAAATAGCTCATATTCTGTGTCAACCTGCTCAGATAAATTTTTCTCCTATGGTATTTCATCACCAGCTCTGTATCCGAAAACAATGAAGCTTAATTAACGTATTCTAACCTCGCATCTCCCAAACCTCTGTATACCTTGATAGTTTTAATTCAGCATTGGCTACCGAGTACCGATCTTTACCCATTTAAACCCTGAACCGAAGCGGACATGGAGCGGCTGATTTACGTGTTCCCCGAGTCCATGGCGGCACCAGAAGCAAGGTCGCCACAGTCTCAAAATTTTTACAGATATAGACCTTAAGACATTGGTATCGAGGCACTTAAAATAGTATTGGTTAAATCCCCTTCTTTGTGATGCCTTGATCTAAGGAAAATTCTTTGCAAAAATAGCAAACGGTATCATGATCAGTTGGTTGCTGGTCTCTCAACTAATGGGAGGAGCCCGGCGGGGTTAATGTTCTTGGTCTCTCAAATTCCAGCCTGAATATAAATGGCAGGCTTTCTTGGTCTTGAAATAGAAATGCTTACAAGCAGTAAGACAAATGTGACGAGCTCAGTAGGGTTGTTCCTGTCTCTCAACTTCAAGCCAGAGTACAAATGGTAATTGTTTTCTTGGTCACTAACGTGATGGTACGTTTATGAGAAACCAATGTCACTTCGCTACAGATATATAACAGAACAAATAAAGATTATTAACGCGCTTTCTTGGCATGTTTGATGACAATTAAAAAAATAACATCAATATATTTTATGATAAAGTCTAAATCTAAATCATGTAAATAAAGCAGCCAAAAGCTAGAAAAGCGCGTGAAATACAGAGCTCGGTTACAGAAGAAATTAATACTTTATAAGAAAAACCATTAGGATACCACTCGATAAACCTCAAGTGATAACTTGAAAATTAGAGCTAAACATAATTTTCTAACATAAGATTTGAGTTAAGAACTTTTGAATTAGTTTATTTCAGCTACTTATTACAACACTTCCCTTTAACTTCACTTATTGTTTGTTTGTTTGTCTGTCTGTCTGCTACAAATCTTATAATCAAAATATAACACACTTCTACTTATCCTATCGATCTGAAATTTGGCACACTTGCGTAAAGTTGGAGACAATGCAAGAATCAAATGACAAAATAAATGATTTTGAAAAAAATTTTTTTTTTTCAATATTAAAAATGTAAAAAAATAATTTTGTTAGATACAAATCTTATAACTGATATTTGACACACTTTTACCTTTCCAATTGATCTGAAATTTTGCACACTTGTGTGAAGTCGGAGGCAATGCATGAATCAATTGACAGAATAAACAAATTTGAAAAAATTATAAATTTAAAAAAATTTGAAATTTTTTTTTTAATATTCGAAAATAAAATCAGAAATTCATTGTACATCTTTAACATTGGAAACACTGGATTTTTTAGAAGTGTTGTCCTTAAAAAGTAATTTTTAAACGTATATTATGCATATTGCTTTGTGTTAGGCGACTTTATTAAGTAGCACCTGACTGATTATATTTCTACTTGAGAACATGGATTCGTTGACGAAGTGCGTGAGGGAGGTAAGATGGTAAGACAGCATCTGCGTGCGTGATGGTGAGATCACGCACGGTAAGACCATCGGTAAGACCACGCAGCGGTAAGACCATCTGTCTAGAGAATTTATCTTGATATGGGGTGGTTATACATGAGTGATACGATACAGGCATAGGCTAAGACGTCGAAGGTGTCTTAGAAGACGTCAATCTCGTGTCTCTGGAACATTCAATTCAGTGATCAATCTCGTATCTCTGGAACATTCAATTTAGTGATCAATCTCGTGTCTCTAGAACATTCAGTTTAGTGTCACTGCAACTCTCAATATCGTGCCCGGATAACTTCACCACTGTGTCTGGATTCACCACGCGACCACGAGCACATCACCAAGCCGAGCACATCATCTTCATCAGCAACCCGTTCCTCCTATTCCATCGGGATCACCATCATCGAGCAGGTCACGTGAGCTAAGCCAATAAATCAACTTATCAATTAATTGTTTGTTTGCTTAACCAACCAAATTCGTCCTGCCGATCACTATGTTTCTGTCTGTCTTTAGTGAACAATTCAAGTTAGCTACCTAGGCCGTTCAAATTCCCTGATTCATTGGAGTTAAACGCAGTTAATGTGGAGTGGCAAATGAAACCCCCACACTCTCAGTTACACAGTGGACCCAAAGCTAACTAGGTATGCTGATAAACACATCAGGATTTGTATCCACAAACTATTCTCGGACGTATAAAATTTTTTATCTTGTCTAATGTAGTGAGCAAGCAGCTTGACCCTCTGCTCTACGACAAATGATGTCATCTCTTCTTGATGATAACAAATGGCAGCGATCACCTTGACTGATAATGAGGATCCATTATGATGATAATAAGGAAGAAATGACTTGCAGTAAGATGGCCGTGTGAGCCTTTGAGCTGATTACTCATAATCTCGAGTTCGATAACTTTGTCAACAGTCACGGTCACGGCAGCGGGTGTGACGGTCGTCTGGTTTGCAAGGAACCTCGTACGAGATCGTTACATAATTCATGAAATCAAAATGTGGTGTTTTAATCGTATTTTGATTTGTGTATTTATCTACTGACTTATGTTTTCTCCAATGTTAGTTGGTTATCTTGTTACTTATTTTAATGATAAAATCACCAACTGATTCATCATTAAGTTATAAACCTCCGAGAAAAATATCGGGCGGAATGCCGGCTAACAGTTCCCTTGATATATGCATGGGGCCTTAAAAAAACGTGTTTCCTGATTGCAAGTTCAACTCAATCTCATTCCTCCTGCATGAGATATGCGGTCCAGCGGGACGCTTCGTCAAGTCTACCGTCAAAATGAGATCCAATTTGCACGACTGAACAAACTCTTGGAGATTAATACGTTGAGCATAACGTACATGGATGTTTTCTCACCTCACAGAGCTCCTAACAACACATGACTGCGTATGATGTTACAACACCAAGCAGTTTAGCTCTGAACAGGCTAACGGGGTAAGGTTTTTTATCCAGCTTCAATCAAATCCAGGATGACGTTGATGTCTCAATCCCCCTACACGACATGTCGCAATTATCTTTAAATTCCCGTGCACCACCAGTGGGATCAAAAGTAAGATGCCTTATTATCTTAAAATCTTATTTTTAATGGAGATTTGAGGAGTCTAATTGTACACGACGATTTTAGAACTGTTGATGGGCACAGAAATTTGAAAGTATGAGTAGAGGTCCGCTGTGCTATCAGAGCCATCAGACGAGCTATCCAGTGATGATGGCTGTATGATAGCAGAAGCTTCTATTGATCGGTTTCTTAAGTAGAAAAGTCAGAAATATATTAATTGCGATCAGTTGGCTGAGATAACGTGTGCTTGGCGTAGGTCCAGAACCTTGTCCAGAAGACACGGTTTACTTGAGGAAGGAGGGTGGTTAAAATGGTTTGATATTGAACTTAGAAGTTACGAAAAAATATAACGAAAATAAAACGAAAATATGTATTATGTAGGTTGGGGTAAAGGTGATGGTCGTCAAAATAAAGATATGATAGTATAGCAATGACATGAAAAAATAGCATAAAACAATATCGAAAGAACATTGAGAGCTAGCGGTAATTCAGATTTGACATTTACACTTTAAAAAATTAATTACATCATAAGAATTTAACTCTACAGAATAACTTGGCACCTTGCCCCTTATCAGTCCACACGACGCTGGCCATGAAATGAAGCTAAGGCATAACATAGCTATTGTTGCCCGCTGGCGCACTCTAAACAGGATTCGCAATTTTTTAATGGCTATTTTAGAAGTTAAAAGTATTTTTGTCGTTCCTTGAATTTCTATTATTCAGAAATTACACGAATATTATTCATGCTTGAAAATTGATCCTATTTTATTACAACACTTCTCTTTAACTTCACTTCTTGTTTGTCTGTCTGTCTGTCTGTCTGTCTGTCTGTCTGTCTGCTACAAATCTTATAATCGATATTTAACACACTTCTACCTGTCCAATCGATATGAAATTTTGCACACTTGCGTAAAGTTGGAGACAATGCATGAATCAGTTGACAGAATAAATAATTTTATAAATAAAAAAATTTTTTTTTCATTATTAAAAAAAAATAATTTCGTCTGCTACACATCTTATAATCCATATATGACACAATTTGACCTTCCAATTGATCTGAAATTTTTTAATTTTGCAATTGTATAAAGTCAGAGACAATGCATGAATTAGTTGACAGAATAACTAATTTTGAAAATTTATAAAATTTTGATATCTTAAAAAAGTTTTGAAAAATATTTTTTTTAATAATTGAAAATAAAATTAGAAATTCATTGTACATGTTTAACATCCAAGACACTGAATTGTTCAGAAGTGTTGTCTTTAAAAAGTAATTTTTAAACGCATATTATTTTTATTTGATATTTTACAATTTCAGAATAGTGAACATTTAAGTGAATAGTTAAATTTTAGCTAATAAGGTTACATGAAGCTACTAAAAAATGGTGTTCAATGAGCTTGAAGATTTAATACAGATAATTATGACGTTCACAAGAATAATAGCGAGACTTATGAATTCGAGTCACTACAAACTACCCTAACTTCCACACTAAAGACCAAACACAAGATCTTGCCAACATAAATTCAGGCAATGAACTATTCATGAGTTTTCGTAGCTGCAGTCTCTAGTTTAAACCACCAAGAGACCTCAGACAGACAATCACCTGTTTTGTGAAAAAGTGTGTTGCGGAAGACATCTTCCAAAGACCACACCACGATTGACAGCCGCAAAACCTGTCCTCTTGCAAAGACTGTTGTGTCTGTTTTTCTACAGTCTGTGCTGATTGTCTTACAAAATCCATACGCTCGAGAGCCTCAACTTGCTGATCTATGGACTGAGGACGCACACCATAGTCCCGCTTTCTGAATTTGCTTCTTCGTGAACACAGTCCGAACAAGAGTGTATACTCAGTTACTCAGCCTGCTTTGGGGATGTGTAATCTGTTATTGTCACGTGTAATGTGTTTGAGTGGGCTCTGTCAATGCAATAGTGCTGTGCTGGTGAACGGCTGGTGATGTGCAATATGTCAATACACCTGCTGTTATGGTGTTGTTCTGGTGCAGCGCTGGTGCTGTACATTATGTCAATACGCCTGCTGTTATGGTGTTGTTCTGGTGCAGCGCTGGTGCTGTGCATTGTGTCAATACGACTGCTGTGCTAATGCTGTACACTATGTCACCACACTTATGATCTGCGACTAATTTATCCACAGGCGTATTCAATTTTGTATCAAATACCCATCGCAAAAGACAGCGGATATTCGAAGCCATCAGCTCGTCCACTGAGCAAATGCGTGGGCCTCGCTCGCATTGATGATCCATTAAGCCTAATTCTTTAGTCCTGCTCATTAAGGCACGGCCTTCAACCCTTGCCCATGAAACCTACTCATTAGTCCTGCCATTCAACCCATGCCCATTAATACTGCGTATTAATCCTGCAAATTAGCACTGCTCATTAGTCCTGCCCATTAAGGCGGCCGCGGCGATGGACGCAAACGTCGTCCTCGTTGTCCTGCTGCTTGGGTGCGTCGGAGCCCTGCATGCCAGTCAAGATGTCCGCGACTTCCTAAGTGCGCAAGAACTTGAATATATGCATAAAAGGTGAAGTATTAGCGTATCACAAGCAATATATTCTTATAAATATATGGCTGCATCGATTTATTATATTGAATTGTTATTTTTCCGTAGATGCAATTAGTGTAACTTGACCATAGATGATGAAGCTGCCACCCCTAACTCAAGGGAATTGTCTGTGTTGCAGCAACCACAGCGCGGAGTCGGCCGCACCTTACCGCCCACGATCGTTCCTGATGAACCAAGACTCCATCAGAGAAACTTTCAACAAAATCTACCAATATTACCTGCCCATTCCTGAGAGCCTTAGTCCCAACCACGGCCTGAGGCCGGCGGCGAACCTGACGAAGGAGTGCGCGCGGGACGTGGCCGCCGTCTACGCGGCCTTCCAGACGTCGCGGCCAGGGCTTCGTCCTGACCAGAACCTGCGAGTCTGGGCGGTGCAAAGTCAGTCCCACTCCGCCGAGAGTCTTGGGAGCAACTCAATTAGTGAATAATAAATTTTTATTAACTCACATTAGTTTATGGCAGCCATCATCTTTTGTTCTCTTTTATACTTGGTGACGGTTACGGTGACCCGATTTGACGGTTGGGCAGTGATGGACGCCTGGGGCAAGGCTGAGGACGGCGTGCTGAGCGGCAACGGCCGCTGGCTGGGCTTCTTCGATCAGTGCTTGGCATCCACGGGCGTCTCTCAAGACGTCCCTGATGACCTCACCACCGACGTCTCCACAGACGTCGACGTTACCACCGACGTTTCTAGAAACGTGGTCGTCAACGTGACGTTCAGAGGACAGTACTGCATCGTCACGGCGCTACCGTCCAAGTGAGCGCGGTTTAAATAATATCAGAAATGATAAGAATTCTTTTAAAACTTATCGTCTCTTCTGAAAAGGCCGCGACGAATTCACTATAAGCTTATTATTAGTCGTTGGTTTTCATTAAGAATTTGGTTGTTTACCTTCAAGATAAAATGCTTTTAACGATAAAACTTAATGAAATTTTGGCGCAGGTTGGTTTTTGTTTCTCAGGCTGAACTTTAGATTCATTGGAAACTCTCTCAGATAATTAGGACCTGGACGGACCTAGAGGCGGAATTGGGCCGCCCCATTTATTACTATAGGCCGATATGGGGCCATCACTACCCGGGTCTAGAACCATATTGGCAGCTAGCAGCCGTAGCAGGTCACCACTAAGCAAGCCTAGAGGCCTAGGGCGGCAATTATAAATTTATTGACGTCCGCTGTGGCCCTCAGGACGTCGCTGCTGAAGGGCCTACTGCCGGTGCAGTACGCGACCTGCATGCCTTCGTCCTGCACCGAGCAGGAGTTGGAGGTGAGTGACCTGCATCCCTTCGTCCTGCACCGAGCAGGAGTTGGAGGTGAGTGGCCTGCATCCCTTCGTCCTGCACCGAGCAGGAGTTGGAGGTGAGTGGCCTGCATCCCTTCGTCCTGCACCAACTCCATACGGTGGCGTAACTTCATATCATTAAATAAATATAAGAGGCGTAAATTCTATCAATAAATACTAATTATTTTTATAATTATTCCTTAACGTTGACGAATCCGATTTATTTCAAAATTTAAATTATTTAAGCTAAATCATCATGACTTTACACGTGACACTTGGCTGCCAGTAACCGTGTACACCTGTCTCTTATACACATCTAGATGTGTATAAGAGACAGGATAAATAAAGGAACACTGCAAGATGAATTGAGAACATAAGCTTACTAGAATTAACTATAACCATAATCCAATATAATGAATTAACTTCTTCAAACTAAACCATATCAGTCAGAGATGAATACAAACAAAGTAAAAGCAAGGACAAAACTTAACCAAAATTATCAATGAATAAATGATATAAATTTATATGCCACTCACCAGTGCAACTGAGTGCCCAGGCTGAGATACTGAGTAGGAATTCAAATACTTAAAGAGTGATAATTCAAGTTTGCAAATTATGCTTTGGTCATCTACACTGAAAAAGATAAAAATATTGAATTTAATTTAAATTGAGTTGGATTGAGAACTGAAGAAATATGGTTACAGATAAAGAAAGACATGAAGGTTGGGCTACACAGTAGCCTAATTTAACCTCCGGTAACAACGTTTGTTGAAGATCGCGCATAGTTGCGGTCATGTCAAAGCGGTCAGACTGTATATTAACACGTGCTGAACTTACAGTAGAGACAAATTTTATTGTTGCCGTTTGACTGTTTAAGGGTAAAATTAGAGATTTGGGGTAACACGCGCATAAACTTTGTAAATAAATTCGCATTCGCACCTCGTAAATGGCTTTTCATGGCCGAGATGGAATTCACGGCTCGGTGAAATAGAATCACGGCTTGTAGAAATGGAATCACGGCTGGTAAATCCATAAAACCACGGCTCAAAAAATTCAGTCGCGGCTTGCCAAGTAGATATATTCCATACTAGTTAGTCTCTCGTAGACACTCATTTCTACACACTGACTCGCATTAAGCTGCGCGGTTCAGCGTCTAGTTTGGACACCATACGTGCGGCGCTGCTCTGCTTGAAGCATCAGCCAGCGTACGCGTGAACGCTTTTAGTCTGGCCGTAGCCTTAAGCCTACGCCCTTCAAGCTTCAACGGATTACCTACAAAAAAACAAAGAATAATAGTATTGATAAATATAAATAATGATGGAAATAATTACAATTTTGCAGTGATCTTTGAGAAAAATAGGTCAGTAGACTTTCCTTTGTTAAAGTTCGTCCTTCGAAGCCAGCGCACAATCAGCGCCTTGTCACCATCTTCTTCTTTCTTTGCAGGGTGTCCACTTGGAGTGGACTTAAAGCCGCAGGTCTGCCAGATGGATGACCGTTGGGCCTGAGAGCTTATAGCTTGTGGTGTGGTGCTGGTGTGGTGATGCATGTGGTGGTGTGGTGCTGGTGTGGTGATGCATGTGGTGGTGTAGTGCTGGTGTGGTGATGCATGACGTGGTGGTGTGGTGCTGGTGTGATGATGCATGACGTGGTGGTGTGGTGCTGGTGTGATGATGCATGACGTGGTGGTGTGGTGCTGGTGCAGTGGTGTTTGAGTGTTGTTGTGGTGACAGCAGTGCTGTGCTGTGACAGCACTAACGCAGTGTTTGTTGCAGTGTTGTGCTGTGACAGCACTAACGCAGTGTTCGTTGCAGTGCTGTGCTGCTGCTGATGGTCCTGCCTGTGGTGGCCGCCACTGTCGCTCACCTCGCCACGGGTGAGACGCCGTGGAATACAGTGACTTGATAGCCCCTATTATGATCCTCCATTACGATACCCCATTATAATACCCCATTATGATCCCCCATCATGATCCCCATGTCACTGATCCCCATCACAGCTTAATTCCCCATCACTGCTTCCCCTTATGACACACTCTGAACCGCAACAATCCTGCTGACACTTTCGGGGCTTGTCCACACCCAGCCACCGGGATGTGGATGCATGGGGGATGTGATCTGGGAAGTATGGAATAGATTGGATGGTGTCACAGTTTGCACACAATATTCTATACATAAACTTATTACCTGCAGGTCGCTTGCCGGCGTACGTGAAGGCGTTCTCCCTGAAGGAGAACCTGAAGAAGCTGGCGGCAACCGCAAACATCTACGCGCGTAGAGACATCACTGCTCTGCACGGCATCAGGTGAGGACTTCTTAGGGTAGATTTTGTTTATTGATTTTGTTGAATCAGGTGACTTCTCGTGTACTGTACATTAGTGCCAATTAATTGTACTTATTTCCAATTTGTTTTAGCTTTTATGAATCTGCCTGGTGTCTTCCCCGTCCGTGTGGTTGAGAATCTGAAGCGTCTGGTACTGAACAGAATCAACGTCATCTGTAACTCTTTGATAACTTCATTTGGAAAAATTATTCATTTGGTTGTATCATTAGGAGATTAGGGGATAGATTAGATTAGGGGATAAAAATTTAGCTGTTTTCATAAGGCCATCATATAATCATGTCGATCGGTCATCTGCAACACGTTGCTGCTGCAGCGCCGAGGCTCACCATATCTTGTGTTGCTCAGGGTGATGTCGATAGCCTGGGTCATCCTGGGTCACCACTACACGCTTGCGTCTAACGTCACGCAGAACATACTCACCATACCTCGGGTGAGCTTTAGAACTAACTAATGTCAGAACAATTTGGCCCCTACACGTAATGTATAGTGTTTGCCAGGATCATATAGTGCCTGCAGGTAGTTTGTACATTTTACCAGGGCCATAGAGCGTCTATCAGTACCTCTGCAGGTTTGAAAATGGTTGAAATTTTATGGCTAATATCGGTCGTACTAATGACCACATATATATAAGTTATTCTGGTAATTAATCAGACTGATGATTACTGTATGATGTTGAAATTTTCGTTCAATGAACTCTATTTCAGATGACGGAGCCCTGGACCTTCCAAATGGTGTGGGCTGCCAACTACGCCGTAGACACTTTCTTCACTCTCAGTGGCCTGCTCACCACCATGGCCATCATGAAGACAAACTTCTGCCTGCGTCCAAGTGCATCCCTGCTGGAAGCCAAGCCTAACTCGGAGCACGGGGGGCGTGATGCCGGAGGGTCCAACATCGTCCGCGCCATCAGGCGACAAGGCGCTGCGTCGACAGCGCTTGTGTTCGGCAAAACATACGTTGTCTACGTCGCTCACCGCCTCCTGAGGTCAGCTAACCTTCATTTTTAATAACATTGGCTCTTCAATTGCCTTCCTATACATAAGTGTGATTCTAATTCTTTAAGGAAACATGAACACAAAGTCTATGTCTTTGTCGATGTTTAATATGAGTGTATATTGTTCTCGTTACTAATCACTCATGCTGAGTAACGCGTGCAAGTCGAAGCACAGAACAACTATACTTGCCTCCTCAGGCACCTCGGAAATTCATGTCGTCATGCCTGCCACTCAGTTAATTTCTTCAGAATCCTAAATTAGTTAGTTTATTCAGATTCTAAATTAATTAATGAAGCACATATCGTCCAGAAAGTCCAATATTCCGATAGAAAGTCCGATATATATTTAGATTCTAATGAATGAAGCACATATCGGCCAGAAAGTCCATTAAGTTCATTTCCTAAATTGTGCCGACATTCTTCAACTGATTTTCTCCGAAGTTTTTCCCTGAAGTGTCATGATTTTCTTCTCCTGAACGGCCTCAAAGGAAGTTCCCCCTTAGAACTGCACTGACGTTCCATCCTCAGAATTGCCCTGACGTTCCTTCCTTAGAACTGCCCAGACGTTCCTCCCTTAAAACTGCCATGACGTTCATTCCTCCCTTAGAACTGCCCAGACGTTCCTCCCCTAAAACTGCCATGACGTTCCTTCCTCCCTTAAAACTGCCATGACGTTCATTCCTCCCTTAGAACTGCACTGGCGTTCCATCCTCAGAATTGCCCTGACGTTCCTTCCTTAGAACTGCCCAGACGTTCCTCCCTTAAAACTGCTATGACGTTCCTTCCTCCCTTAAAACTGCCATGACGTTCATTCCTCCCTTAGAACTGCACTGGCGTTCCATCCTCTGAACTGCCCTGACATTCCTTCCTAAGAACTGCACTGACGTTCCTCCCTTAAAACTGCCCTGACGTTCCTTCCTCCCTTAGAACTGCACTCACGTTCCTTCCTCCCTTAGAATTGCACTGACGTTCCTTCCTCCCTTAGAATTGCACTGACGTTCCTTCCTCCCTTAGAACTGCACTGACGTTCCTTCCTCCCTTAGAACTGCACTGACGTTCCTTCCTCCCTTAGAACTGCACTGACGTTCCTTCATCTGAACTGCCCTGACATTCCTATGCCGCCTAGCCCGGGTCTCTAGGATACAAAGGCGGTCTAGGCACCTGCATGACGGCAGCTTAAATTGTGTAAGGTCCAAAGAAAGCTTGATGTTTCGTGAACGTTTACTTCTTAAAACCACCATAAATCCTACACAATCAGAATTTAATTAGAGATAGTGCAAAATAGAAATGAAATCAAATATTAAATTTAGTATTATAGAAGTTCAAAGACATGGTTTACAATTTGGCTTCCACTAGAAATCAATTTTAATATAAATTGAAATTTTCCCCACCACTCAAATATAAGAAAGGTGAGCATTCCACAGCTTGAATTAAAAAATTCTCATCGCTTGAAATCTAGCCATGAAGACACGTAAGACAAGTCTTGATAACAATAAACGTGAACCGGAATATTCACAGCGCTCATACTAGCAGAATAAGGTGAAATCCGAGGCACAAGAGGTGGCAAACACCGTGATAACTAGTAGCTAAGGCAAATGCAAAACATACCAAGCTCTAAAGCAAATCAGTTTCTTAAGATATTTTTAATGCTATAGTAACCTCGATTTCTATACTGGCCACAGCCACAGGTTGGCTTAAAAATTGAACACGAAACTGGCCGCTGTATTACATTTGCAATGAAAATAAGCCCTAGTCGAACACTGATTACTCACGTTGCTCTGGGGTTGCCAAAATATTGCGCTTAACTACGTACTGAACATTTTATCTTTATTTTTTCAATACCTGCGTCCTGCGCAAAAAAAACACAGAGTTCGTCATACGTTGGAAAATACAAGATAGCAAGACAAGCAATTTAATTCCGGAATCCTTTAATTTTACTGTACTGCCTTCCTTCTCCACGCGACAAAATTTCTTCTCGCTTCGAATCACCGACATGTGGAACAGCCTTCCCGATGACATCGTTGGCGCTCCAAGTATGAACGCGTTCAAGAACAGACTAGATAAAGCTATGGAAAAATATATGTTCAGATTTGAAATGCCTAGCTCCTTATCGAACCCGGTGGTACACGAGTTTAGATCTATGAACAAGGCACGAAATGGAAAAGAATCGGCGACAGGCCACATCAGGCCTACACTTCAGAGCCGACATCACTATGTTAAGAGTTTTAGGTACGATTTGTATGAATTTTTACACTAAAAACAAAATTTTCGTCGCAAATATGGCACGAAAAGAGCTGCAGCGTTCTTCCGCGGTAGAGCACGTTCTGTTTTGAATGTTAGAGTCGGTTCTGTTTCCAACTCGCGGGAAAATCTTCGGGGTTGGCGAGAAGTTTTTGTTTTCTGAACCTTCGCATTAATATTTATTTTATAAACGTGACAATTCCTTCCTCTGAACTGCTCTGACGTTCCTTCCTCTGAACTGCCCTGACGTTCTACCTCCAGACCTGCCTTGACGTTCCCCACTTGACATGCCCCGACGTAACTCTCCTGAAGTGCCCGTCTATGCAGGATGACGCCCACGTTGTTGCTGGTCATCATGTACTGCGCCGGGCCTTCACTTTATTTCATTGACGGGCCGTTCCGTAGAGGTTATCACGATCTTTACCTTAAGAACTGCCGGCAGAACTGGTGGGTTGACCTGACGTTCGCATCCAACTACCTGTACAAACATCCTTCGGTGAGTGTCATGTGTACCTGATGTAAGTGTATATTTGGACGTAATATATATGTGTAATTTCTTAACCTGTATGGCTTTTTTAATATATTTTTAATTTGTAATTTAGAGTCCATCCAACCTCCCATATGAAAGTACAACTCAGTGCCCATCTAACCTTCCATCTGTACAGGTATATAGTTCCATCGTCAGTTTGGTTGTCTGAAATTCAATCTGTTCATAGATTTTACATGCTTGCAAGACTGAAGCTTTCATTTGTTGATATAGAACTTCAATGTCTGAGTATCATCGACTTATATGATAGCAGTTCATCGCTTATCTCGATATCTTTTTGATAGACGCTCTAAGAACCTTCTCTTAAGCATTCCTACACTTTGCAAGTACCACTATTTGTAGGATTTTTATCTAGGAATATTCTACCAAGTTCATCAAGTTCAACGAAGCTGCTAGAAGCATTTTTGGAAATTTTGTGGCAGGTAGAGAACATGCACTTGCTCTATACCATAGAAGTCGGTGGAAATGATCAGTTATTGGAAGTGAATTGGTAGTGAAGATCAGTTATGTGGCATATGGTAAAGATCAGGGATCAGAGGATAGAGAAGCTGTCAGTTGCGTATATACGTGCAAAACACCGGATGCTAGAATCTTCCAGCTTCTTATACCCTGTAGCTGTTTGTGTGGATGTATTGTGTTCAACACTGAGTTTCCGCCATCCATACAGTGCATTGGCTCAAGCTGGTACATCGGCACCGACTTCCAACTGCACCTCATCGCCCCCTTCATCCTGCTGCCAATGAAGCTCGTCGAGTGCAGTGAGTCTTTTTGAATTAGATGGCAACCTTCATATTCTTGACGCTAAAATACAGCTAGAGAGCCTCATAGACATTACGGCTCCCTTCTTTCCGCTGACGCTGAAAGACAGCTAGGGAGCCTCATAGACGTGATGGCTCCCTTCATTAAGCTGACGCTGAAAGACAGCAAACCTTATAGACATGATGGATTCTCACGTCTGCCAGAGTTGCTGTACGCGGTTGTGGTGGTCGTCGTGTTTTCTCTACTGAAGGGAACTTTGGTCGTCGCCAACGACCTTATCCTGGCGCCGTTGATGGGCACCACGTGAGTCGCGATTTATTCACCCCTCAATAGGCCTTCACTTCCTTAGTGTACGTCTCGTGAGTAGCGCTGTATTCAGCCCTAGATAGAAATAATAGAAAACGTTGTAGCAATGTGTCATTCTGTATGGCAGGGTGGCCCAGCGGTCATAGTTCAGAGTACCATGATTGGCGCTGAGAGACGCGGGTTCGATCCCAGCTCTGTGTGCCAGTTTCTGCTCAGAATCGGCAAGGAGACCGGGCGGTTAAGCACAGCAGAATTGTAGCAGTGAGTTGCGAGTTCGAGACCGCAAAATGCTGTAAATGTTCTGCGATGTTAAAAATCGGCGACAGGCCTACTGCTTACTAAACGCTGAAACCGCTATTGTTATTATTAATGTTAAAAATAAATTGTGTAACTGTTCACTCAATAAAATACAACTTTTTTATTAAGGGGCGACTTAAACTAAAATTCCATGGGACATTGACAGTACCCCATGTGGTCTAGTACAGCACATCATCAAGATTGGTACAATTGAAAATTTGCAAAATAATTAACAAGGTTTTAACTCACGCATGCGTTTGGCGATATCACGAATTGTGACGGGGCCGTACCCATCAAATCTCTCGTAGGTACGCGTAGCGTCTGATTTTTGTCGGTTATAGATGGGATTAGCTTAATAAATCGTCAGTGCTTGGCCTACAAAATTACGGACCCATAATAATTCTGTATGGTAAAGCCCCTAAATATTCGCCGTTTCAGCACGCCCGAGATCCAGGCGTACGACACGCATGTGTACTACCCTCCGTACACCCGGGCAGCACCCTTCTTTGTAGGCTCCTTGATTGCCGTCTTGATGATGCAGTTTGATGCCGCGAACAAGGTGCGTCAATGTTGCATTTGATTAAATAATTAATTATGAGTTATATTATGCGCAATTTAATAAAGCTTTTCACAAATTTATTGCTCGAATAAATTAACCAAAAATTCTACAGTGGCGCGAAGTCTTAAGCTCATCAATGCGCTATTTAGGCATGAACAAAAATATCTTATGTGATTAAATTTTATTGTATTTTAAAAATTTTAAACTATTCTAACCTTAAATTGATATTTATTTTATTTTAATGTTGTTTATGTTTTTTAACGAGATGAGGCAGCTTAAGATATGGCAGGCTGCCGACATGTTGCGGCCATCGCGAGCCATTAAAATGCCAGATGCTGGCATCATGTTGTGGCGACATGAGCCGTCATCATGTCTGGTGATGTTGGTGGGGTAACTCAGATCCTCTCTTTGCAGGCAGGGACTCTCGAGCAGCTGCGGTGGCTGCAGCTGTTGAAGAGAAAGGTAAACTACATTAACATCAGTGTAGCATGAGTACAGCATGATGAAGTAGCATGTGTGTACAGCATGATGAAGTAACTTGTGTGCATGTACAGCATGAGGAAGTAGCATGAATGTTCAGCATGATGAAGTAGCATGTGTACAGCATGATGAAGTAGCATGAGTGTACAGCATGATGAAGTAGCATGAGTGTACAGCATGACGAAGTAGCATGAGTGTACAGCATGACGAAGTAGCATGAGTGTACAGCATGATGAAGTACACTGCAAAGAATCACAAGGACGGACAGCAAATGGTACCGGAACTAGCCGCACCGAGATGCCAACGACCAGCCGCAGAGACCAGGGGTTCTAGCCCAAATTCTGATTACTCCCGAGCGTGGAAGGAATCAACCAACTCCCACAACACGAGAGGCGCGAACGGTACCACAGAAGCTGTACCAGAACGCTGTCAAATATACTCGAATGCATTGTTATTAGCCCTCACAACACGAGAAGTGCTCGGTACGGGAACTAGCCGTATCAGAGCTCTGTAAGCTACTGGAACTAACCAAGACCTCCACCTACGCCGTAATTGATCCGTTAGAGGATCTTTTTTTACGAGATATGTCCACTACTGTGGAGTTTTAACTTGGAAGCCCAGATCTGGCTCCCCTGAATCAGAGTCGAAAAGTCTGCACCCCCACCAGTACCACTGAGCATACACAACTTGCCCGCAAGGGGTAACTCAGCTAAAATAATGTTAACACGATACCTCGTTTACAGCGGAACAAAATGGACAAGCTTCGCAATTCAGATACAAAAGAAGATAAAATAATACAATACAATAAATTAATCATAATTTTAATCCTATGGCAAACTAATCACAAGTTAATAGTCGAATAATCCTAAACTAATTCTGAAGAGACCGAGCACTCCATCGTCCAAGACTACCTATAGGGGAATAAACGTGCACCTTCGCGAGGCTAGGAGCAACTCGACCAATCACGTTGGAGCTAGAACATTCAGTCTCGTCCCAAGACGCTAATAACTAAATCCTACGAATTAACAAAATAATATCACAGTAACGATATTCCATATTCTAGTCATATAGTAAACATATTCAACCATTATATGAGTCACTAATCTAACAAAAGAACATTATCAAAATAATACGTGTTCAAAACAGTACTCCTACAAATAAAAAAAATTTAAAATCGTACAATATCCGTCCTGTCACACATGTATGAACATAAGTGCTCTTGCTGTAAAATACACATGCATCAAAATCGCGTCTTGTGATGCACCTCAAAACAATTTCTGCTGAGAATTAGCAGATCCTTTCCTTCTCGCCTCCTCCGTTTGTTCAGCGTCGAGTCTTTACTGTTAAACTTCTATCATTGAAGACCTACACCAAATCAAGATATCATTAATACGCGTAATCAGTTCATATCATCAATGGGCAAACTTATTTAGTAAATATGGATATGCTTAAGCAGGTCGAAACGTCTGTGGTTTGCTTTTTAAATGAATAATTCATTAAAATTTCAACCTCGTAAATAGTTAGGTTGAATTCTAGACAAATCTTGGGCCGTATGCATGCACGAGCTGCTCTTGCATGCGCTCTCAAGTCGCGTCAGCTTTACGGGGCCGCGTGGGGAAGTGGACATTACATTCGTGCTTCAATATCAATAATTGAATTTTCTAGACGATGGAATGCTTAGAGACATTGCCGTGAGTATTCCGCGCCACTTTTTACTGGTTTGTTGAGGATATTTCATTATTTGAAGTACATCTATCATTTTCAACTGGCTTCGACCACTACAGATGATGCAGGCTGTGTTGTGGTTAATGTTCGTAGTGACGGTGGTGCTCGGTCTCTCAGGCAAGAACAAATACCACTTACAGGTGGTGCGGGCGGCGGGGTGGTTGGTGTTCGTAGTGACGGTGGTGTTCGGTCTCTCAGGCAAGAACTAATATCACTTACAGGTGATGCGGGCGACGGGGTGGTTGGTGTTCGCAGTAACGGTGGCGGCGGTGGTGTTTGGTCTCTCAGGCAAGAACTACTCGCACCTCTTCGGCACGTTGCCCCCCTTTGGCGGCGCAGAGTCATTCTTCTACGCGAGCTTCGCGACGCCAGCGTGGGCGATGTGCGTAGGCTGGCTGGTGCTCACCAGTTACTGTGGATGTGGAGGTGGGTTCTATGCTTTCAACTTTTACGTGCGTACAGTTAGCCCAGCTTCCTGAAATATTCGCTCAACATTAGTTATGTATTGAATATAAGCTTGGCCTCTATAGCTCAGTGATAACGACACCGAAATGAGAGGAGCTAGCCGTGGGTTCGAACCATGGAAAGCTCAGTTAATTTCTCGGTGTCGCTGGGGGGCGGTGCTTGATAGCCGTCTAAGGCGGCGCACCAGCATGACCGTGGTGGGTTCGGAAACGAATTCCAGAAACATATTCCGTGGGAGGATTTTGAGATCTTGTGGCCTCCAGCATAGCAGCTGTTTTAATTAGATTAAATATCTTTAATTTTGAACTAAACTATATTTCAGCAGTTGTCTTCCTCAATGCAGGGTGAAAAATGACCTGAGTTGCTGGGTATGACAAGAAGTGGTATGGATTGCAAGTTTACCGTGAAAATGCCAAGTTTTTACTTCCGGCATGAAGAAGTTTTGCTAGCGTGTTCAGCAGTACGAAGCGGTACTTTTTAGTGAAGGTTCTTGACACGCACATAAAGATATGCTGTCACATTGCAGGGGCGTGGGCACCCTGCTGACTCAGTACGTATGGGTCCACGTATCATACTAACCTGTCACATTGCAGGGGGCGTGGGCACCCTGCTGGCCCAGTACGTATGGGTCCACGAGCCGTACTTACCTGTCACATTGCAGGGGGCGTGGGCACCCTGCTGGCCCAGTACTTATGGGTCCATGTGTCGTACTAACCTGTCACATTGCAGGGGGCGTGGGCACCCCACTGGCCCAGTACGTATGGGTCCACGAGCCGTACTTACCTGTCACATTGCAGGGGGCGTGGGCACCCTGCTGGCCCAGTACGTATGGGTCCACGCGTCATACTAACCTGTCACATTGCAGGGGGCGTGGGCACCCCGCTGGCCCAGAACGTATGGGTCCACGAGCCGTACTTACCTGTCACATTGCAGGGGGCGTGGGCACCCCGCTGGCCCAGTACGTATGGGTCCACGTGTCGTACTAACCTGTCACATTGCAGGGGGCGTGGGCATATTGTGTTATTGCTCCTCCCTAATTGTGTTATTGCTCCTCTCTAATTGTGTTACTGCTCCTCCCTCATTGTGTTATTGCTCCTCCTTAATTGTGTTATTGCTCCTCCCTCATTGTGTTATTGCTTCCCCCTCATTGTGTTATTGCTGCTCCCTCATTGTGTTATTGCTCCCCCCTCATTGTGTTATTGCTCCTCCCTCATTGTGTTATTGCTCCCCCCTCATTGTGTTATTGCTCCTCCCCAATTGTGTTATTGCTCCTCCCTGATTGTGTTATTGCTCCTCTCTAATTGTGTTAATGCTCCTCCCTCATTGTGTTATTGCTCCCCCCTCGTTGTGTTATTGCTCCTCCCTCATTGTGTTATTGCTCCCCCCTCATTGTATTATTGCTCCTCCCTCATTGTGTTATTGCTCCTCCCTCATTGTGTTATTGCTCCCCCTCATTGTGTTATTGCTGCTCCCTCATTGTGTTATTGCTCCTCCCTAATTGTGTTATTGCTCCTCCCTAATTGTGTTATTGCTCCTCCCTAATTGTGTTATTGCTCCTCCCTAATTGTGTTATTAACTTATTGCTCCTCTCTAATTGTGTTATTGCTCCTCCCNACACATCTAGATGTGTATAAGAGACAGGTGTTATTGCTCCTCCCTCATTGTGTTATTGCTCCTCCCTAATTGTGTTATTGCTCCTCTCTAATTGTGTTATTGCTCCTCCCCAATTGTGTTATTGCTCCTCCCTCATTGTGTTATTGCTCCTCCCCAATTGTGTTATTGCTCCTCCCTCATAGTGTTTACGAAATAAATATTAGATAAAACAAGTGGCATGTCGCGTGCCAATGGAAGAGCAGACTCTTATTACATTTTTTTCTTGATTTCTATGAATTGAACTTCAATTTCAATATTACGTGAATAAACGGCCAAAATTCGCTCACTCAGAAAAATGATCGAGACTTTGTCCAAATAGCACTTCACATCATGCCCATTTGTGGGTCATCCTGACCCAGTTTGGCCGAATAAGAGGGCGTATCAGTGAAATGTCCGCGCTATGCTCATGCTACGGGGAATGCGTCACTATTTGTACAATATGACCCATTAATTTGTCTAAGTGCAGCTGTTGTCCCGTCACAGCTCCTGAGCTACGCCGGCATCACGGTGCTGATCTTCCTGGCCGCGATCCTGGTCAGCTTGGTGGCAGAGTCGCCATACTTTGCTTTGTTGAAACTGACGCTCCCAGCACGACCGTAGTGCTGCTAGAGGTGCTAATGCTGCTAGAGGTGCTGGTGCTGCTAGAGGTGCTGGTGCTGCTAGAGGTGCTGGTGCTGCTGCACCAACGTAGTGCTTCAACACCCCCCTGTGGTGCTGCTGTATATTTCAATATTTTTGGACGCACTCTAGGGGAATTTGATATCAATCTCTATGGCAATCATCAACCGTTCCCCCCCAAAAATAAATATATAAATAAAAACTCGAGAAAATGTAAAAAGTTTTGTAAATTATTTATCATTCGAAACGCTATGCTGCAAGTATATAATTCGAAACGCTATTTTGCGTGTATATAAATTGCTCCTTTTCGCTTTAAACAATTTCAGCATTGAATTATTTTCTAGATCACAGTTCAGTATTAAACTTTCATTCTGAATTTGCGTGATTTTACATCATTCCTGACGATATTGCGTGCGCTACTTCATCGAGCGCAACAAAACGTCAGAAGAAATGATAAAAATCAAGATTTCGGAGAAGAAATCTTAATGTATGGATTTATTGTTCAAGTCGGAGATTTTTAAAGCACGTAAATTTTAGACCACAAATAAACCAACTAAATTTCCTCTTGAATTTCCCATTGTGATGCGTGGTAGATGGCCGTTGTAAAGACCTGACTCCTGAATGTTCTTTTTCAGAGTGACCATGCCCCAAATCCGTGAAATGATAAATAACTCGCTTTTATCGTGGCATGGCTTTTCATAAAGCCCAACTGCAATATTATAATCGGCTTCACATTTGAAACAATGTATTACATAGGTGACATGAAACTGGACTAAATTCCCATTACTGAGAATCACAGAACTGATAAACAACTGATAAAAATTATGATCGCCATTCAATTTTGGCCAACACGTTTTACAATTTTCTATGTCAATATCAATGTTGCAGTGGGAAATGGCCTCGCGCCATGAGAATTACCCTGTAAACGGTAAGTGTCGCCACAAAAACGATAAAAATCAGCCAAAATAAAATAGTTCTCAAGCTAACTATTTTTCAATAACTTATGAGAACGCCGGCACGTAGGAAATGTGATTGAAAGGAAGGACAAACAAAAACAAAAAACAAAATTACTCAAAAATCTTTATTAGCCTAAGATCTTTACATATGAACATAGAGGCGCGGCGAGACCGAAAAAGCGGTGTCGGGTGAGTCCAAGTGACCCATCACTGCAGGAGAGCAGCTGCTTGTCATCACTGGGAATTGTCAACTCAAACTGCCAGTTGCTGCTGGGTCCTGAACTGATCTTGCGAGCACAGCATGCAATGAGCATTCATGTTGACGTACAGCGACCAATGGAGTACACCACAAGACAAATTATCTAAGAGTCTCTAGCAACAGCGGACATATTGATCAACAGACCGGGCATCTGAAGACAGAAGACTTTCAGCACTTTAATAAGCGCACAGAAATTAAATGCATTGTCGTAAGTACAATAAGATCAGGAGGCAAGTAATGGTAGCAGCTGCACTCCACTCACCGCGTACGCTACCTCCTCTTCTCGATGGAACTCTCCAATTGAACAAAAAGATTTAGACTAAACCTAAGATGGATGATCTATGTAGCAACACTTGACACAAAATCTTAATTATAAGCCCATTTAGCAGAGCATCACATTGTTGCAATGATGGGAGTCACGGCCAGCATCTGCCAGGCACCGTTACGTTCAGCAGCGCATCACAGTCCACCAAACAAGCTCATCGTATCGTGCCGAGCACAATCGTCGATGCCGTCACGATTATGGAAGCAGCAAGCAATCGGTGCTTCCCAAACGTGACAGCAAAATCATGTTTGCCTTTGCAGCAACGTTAACAATATATGACGGCAGCAGCAACTCTAACATTGGGCGATCGTAACACCGGAAGTGAACTATACGGTAGACGTTACTCAGGCTTGAACTTAGCGAGGAAGTCACTGTCGCGGTAGAGGAAATATTCCTTATCCTCGAGCATGATTTTGGTGCCGCCAAACTCCGGGAGGAAGACCTCGTCGCCAACCTGCACTGCAGGCGCCACAGTCCCTCCAGTCTGTGAAGAAGACAAGTAAGTCAACTATACAACAGACGGTACAACAGAGAGGACAACAGACGGTACAACAGGGAGGACAACAGACGGTACAACAGGGAGGACAACAGACGGTACAACAGGGAGGACAGCAGACGGTACAACAGGGAGGATAACAGAGGACGGGGAGAACAACAGAGGGTACAACAGGGAGGACAACAGACGATATAGCAGGAAGGACATCAGATGATATAGCAGGGAGGACAACAGACGATATAGCAGGGAGGACAACAGACGATATAGCAGGGAGAACCTCAGATGATATAGCAGGGAGTACAGACGATATAGCAGGGAGAACAACAGACGATATAGCAGGGAGAACATCAGACGATATAGCAGGGAGAACAACAGACGATATAGCAGTGAGAACAACAGACGATATAGCAGGGAGAACAACAGATGATATAGGTAGCATATAACAGATATAGCATAAGGTATAACAACAGACGATATAGCCAATCTAAAGTATTTCGCTATTGCAATCAAATGTTTGACAAGCAAAACTATCTAACCTCACCAGCCCTGATCCTATCATCAATAGCTTTCATTACTACCAACCAAAGCCTCCACCAGCGTACCTTGAACTTTGCTTCTTTGGCACCACCTCAGTGCCATGACCCACCTCAGTGCCATGACCCACCTCAGTTCTGGCCCCGGGGCCAACAGCCACTACAGTTGCAGTGAGCTCTTTCTTCTGACTGGCCTCGGGGATGAGGATGCCAGCCTTGGTCTTGGTTATGGGGGTTGCTCGCTGCACCAACACCCGGTCAAAAAGGGGCAGGAAACGCTTCAGGGCACCAGACTGTAACAAGCACAATGAATCAACAGGCTAGTTACTTATCTAATACTCTTGCTAGCAATACATAATTGAAATATGCAGTGCAGAGAAGTAGTATCATGTATTGATGCATCCAACAGACCAGTGTTATGCTTTAAGTCAGGAAAAACAAGTCACAACCTACATCTGCGTCATTAGCCAACAATGATTGCACTCTTGAGATTGGTGGTTTACAGGAGTTATTGGTCTACAGGAGTCTAGTTTGGTAATTTTAATCAATTACTTATGGCAAAGCTGTCACCTTGCAAGCAAACTGGGAAACGAGAACAGATATCAGACAAATACCCATGAAGGACTTAACATGTCTAAGATATTTTTTAATTCTCTGCCCTGATTTCAAATGCACAAGACCCAGTGCTGGACTTGTGTCCCAGTCCCAGTAACTAACATCAAAACCCACAGTGCTGGACTATGCATGTCCGAGTAACGAACAGCAAGACCCACAGTGGACATGAAATTTAAGAAAAACATAGAAATGTTAGAAGAACACACTTCAAGTTTCATTTTATTTATTGTCATTAATTTAAAGTGGCAAAGCCAAAAGCTCATTGGAACTCATTTCAATTGGCCTTGAATCTGAGCTTTTAATCATTTAATTGGCTTTGAAATCTGCTCAGTTCTCTCAAACACAAATAAGTGCCTTTTTAGCCATATTTATATCATTTTCCTGACCAAACATTATACCATTAATTTGATAGTAATAAATTACACTGAGATTTGCAGTGCCAAAGCCATTGATGTAATTACATTGACAATTATTATTCACACAACAGCAGGGCTACAACAATTCCTACCAAGGTGAAAGATTAGAACTTTCCTTCTCAATAAAAAATCTCATAGCTCCATCCATAATGGCAAATTTTCCAGAACTTTGTAATCTTGTTGGCCTAATCATGCACTTTTATCAACAATCAGATGGGATACTTAATATAGAAGGAATCTTGGGAGTTGGGACTCCATAAATGGCAGGAAAGCTACTATAGTCACAGCTCAAAAATTAGAATTTAGAAGGGATAAAATATTAGCACAAGCACATTTCATACTGATAAATCTTATAATCATACTAGACTTCTCTTCAAATCTTCAATATTTAGCCACTATTTAGAAAATGAGGAAATTAGTTTAGACAGGAACAATTTAAATAAATGAACCACAATATCTAAAATTTTTCCCTCAATGCATCTGATTCATCTGCCACTGAAGAGAAATAAAACTAAAAAAAAATTATTTTCAATATATTACTATACTCCAAAATTTTTATAGATTACCTAAAAATCTCACTGGCCCAGATTCCGTAGAATCAAGTACGTATTATGCTTCAATTAAAAATGAAGAATAAATTTAATTTGTAGGTAGTATTTTGTTTTGACAAGTAGGTACATAGGCTAAAATCTTTTAATGACTGCAAATTAAAAAAAATTAGAGCAGCATAAAAAATTGAGCAGGCTGAATAATTTCCATGCTAGCTTTCACTAAGCAAATTGTATATGGACTATGGAGCATGGAGCCTAACAAGCATGAGGGAAAAACTAATTATACATTAGTGCTATGCAAATTTATAGATTGGTTCAACTTCAAAGTTCAAGCCGTAACCACGAAACCACCACACCAATCAATGCAAAAATAGGCTAAATCATAAATGTCACTGTCAGTGCACTGTGCATAGGCTATTGTAGCTACTATGAGTATGACGTGGCATATTCACTATCATTGAACAAGATAAAAAGTTGACATTTGACAAATCAGCCTTTTTTAAATAAAGCATGCAAATTACCTAAGTACAATCACTACAGTGATATAGAAAGTCTGAAGTATTTACAGAATTTCACTGGCGGTTCAGGGCGATTTTAAGGGCCGATGAATTTGAGTATGTCTATTGCCACTATAGTTGCAACAACACTCATGCCAGATTGTCAGTTACAGTCGGGGGTAGTACTAGTGGGTACCGATCTGGTGGATTCTCTGATAGCGCTGTATAGTAGCGTAGCCTAAGCGGTTAACACTTAACAGCAGGTCAAAATTGCGATTTCTAAAGTTAGCTACATTTAGTAGCGAATAACAATCATACATGTGAAATTTAATCAATATTAGCGTAAACACTCACCATGATGAACGAGTAAAACTTGACTTAGAACCTCAGCTAAACAAGCACGCCGACTACACTGACAGTCTGACTCTTCTAGAGTTCTAGTAGCATCGCTTGCCGGCACCGAACAATGTTGCCAACAGCCAAATGCCAACACGTGCAGCGTCGCACCAAGCCGAAGCCATGCAATAGGATAAAAATCACCGGTACGCCAGAGACTATTATCCATTGTGAATAACCATTTAAAATGCAATTTTTTTGCATAGGCAAAGTTTAGAAATATAAATCTACCTGTTAGGGATGAAATTTTACGTAACTCTTTTTCAATACTCATATATTCAGACGACGATCCCATTATTTGTTTAGCCAAATTTCAATCGAATTAAGAATAACTGTTACTGTACGAGTTCATTTTACATTCTTATAATAAAATTCTAAGTTTGGGAATAAATTACAACTGATGATCTATTTTTTGCCAAGAAACGAAGTGGCACTTGCATCATCACACAGAAAGTTCTAGTACGTCACTAACGACTTACGCTTCGAACATTGTGCCTCTCACTCCTCGTGTGGCGTCGTGACCGGCAACTGCAAATTTGAAGAACGTTTGCGTCTTTCAAGGTGTAATTTTTGAGCTGCTCTACATCGTCCATAAGCAAGTATGTGGTTTGTCTGTATAACATTCACTCCTGCGCGTTGTTCGGCAGGTATCTTTATGCTGAAGTATCTTCAGAGTGGTCGGTTAGGAGCTTGGGCTCGGCATGCTGGCATCGAGCTTCTCCAGTTCACATGAATACCGGCTTCCGGCTTAAATCCCGAAGCTTGATTATAGCTAGACTTTGATAGCTAATTGGATAATTTAGATTCACTTGTAATACTCATAAATTCTGAGCTATATTAATTTGTTGTATTACAATAATCTTCAATCGGAGAGTTTTTTAGACTCTCCCTCAAGTTCATTTTTGAGTCTTATTAGTAGACCAGTAAAGTATCCTGGATATCAGCATTATCATAGCTACCTACCTACTTGAGAAATTGGGTTACCTAAATCTTGAGGAAATTAAAAATGAACTGATTCTAAAAAAGCTCTGGTTTGCCACTATGCTCACCATGTTCAATGTAACTTTATTTTGTAATACAATAAATACACTGCTAATTATTTGAGTAGCTAGGCTAGTAGCCTAATTTCAGTTCTGAGGCTTAGTCCAGTTAATGCTCAAGTTTGCATGTTTAGTCACTTTTCAAATTTTTTGGCAAAAAATAGCAATTTTATTGTCAATTGCAGTTGACCCTATAAAAAAAATATCTGCTTTGTCCAGGTCGAGCCACAAATCTTTGCTGCACTATTTTTACTTAGCAAATTGTATCCCATGAGACCATGACCCAAGTAATTCTTAATTATTGAATGTAAATTATGAAACTACAAATTACAATTGTCAGATCTTGTTGCTAACTTGCAAGACATGAAATTCAATGACAATTTGAGATGGGAAATTGTTCAGTCTAATAGCATAGAAATTGATAGAATGAATAGCCCATGTTTCAGGACTGGAAGTTTCCTACTTATTAGGTACTGAAAAAATCATAGTGGCAAACCAGTGATTTTATAACACTTCTCTTTAACTTCACTTCTTGTTGTTTGTTTGTCTGCTACAAATCTTTAATCTTATAGTCAATATTTAACACGTAGGCTACTGTACCTACCTCCCCTGGTTCCCTCAATCATTCTGGAATTTTGTACACTTGCATTAGTTGCATATATGTACTAGTTGGAGACAATGCATGAATCAATTGGCAGAATAAATAATTTCAAAAATTTTAAATTTTTTTTAATTTAAGAAAAATTGGAAAATAATTTTGTCTGCTACAAATCCTATAATTGATATTTAACACACTTAACTACCTGTCCAATCGATCCAATATTTTGCACCCTGGCGCAAACTGCAAAGTCAGAGACAATGCATAAATCAGTTGGCAGAATAAATAATTTTAAAATTTAAATTTTTTACTTGAAAAAAAAAATGTAAAATAAATTTTTGTAATATTTGATAATTAAATTAGAAATTCATTTTACATGTGTAACATCAAAGACAAGGTATTTTTTCAAAGTGTTGTCTTTAAAAAGTAATTTTTAAATGGATATTATTTAGAATCAGTTAATTTTTTATTTTCTCATTTACTGAAGATATAAACCAATATCTTGTGTATGATAATGCTGGTATCCATGATACTTGGCCACATGGTGGCAATCCATAGGTTATTCAAAAGAACCTGTTCTTATGTCATTTTGAACCGATCAACGCTTCTTTACGGACCGATCGTAAAACACCTTCACCGGCAAAAGCTTTTGCACTTCTGAAGAAAGTCAGCTGACAGCTACACTGGCTGATGCTCTTGCAAACGCATAAGTACTCACAATAATTCCCTGCCACCATGCTTGGCCAGTCTTCAAATTATAGGACTCAAAATTGAACTTGAAGGAGTCTATAAATCTCTCTGCTTTGCCACTGTGACTGAAATCTTGCTGCTTGAAAGCAAGGAATTTTTAATACATTGGTATCTCATGGCCCAATCCTGCACTTATGTTAACTGTAAGATATGAGTTGATTCATCCAGCAGGGGTCTTGTGGCCCCAAAAATGACATGAAATATCTACTCTCAACCCTAAAGTAGATATATATAGATGCCAGCCAGGCTTGAAATTAGAAAAATTTCTCATTTCTTACACTTGAAAATTTCATATCATGGAGCAACATGAAGCAAGCAAGATAGTGAAATTGCTGCCTATTGTTAAAATTTTATTACTCTGTGACATTTACAATAACTGTAGAATCTCATAGCTTCATCAGAAATTTTATAACCAATTAATTAGAAGAGGAATTTTTTATTTAGTAAGAGTTTCACAGCTCTAAGCAGGGATGTAAAGCAGCTCTTGTTTGGGTCCCAAAAGCCATGTCTGTCCAGGAGAAGTTCAATTTTGCAGCTGTGAGCTCTTTTATAAGCAGTTTATCCCAAAAAAATAATTTAAGCAGAAACTTTGGTGTATTTAGCCATTAGCCTATTGATATTGGCATATTGCAGATGCTGTTTCTGCCATCAGATCCTACATTGTCAAAAATAAAGATGGTCACTGTTGATTCTTAATGATACCATGAGATTTTGTGTCTGAGGTGGGATCTATTTCTCCTAAAAACTGCTTATAATACTCATAACGTCTTGCATATTATGGTTTTCAGTGCTTGCACACCTCCATAGTTTCTGCTCATGAAACAAATACAGGATTAGTTTTCAATGTTTGAATTTAGACTTTGTATGTTTACTAACCAATATCATAGGTGGTCTAAAAAAATACTTGACGACAATGCTGTTGCTTTGATTACTTCACTTCTGTAAAACTTGTTGAATTCCTTCTTTATCAAATCTTACAAAAATCTAGAAGAATTGGACAATTCTCACGAATGCCAATACTAATGAATTTCAAGATGTTTTTGCTGATATCTTATGTATGAATTTATTAATTTATCAATACTTCAATGTTGCATGTGCAGCTCCACAATGTACAAGGCAGCCTCCCTCCTCCGCAACCCAGCCATCAGCCGCAGCCTCTGCCGTGCATATGCCAAGGATGTCAAGTTTGGCACAGACGTGCGTGCCCTCATGCTCAAGGGTGTTGATGTGCTCACTGATGCCGTGGCTGTCACCATGGGACCAAAGGTGAGCTTTACTTAGCACTGCTGGAGTCCCTGGAGTCCAATGGTCTTGCTGTACATTTCTCTTGTCCCAGTCTTAGCTCTGTCTGGCTAGGAGCACATGCCTGGAAGAAATTTTTGATTAATTCTCATATCATTGAAATACTTTGACAGCTAATGGCAGATGCATTTGTTTGGCACCTAAAACTTGGGTTCTATTGAGATCTGATTCAAACAAATTTGAAGTTTATATCCATTTGCCTTAATGTACCAATGTCTGAACATGAATGAAGATTTGAGAAGTGATCTATTTCTAACTTTTAAAATTTGATTTCAGTGTTGATCAATTCTTCCTGAATTTTCAAATGCTGTTGATAGTTGCAAGTCACATCCTGCCTACCTTGATGCTCATGATATGTTTATTATTGAAAGCATTTCTACATGCTTGTAAGCCATTCATGTTCAGCTGCTTAACATGCACTTCTGTATTTTATGATATCGGAGTATTACCTGTTGATAGGAATTGCTTTCATTAGACGCTTGTTTAATGTACATAGGTTGAATTAAATATTATTGAATGGCCAGCTAGAGTTACTATCAGTAGATGATTGTTTGATGTGCCTAAGTTAAGGTAATTATTTTTATTGTATGGCCAGCTAGAGTTACTGCCAGTAGATGATTGTTTGATGTGCCTAAGCTAAGGTAATTATTTTTATTGTATGGCCAGTTAGTTATTGTCTGTAGATGATGGTTTGATGTGCCTAAGTTGAGGTAATTAATTGTTATTGTATGGCCAGCTAGTTATTGTCTGTAGATGATGGTTTGATGTGCCTAAGTTAAGGTAATTATTATTATTGTATGGCCAGCTAGAGTAACTGTCAGATGATTTGACAAGAATGAATTTAATTAGACAAGCTGGTACTGATGACTTCGGTGTGCAGGGCCGCAATGTGATCATCGAGCAGTCGTGGGGCAGCCCCAAGATCACCAAGGACGGCGTCACCGTCGCTAAGGCAGTCGAGCTCAAGGACAAGTTCCAGAACATCGGCGCTAAGCTCGTGCAGGTCACTAACTTGTGGCAACTTACTCTCTTGCTCTTCTTAATATCACTGTATTTCAATACTTATCCTCTTGCTCTTCTTAATATCACTGTATTTCAATACTTATTCTCTTGTTCTTCTTAATATCACTGTACTTCGATACTTATTCACTTGCTCTTCTTAATATCACTGTATTTCTAGACTTATCCTCTTGCTTTTCTTTATATTGTATTTTAATCACAGCAATAATTGCTGTACTCATAATTGTGAATTACTCGCATCTGATCAACAATAATCAGTGAGCCTTACTCAATATCATGGCGTGGCATGTCGAGTTTCTCAGGACAATGCTAAGTTTGGTGATACTTGATGATTGTGTGGTGGCATCACGATGCCACCACACGTGATGCTGTGGTGCACACCGTGCACTACATCGCGATGATGCCGTGCGGTGATGTGATGTCTGCCGTGCAGGATGTTGCTAACAACACAAACGAGGAGGCGGGCGACGGCACGACCACGGCCACGGTGCTGGCGCGCTGCATCGCCAAGGAGGGCTTCCTCAAGATCAGCCAGCGAGGGGCGAACCCCATAGAAGTCAGGTAACTTTGGTAACATGTTGGGGACTAACCTTTTAGAAGTCAGGTATATAACTGGGGTAACCTGGTGGGGGCTAACCCATAGATGTCAGGTAACTGGGGTAACCTGGTGGGGACCAGCTCCATAATAGTCAAGTAACTGGGGTAATCTTTTCTGTGAGATCACCAGTGTGATCACCACACTGGTGATCTCACAGATCACCAGGCACGAATCCCCTTGTATTTTGGTAGTCGTGGTGGGTGTGAACATTATATGGACCTTAACGTACACCGTCTCTAGGCTAGAGAATTACTTCAGCATTAGATTACAACATTGGCAGCCTCAACATCTGACGCCGAGTGAGACTGCAGGGGTAATTAGAAAGCCTTCCTATCCTTCGCAAAGGGGACGGATGTTGTACCTAGAACTATTTCTTTAATTTGTTCAAACCATAAATTTAACCCACTCTTATTAATCACATCTGTGATGGGTGCTAAGTACCAACTGCCCCTCCCCCAGGCGCGGGGTGATGGCGGGAGTAGACGCTGTGGTGGCGCAGCTGAAGGTGATGTCACGGGAGGTCACCACGCCCGCTGAGATCGCGCAGGTCGCCACCATTTCCGCCAATGGCGACGCCCAAGTGGGCGAACTCATCAGCGCTGCCATGGAGAAGGTTGGGCTAATTGTAATGCTGTTAAATAAGGTTAGGCCAATTATTATGCTTATAAATAAGGTTGGGCCGATTATAATGCTTATAAATAAGGTTGGGCTACTTATTATGCTTATAAATAAGGTTAGGCTAATTATTATGCTTTTAAATAAGGTCAGCTTGATCATAATGCTTATAAATAAGGTTAGGCTAATTACTATTCTGTTAAATAAGGTCAGCTTGATTATAATGCTTATAAATAAGGTTAGGCTAATTATAATGATGTCCGGAAAGGTCAGCTTAATTATAATACTTATAAATAAGGTTGGGCTAATTATTATGCTGTTAAATAATTTCGGCTTGATTAAAATGTTTCTAAATGTGTTGAAATATGAGCATGTATGTGAAATGTGTGAAAAATTCTTGAATATTATCCTCATCAGTGCCTCCATAGAGCAGTTGTTAATTTTACTGCCTTAAAATTTGTAAAAATAAATACGATTATAGATGAGAAACAGACGAGTAGTATAGTTGGTTTGTAGACAAGTCTTTGAATATTTTGCATATCTTCTTGGGTTGTGTTGACTGCTTTACCTGTACAGTTAATGGTGCATGACAAGCGCCTTTCAGCTTGAGAAATTTCTACTCCTTTTACCAAGTCTTGGGGATTGTCCCCGGCTTGTGCTGCTAAAGTTAGCTTGACCAGGGCGGAAAATAGTGTTCTTCACTGGTTCAATAACGCGATGTCACCTAAACAGTGCCAGTGCATCTTCCTAACACATTCCCGATACTTGCTAACAATATTTAAATATCTGAGTAAATTGTACAAAAACTACGTTGTCCTTTATATATATACAGCTCAAAATTTCCCTACTCAGGAGGCTCCTCGAGTGCCTCCCGAGGGTCAGGGATTGTGGTGATTGTGTAATGCATACTTGTGTTGTTGGTGTGATGTATTCATCAGTGTTTCCAGCGTTGTGATACAATTGGCCATCGTCCTGTCAGTGTGATGCAGACCTCACACTTGTGTTGTTTGTGTGATGCAGACACCAGCGTTGACTTCTACAGTCAGCCCTCGCTGTTGGCAGTGTGTAGTTTTGCTCAGGAGTCAGGATTGTCAGTGAATGTAACCAATGTTCACCTTTCACTCGAGTTATTTGTGCCTCGTTATCTGGCGGATGTCACTTAGCGGGTCGTTGTTCCAGGTTGGGCGTGACGGCGTCATCACGGTCAAGGACGGCAAGACTCTTAAGGATGAACTTGAGGTGGGTGCCCTTGGTGTATTGGGTATTTGATGTGCCCTCGGCGCTACCCCGTGCGGTGTCCTTTTCTGTGCCCCTGCTGTTCATTAACAACTTCAGTCAGCTGCCCCCACAATTTCCTGTCATATAGTTTTTCCCTTGCTGCGTAAATTCTCTTCGTTTTTTAATTCAGTACCCATGTACTTGGAATAATTTCTAACTTATTGTTAGTTTGGTAATTTAGTTCATAATGTGTAATACATGCAATATAATTTTACATTTTAATTGTGCAGGTGATCGAAGGCATGAAGTTCGACCGCGGCTTCATCTCGCCCTATTTCATCAACTCTAGCAAGGGCGCCAAGGTGGAGTTCACCGACGCCCTCATCCTCATCTCAGAGAAGAAGATTTCCTCCATCCAGAGCATCCTTCCTGCCCTGGAGCTGGCCAACGCCCAGCGGTGGGTGTCCCGAGGGGTTGGCCAATGCATAGCAGTGGGTGTCCTTAGGGGTTGGCCAATGCAAAGCAGTGGGTGTCCTTAGGGGTTGGCCAATGCATAGCAGTGGGTGTCCTTAGGGGTTGGCCAATGCATAGCGGTGGGTGTCCTGAGGGGTTGGCCAATTCATAGCAGTGGGTGTCCTTAGGGGTTGGCCAATGCATAGCGGTGGGTGTCCTTAGGGGTTGGCCAATGCATAGCGGTGGGTGTCCCGAGGGGTTGGCCAATTCATATTAGTGGGTGTCCCGAGGGGTTGACCAATGCATAGCAGTGGGTGTCCTTTGGGGTTGGCCAATGCCCAGTGGTGGGTGTCCTGAGGGGTTGGCCAATTCACAGCAGTGAGTGTCCTGATGGGTTGGCCAATGCCCAGCGGTGGGTGTCCTGAGGGGTTGGCCAATTCATAGCAGTGGGTGTCCCGAGGGGTTGGCCAATGCATAGCAGTGGGTGTCCCGAGGGGTTGGCCAATGCATATTGGTGAATGTATTGAGGGGTTGGGGGGAGAGGGGGGCGTACCCCAAATTCAGCCTGTGTTTTGGTTATGACGTTGTGCTCTGATTCTGGCTCAGAATTTGGTGTCTATTAGAGGAAGTGGCACAGGCTTTCTGGTTTGATATCGTATAGAAAATAGGATGCTGCGAACAAGTCTATAGTAGCATGCTGCCAACAAGTGTATGGTTTGCTATGCTCGCCCTCGCATGCTTCAAGTTCAGCAAACTTGAATCTTAATGTTTGCTGTTTAGTGTATATTGCCAATTCCTGCATTCAGAGCATATTTTCATTGTTTTATGACAGAGGGAGTTGAGCAAGAGTTTAGGTTAGTAGCTGTTGATATCTCGTAGCTAGCAGTTTCAATTGCTATCCCCCTGCAAAATACTCTAAAACAAGCAGGGAAAGATGTGCTGACACGGGCAGTGGGGCGACATGCAGATTTGTTTATGGTCGATCTGGTCTAGAGGGCATTCTTTGAAGCTTATGAGTTAGCAGTTTTATGTTGCGATGACAACGGGTGTCGGGCGAAGTAATGTGAATATTGATGGCACTTTGCAGGAGGCCGCTTCTGATCATTGCTGAGGATATTGATGGAGAGGCACTCAGCACCCTGGTGGTCAACAGACTCAAGATAGGCTTACAGGTGCGTGGTGATGCCGTTTTAATTATTCGCCCTGTTAATTGTCACAAATATTTTGTTGTTACTCAATGGTCACTTCGTCACGGCTGTCGTGGTGCCATGGCCTGCCAGTAATCCATCACGACTTGTGCAGGTCGCTGCCGTGAAGGCGCCTGGGTTTGGCGACAACAGGAAGGCGACGGTGCACGACATCGCCGTGTCCACGGGCGCCATCGTCTTCAACGATGAGGCCAGCATGGTCAAGATTGAGGACGTGCAGCTGCACGACCTGGGCCAGGTATGGGGCACATGGACCAGGAAAGAAGACGTCTTGACACATTCTCTCCTGGAGGCACTCTATCTTCTCTAATAATCCTCTAACTCGCACTAGGACTATAATCTTGTATTGCGTGTTACATATGCTGTCTGAAATAGCAAGTCACGCAACAAATTTCCAATTATTATCAAAAAAATTAGTTTCCTCAAACAGCTACATTCGAAGCCCTTGTTGAACGATAGATTCGTTCAACAAGAAGCGTGTTGCCGGTGCGGGTAGCGCATTAATGCCTTGGTGTTGCAGGTGCATGTGGTGCATTTAATGGGTTTACGTGTTGCAGGTGCAGGTGGTGCATTTAATGCGTTTACGTGTTGCAGGTGCAGGTGGTGCATTTAATGCGTTTACGTGTTGCAAGTGCAGGTGGTGCATTTAATGCGTTTGCGTCGGGTTGCAGATGCATGTTGTGTATTTAATGCGTTTACGTGTTGCAGGTGCATGTGGTGCAAGTGGTGCATTTAATGCGTTTGCGTGTTGCAGGTTGGCGAGGTGCAGATCACGAAGGACGATACGCTGCTGCTCAGAGGCAAGGGCAAGAAGGAGGACATTAGCCGCCGCGTCGAGCAGATCAGGCAGCAGATCGAGGACAGCAACTCCGAGTACGAGAAAGAGAAGATGCAGGAGCGCCTCGCAAGACTCAGCTCTGGGGTCGCTCTGCTCAAGGTAAATGCTTGGAAGAGTTGTTACCTCGTACGCTAGCTCGGACCTCATGCTACGCAAGTTAACTGCTATGAAGAGTTATTACCTCATACGCTAGTTCTGGCGCCGCTCTGCTCAAGTTAACTGTTATGAAGAGCCACTAGTTCGTACATTTGGTGAAGTATTAATACTTCAAGTTAGTGCTCATTGTATAAGGTTAGTCTTTGAAGGCTCAGCACGAGCCACCTCCGCGATATTTGAAATGAAACGGCTTGTTATGACGCGCCTTGCAGTCGAGTGCTTAACTTTTAAAATTGTAAGTCCCACGAGGTGGGCTTACAATTTTAAGCTCCACGAGGTCCTCACTTCATTCACTTTGAACGTGGACACTCAATTGTATTGGTCATATACACAACGACGTACCTGGCGTTCACCGGCTTACTGTACATTTTAAAGACTGCAATATAAGAGTATAACGACGTAGTGTGCTGTACCATCCAATTAAGAGGCTGACACCCTCAGTTTGGCATGTCTTCTTTAGTAGATCTATTTGGCCTTCTGAAGGCGCAGTAGCCGACGACCACAGCAGAAGTACAGACGAGAAACTCTTGATAACTCTTGTACTCATGATTGTAGTCTTTGAGGGATCGTGTTTCAAAGAAGCAAACTATGCTAACTATTGCAAGGTTATAACACACGGTGGGTTGAGAGATCTTAATAGTAGATGAAAGCTTTATTTCTACGGACACATATGGAGTTTTCAGTGATATTCTGGACCTGGGTAACTTTAGTTGCCGTAAGGTGACAGTAGTTGAGGAAACGCTCTCCTGAATGTGTGTGATGTGCCGCAGGTTGGGGGCTCGTCGGAGGTGGAGGTCAACGAGAAGAAGGACCGCGTGACGGACGCGCTGAACGCGACGCGTGCGGCGGTCGAGGAAGGCATCGTGCCTGGCGGAGGCGTGGCGTTGCTGCGCTGCGTGCCCGCCCTCGATGCCCTCAAACCCCTCAACACAGACCAGGTTCACAGAATTGCTATATGATCATGTATTGTAAGATTTTGACGTCTTGCTCCTTGCATTATTTAGCTGTTGTTCTCATTTGGTTGATATCTGATTCCCATTTTTTTTTGTCTGATAATGCGGCTGATTCTTCTGTAATTATTTTTTGTAATTGTCAAAAATGAATGTGTAGCACAGCTCCGGAATGAGTGACCTGCCGCAAGTCCTCGCGAATGCTCCGTCACTCGCGCAACAGGTTAATGACCTGCTATATCGTGCAGGCGATCGGCATCGGGCTGGTGCGCAGTGCCATCGAGGCGCCCTGTCGCACCATCGCCGAGAACGCGGGCGTCGAGGCGTCCGTGGTGCTCAGCAAGGTGATGGAGGCCACGGGTGACGTGGGCTACGACGCTGCCACCAACACCTACGTCAATATGGTCGAGGCAGGCATCATCGACCCCACTAAGGTGAGCTGCAACCTCCATCAAAACATCTCAGGATTTGTGGGCTTCATCCCATGCCCTTCTCAAGGTTTTTTAATCCATATCGTTCGTGATCATGGAGTACCTAATCATAACTAGTGGATGCTTGGGTAAATGCTGTAGGCTGTGCTCCATGCAATTAAGTCGGGGAAAAGAGTAAATCCAATGGTGCAATGGTGCACGTTGGCTGTCCGTTTGATGGTTTCGGTGACGCACACTTAATTGTATTGAAACATCGCTATCGGTCATCTTGAGGCCTGTGTCTGTTCTTGACAACCCGTTATCCCCGTTAGCTCTGACCTCAGTACCGAGTTGTTTCTCACACGCCAGGAATACATAATCCTATGTGTGACCCATAGTAACAACATTCACAACTCCAGCCTGTGTGCTGCCCCGTCGCTTTGGGCCTACTTCTAACTTATGGTCGTGGCAGGTGGTGCGCACGGCGCTGACTGACGCAGCAGGCGTTGCATCTCTACTCACCACCGCCGAGTGCGTCATCACGGAGCTGCCTAAAGATGATGAACCTGCAGGAGGAATGGGCGGCATGGGTGGTATGGGAGGCATGGGAGGTATGGGTGGCATGGGCGGTATGATGTAAGCACAATACTGCCATGGAAGATTACCGAAGTGTGAAGAGCCGTCCGTCGTGTGATGGATAACGACAGGAGGAGTGGTGCTGATAGTCGTGTCTGCGGTCTTCGAACAGCTGATATTCGGGATCGTCTCGTACCTATGCGGACTTAAGGCTGATGTTAGTTTGAACAGAATTGTATAGACTTCAAGTGATATGTGACTCTGATAAGAACCCAATAGATTAAGCGTTGATTTTTTAAGCTCATTTAATTCCTGGTTGTCAGGGCTCCGTGTCAGTTCTTCGATCTTTTTTGTTCTTAGAAATTCAAGGCGATAAAGTCAACGAACTTCAAAGTCACCGCGCAATAAAAGGCTGCTCTGTGACGCCTCGTTTCTTCTGTGAATCCCACTGTTCATGACATGCAGCTTCGTAGGATTTTTTCGGAAGACGCGTGCTCCTTGGACGTTCTTTTTTTCACTTACCAGAGAAGAAAATTTTGGGTCGCCCATCGAACTGTGCTATGGGCTGGAGCTCCAGGGCTTAGTTTGACACTTTCGATATTTAGGCCGCCGTCAAGAATTTCTGACGATATCTTTAGTTTAACAAATTACACGAATCTGTTGGAATGACAGTGTATGTCAGAGGAGATATTTGTCGCTGCGATGAGGGTGCCAATCTAGCCGAAGTCAATGCTTGAAATAATAGTCGCATTAGTACTCGTCGATGTGACATCGACCAGAAAAAAAAATATTCCAGCTGGCGTCGAACAGTAGAGTTGAAATTATGCCTGCATTTCTCGTCTGTAATTTGTGCATACGTTTTATAGCAAAACGTGCCCTACTCGGACCTTCCTTCTTGCTGGTTGAACTCTTTAGTTTCTTATAGAAACCTGTAACTAGGGTAGTGTGATGACAGTTGTGCGATGGAACTGTAAAATTGTTGATAATTACTAGAAAAATATCAGTTTGAGTCACCAATGACGTGTGATGATGCCTTAAGTATCGCGGCACGAGTCAGACAGACAACCATGGCCCTGTAAGATACCGCCAGTGGCAACGATCTTGGTGCTGATTAATTGTTTTAGTTAGAGGAGCGCGTCGTGTAACTTCTTCCATAACTCGTGCAGGCGTTGAGCTCAGAACAATTGTGCTGCTCCTGTGGAGTTGGCGAGTTTAATATAAACGTGATGCGAGACTCGCGTCGTTTGCGGCCCTATCTTACGAGCTGCCTGCCATAGCGCCGTTATTGTTCAATGTAATGTCCTGCTTATGGAGGGCATTCCTGCATTCGTGTGCATGTGATGACCTAAGTTGTAAGGTTTAGTGAGTAGCGCCTGCCTCTTCATGTCCCGCCCCTAGCATGACCTCCGTTGCGGTGGAGGTTCCCTCTTTTATCCATCTACAATACCTCATAATTTGTACCATTATAATTCTGCTTTAGTTTCTCATTGTTCATATCTGCTGCGCTGCCCATCGACAACCTTGTACAAAAGTGTAGATAAGATACGAGCGTTACGCTCGTGCCTACTTCTCAGTACACATTTTGTTAATACTCGGATTTTTATTGACCCTGCGGTGATCGTGAGCGTTTGAGTTTCTTTGGATTCTGCTCTGAAATTAAACGAAAAAGAAGTTCTGACAGATGTTGGTGCCCGAAACTAACGTCGTCCATGACGCCCATCCTCTCTCTGGCAGGTGAGTTGAAGATGATCCGTGCCTGACCTCAGATAATGCCGACGGAGGTGAAGAAATATTACCCATGCAAGAACTGCTTTTAGAATCTGCCCATGTAGTCCGAACTATTTAGGATTTTACGCAAGTCATCGCAACGTTAATCGTAGCTAGTCGTAGGGTAGGTTCGGCCTAATATGCTTACGATGAACTTCTGAAGGAAAGTACAGTCTTGGCAATATTGTCACTATCGCGATACAAGCTTACTTGCATCAGAGTGCAGAAGTGCCTGTACTGACACTAACAATGCTAACTCAATGCTAGTGCTACGAACAACAGGGTACCTCCCAGGCTAAGTAGTCAGAACGCCGTCTGAGGAACCTGTGCCGTATAGTGAGAAGCTGTCGAATACACTGAAGGAAATGCAGAGATCGCGGATGCTAACGTATGTTTGAGCATTGTGTCGCAATAAGTAAATGGTTTAAGTTTAGTTAGATTGAACGTTTTGTATGGCATCTCGGCTGGCAAGTGACACCGGTGTCGGACGGACGATAAAGCAACGCTTGTCGATGAGGGTAAAACGAAACAAATTAACCCTCTATACCGCCGTATGGCACTTTCCAGGAACATAACTTTCACTTAAATTATACGTAAACTATTGAGTGTAGCAACCTGAGGACGTTTGTACGCAACAGAGAACATTTAAAGTTGTACGTGAGGGCAACCATCAGTGCAGGTCATTTTGCGCTCACTAGAATGTATGCGTATCCTTTTTGGGAAGTAGGCTTGTGACAATATTGCTCCGGTTACTCATGTCAGGCGGTAGAGAGTTAACCGAAATAACGAAATCGTGTCAATTAACACGCCTTTGCGTTGACGAGGCAGACCCGGAGGTGTTGTAGAGCTGGGGATGTTGCAGCGCCGGGGTGTCCCGGGGGTGACGTGAGATTGCAGGATCGTGGGTTCAGTGAGAATTGAGATTCACTTAGTGGTTGAATGGTTAGAAGGTTGGCTGATGGTTCAATGGTTGATGAATTTGATAGAGCGTATAAATAAGTCGACACAAAAAGTCACCGACGACACAAAAATTTATAATACAGTGAAGAATACGTCGCAAAAAGTACAGTTGCAAGGTGATCTTGACAGGTTGATTGACTGGGCTGATAAGTGGCAGCTGCGTTTTAACGCTGATAAATGTAAAGTAATCCACCTTGGCAAGAATAATGAATAGCAACATTACAGTATGAGAAGACAGAGTGATTACAGTAATGTAACGACAGAGTGATGATGTTGAAGTCGACAATGGAAAATGATTTAGGAGTTAATATCGACAATGAATTGAAATTTTCTAAGCATATTGAAGGTCAAGTTAATAAAGCCAATAAACGACTTGGTCTGATCAGACGCTCTTTCGAGTACTTAGACGCAGAAGCGATGAAGCAGTTGTTTGTTGCGGTCGTGCGCCCGAACCAATAGAGTTTGGAAACGTCGTGTGGTCACCGAAACTTGAAAAGGACAAAAATTTAATTGAGAGAATTCAAATACGTGCAACAAGGATAATTCCGAGCATGAAAGGCAAGTCCTATGAAGAAAGATATTGAAGATTCCAAGCCTCTGTTATCGACGTCTGCGTGTTGACCTCATTGAAGTATACAATTATACCCACGGTTTATACAGGGTCCCAGAAGGATTACTAGAATTTAAAACAAGAACCAACACCATGGGCCACGGCTATAAACTAAAAAAACTTCGTTCTAACACATCAATGCGACAAAATTTCTTCTCGCTACGAGTCACCGACATGTGGACAGCCTTCCTGATAGCATCGTTGACGCTCCGAGTATGAAAGCGTTCAAGAACAGACTAGACGAAACTATGCAATATGTTCAGTCTTATTATGCCTAGCAAATTACGGACCAGGAAATAAGTCCAGCAGCTATCTCAATCAATCGTCAGTTACGAAAAGATCGGGTTACAAAGGCCGGATCCCTTGTGAATCTAGTCACGATATGTACAAGAATCTGCAACAGGCTGTGGGCCTATTTCTTCAGTGCCGACACTTCTACGTATTCTATTCTAAAACGCTAGAGTACCCACGAATTCAAATATAAAGAATGTGAACAAATTATCCGCTAAAAACTTCGATGAAGAGAATCATCATCTGCTCAAAACTACAAGAATGCAAGCAAAATGAACAGAGAAGTAAAATTTACTAGGTGGAGGTTAAACCGAACAACTCACTCACGGTTCGTGTTTAGCTAGCGGTTCGAGCTGTCCGACGGTTCGAGCTCGACCGGTGGTGCAAGGATATGGTCGCACTTCTTCGCATGAATTCCTGCATTGTTATCGTAGGACAGACTCTTATTATAGTCATGGTGAATGATTTTATTCGTAGTGATGTGTTCAGAAGATTGATGATAGTGACGCTACGATACTTCGACCCCTGATGTTGAGGACACTCCGACCCCTGATGTTGAGGACACTCCGACCCCTGATGTTGAGGACACGCCGACCCCTGATGTTGAGGACACTCCGACCCCTGATGTTGAGGACACTCCGACCCCTGATGTTGAGGACACTCCGACCCCTGATGTTGAGGACACTCTGACCCCTGATGTTGAAGACACTCCTATACCCGGAAGAGGACCTTGACCGCTCCTGTAACCCTGTGGTTCAAGTACTATTTCTGGAGGGGAACTTTATATTTCAAGATGATAATGCCCCGATCCATTCAGCTGGAATTGTTAGAAAGATGGCACGAGGAACATTGTAATGAAATTGAACATCTCATTTGGTCACCACAATCGCCAGACCTGAATAATTATTCGAGCATTTATGGTATATTTTAGACATGCAAGTCAGAAGTCGATTCCCACCGCCATCGTCTTTAGAAGAGCTGGAGGGAATTTTAACTGAAGAATGGTTTAATATTCTTTTGGAAACAATTCGCAATTTGGAAACACAATTCAAAATGAATCGAAACATTGGAGAATTGAGGCTGCAATTGACGCAAAAGGTGGACATAAACCATGCTGAAATATATTTTATGGATTTTCTCAGGTATTTCCCGTATTTTGTCTAGCCCCTGTGATAATTTTAGCAAATGGAGATTTGAACGCAGTAGAAGAAATGTACCCGCACCACAGTCATACAATACACAGCAGATACACTCCACATTCCTGAAGCCCCATAGGCCAACAGAATTGTCCCCAGCACCATTGTTCTTATGTACATAGCCTCATATACCCAAGTCCTAAAAACATATAACGAAAATCCCCAGCCTTACAACCCTCAAGTCTCCAGCTTCACAGCCCTAAGTCCTCAGCCTTTCCGTCCTTCTGGAGTCCCCAGCCTAATAGTCCCAAGTCTCCAGCTTCACAGCCCCAAAGTCCCAAGCTTCAAAGCCCCAAGTCCCCAGCTTCACACTCCCCAACCTCGAGTCCCCTGCAGCTTCACATCCTCCAAATTCCCAGCTTCACAGCCCCAAGTCTCCAGCTTAATACTCCCCAGCCTCAAGTCCCAGCTTCACAACCATCAAGTCCACTGCTTCACAGCCCCAAGTCCCCAGCATCTCCGTCCCACTCGAGCCCCCAGGCGATGTTGACTCACCACGCCGCGGTTGCCCGCTCAGCGGAAGTGACGCTCTTTTCGCCACCGAAATCTTTCAAGTTCGTCGCCATGCAGGCGCCGGGGTCGCATTTTACGTTGCAGGTTATCCGTATGCGAGACGTGCAGGTGACTGGCGGTTGCTTTAGCGACATTGTGATTACTTCGAAAATCCGGTTCCCGGTCGTAAATCGGGATCCTGCGTCGCATCCTTACGAGTCTGACGTTTGAACTCGGTACTCTCAAGTCAACAGTGCCCGTGCAGATGTCGTGGAGAGAGGTTATGTGACGCGCTCGCTTTGTCATGGCAGCCCCGCTGGCGTTGATTGTGCAAATATCGTAATTACAAGAGGCCTGCAGAGCCCATGTGAAAGTACACTTCAAAGTTGATGAATGGTACGACGCGCGAGGGAAAGTGAAATCAAATGTACTACGGATGCAAACGAGTGTTACAGGTAAGACCTATTCTCGGACTGCTACGCAATGTACCATCGTTTTCGTCGGATTTTTTTCGGTCGTCTTCCTCCATACCGTCGTTAGGTTAGGTAAAACTACCCGAACTACTCTTTTATTACTGAACAATAGCATTTTAATATAAAAATAGAGTCTATGAAACTGTGATGAAGACTTAACGACGTAAATGAAACAGCATTTGCCGTGAAGATGATAGTTACGCAAGTTGGATGTAGGAATGCCGCAGCAGCTGTGGTGAGTGTGATGCAATGCGCGCCTATATATGGTGTGTTAGTGACCGCACTAATTTCAACTGGTCAAACCCACGACTGGGGCGTTCAGCACCTCACTCACTCGTAGGAATAGCACTGCACTGCACACTTCGTAGGAATAACACTTTATTGCTTACTTGCTTGTAGGAATAGCACTACATTGCACATTTCGTAGGAATAGCACTGCACTGCATACTCCGTAGGAGTAGGAATAGCACTTCACCGAACACGCTGTCTCGTAGGAATAACACTGCACCGCATGCGGTCTCGTAGGAATAGCACTGCACCGCACGCGGTCTCGTAGGAATAGCACTGCGCCGCACGCGGTCTCGTAGGAATAGCACTGCACTGCACGCCGTCTCGTAGGAATAGCACTGCACCGCACGCCGTCTCGTAGGAATAGCACTGCACCGCACGCGGTCTCGTAGGAATAGCACTGCACTGCACGCCGTCTCGTAGGAATAGCACTGCACAGCACGCCGTCTCGTAGGAATAGCACTGCACTGCACGCCGTCTCGTAGGAATAGCACTGCACAGCACGCCGTCTCGTAGGAATAGCACAACACAGCACGCCGTCTCGTAGGAATAGCACTGCACCGCACGCTGTCTCGTAGGAATAGCACTGCACTGTTATAATAGATCGTCCCGTATGAGCAAGAAAGGGTCGGAGGTGAAGGGCACTGAGCTTCAGTCACGCCCGGCCGACGTCTCGTGCGTACGAATAACATTGTTGCTGAGTGGACCAGACATGCTGCAGTTGGCTGCCCTGCTGGCAGTTGGGGCGCAGTTGGCTGCCCTGCTGGCAGTTGGGGGTGCAGTTGGCTGCCCTGCTGGCAGTTGCGGCTCAGTTGGCTGCCCTGCTGGCAGTTGGAGCTCAGTTGGCTGCCCTGCTGGCAGTTGGAGCTCAGTTGGCTGCCCTGCTGGCAGTTGGAGCTCAGTTGGCTGCCCTGCTGGCAGTTGGAGCTCAGTTGGCTGCCCTGCTGGCAGTTGGAGCTCAGTTGGCTGCCCTGCTGGCAGTTGGAGCTCAGTTGGCTGCCCTGCTGGCAGTTGGAGCTCAGTTGGCTGCCCTGCTGGCAGTTGGAGCTCAGTTGGCTGCCCTGCTGGCAGTTGGAGCTCAGTTGGCTGCCCTGCTGGCAGTTGGAGCTCAGTTGGCTGCCCTGCTGGCAGTTGGAGCTCAGTTGGCTGCCCTGCTGGCAGTTGGAGCTCAGTTGGCTGCCCTGCTGGCAGTTGGAGCTCAGTTGGCTGCCCTGCTGGCAGTTGGAGCTCAGTTGGCTGCCCTGCTGGCAGTTGGAGCTCAGTTGGCTGCCCTGCTGGCAGTTGGAGCTCAGTTGGCTGCCCTGCTGGCAGTTGGAGCTCAGTTGGCTGCCCTGCTGGCAGTTGGAGCTCAGTTGGCTGCCCTGCTGGCAGTTGGAGCTCAGTTGGCTGCCCTGCTGGCAGTTGGAGCTCAGTTGGCTGCCCTGCTGGCAGTTGGAGCTCAGTTGGCTGCCCTGCTGGCAGTTGGAGCTCAGTTGGCTGCCCTGCTGGCAGTTGGAGCTCAGTTGGCTGCCCTGCTGGCAGTTGGAGCTCAGTTGGCTGCCCTGCTGGCAGTTGGAGCTCAGTTGGCTGCCCTGCTGGCAGTTGGAGCTCAGTTGGCTGCCCTGCTGGCAGTTGGAGCTCAGTTGGCTGCCCTGCTGGCAGTTGGAGCTCAGTTGGCTGCCCTGCTGGCAGTTGGAGCTCAGTTGGCTGCCCTGCTGGCAGTTGGAGCTCAGTTGGCTGCCCTGCTGGCAGTTGGAGCTCAGTTGGCTGCCCTGCTGGCAGTTGGAGCTCAGTTGGCTGCCCTGCTGGCAGTTGGAGCTCAGTTGGCTGCCCTGCTGGCAGTTGGAGCTCAGTTGGCTGCCCTGCTGGCAGTTGGAGCTCAGTTGGCTGCCCTGCTGGCAGTTGGAGCTCAGTTGGCTGCCCTGCTGGCAGTTGGAGCTCAGTTGGCTGCCCTGCTGGCAGTTGGAGCTCAGTTGGCTGCCCTGCTGGCAGTTGGAGCTCAGTTGGCTGCCCTGCTGGCAGTTGGAGCTCAGTTGGCTGCCCTGCTGGCAGTTGGAGCTCAGTTGGCTGCCCTGCTGGCAGTTGGAGCTCAGTTGGCTGCCCTGCTGGCAGTTGGAGCTCAGTTGGCTGCCCTGCTGGCAGTTGGAGCTCAGTTGGCTGCCCTGCTGGCAGTTGGAGCTCAGTTGGCTGCCCTGCTGGCAGTTGGAGCTCAGTTGGCTGCCCTGCTGGCAGTTGGAGCTCAGTTGGCTGCCCTGCTGGCAGTTGGAGCTCAGTTGGCTGCCCTGCTGGCAGTTGGAGCTCAGTTGGCTGCCCTGCTGGCAGTTGGAGCTCAGTTGGCTGCCCTGCTGGCAGTTGGAGCTCAGTTGGCTGCCCTGCTGGCAGTTGGAGCTCAGTTGGCTGCCCTGCTGGCAGTTGGAGCTCAGTTGGCTGCCCTGCTGGCAGTTGGAGCTCAGTTGGCTGCCCTGCTGGCAGTTGGAGCTCAGTTGGCTGCCCTGCNGGGCGCCTTACGCACGGCTAATGGGCGCCTTACGCACGGCTAATGGGCGCCTTACGCACGGCTAATGGGCGCCTTACGCACGGCTAATGGGCGCCTTGCGCACGGCTAATGGGCGCCTTACGCACGGCTTATGGGCGCCTTACGCACGGCTAATGGGCGCAATACGCACGGCTAATGGGCGCCTCACGCGCGGCTAATGGGCGCCTTACGCACGGCTAATGGGCGCCGTACTCACGGCTGATGGGCGTCTGTGATAGATGATATATGTGAGATGATATTTTGAGGCAACGGGAGGTTTTCAGATGGCCGAGGAATGGCCAGCGGTCGGCTAGAGCCAACTGGATCCGGCCGACCACTGGCCATCTATTTATTATTGACCCGCTTATTGTTTGCTTTCACGACAAGAACCGGTGTGAGCTGAGTAATTTACGACGTTTGTTTTTCCTCATTGCCACCACGACGCCTTCATTAGAATTGTTACTCTTAGGGAGTTTTACTTCAAATGTGAGCATGCTTGTTATAGCTAATTTTTGATGATAAATATGTACAAGAAGGAGGCTGATAAAAAATGACGGGCAAATCCATCAGTGAGAATAAAAAGCATAACATTTTAACATCTCGGACAAGTGTGGAAGCCGAACTATTCTAGAAAATTAATATTTAAATTTTCACGAAATTTTCCTTCACCAAAATTTTTTTGATACAAGTTTACATATAGTCTTTATTAATGTGCAGTGATTGCTAATAAATAGCTGAATGAGCATAAAAAATTCAGATAAATCCCTGACAAAATTCGGGATATTAATGGGCGGTTATTCAGTTGACCAATTCTCGTAAGAGTTATTCTGGGTCTGGTTGGCCAACTGATCACAATCAGCGACTAGTCAGAACCTCATTGCCGACTTTATTGTCTCCCGAGAGTAGGGAAGAGTTGGCAGAATAAGGACCAGGCGCTTGTAGCTGTCTGATTCGGGGACCGGAATGTAGACCGAAGAGCGGACATAGAGAAGCTGGTGGACTATGCTCCCCGAGTCCTAGGCGTTCCTTAATCCAGAGCCGCCCTCGGCTCTAAATTTTGTTATGGGATCCTAACAAAATTAGGAGGCATGCGCGACCCTTCATCAGGGTCACCTAGGAGTCGGGGAGCACGTAAATCAGCTTCTCTATATGTCTGCTTCGGCTAAGGGTTCGAAGGGCAGCTTCCTAACTCGGTACGACTCAGCTCGGCCAACCCTTGTCATTCTCTCAGGCGAATATAAAGTTGGATAAGATATTCTAACAGGAAACTGATTTCGATCGGGTGGCCAAGCAGACCCAGAATAACTTTGCGCCGAGTGTAGTGACTACTCGGCCGAAGCCTATAGTGGTCCCAAAATTTTGATAGGGTTATGTCATTTACAAGTGGAGTTACAACGAATTTACCTAATGAGAGAATCCTATATAGGAAGCAGCCAGGCCTGTCTCAGGACTCGCGGTTCTCAACACTTCTCTCAACTTCTTCTTTACAGACGCCGCCCATGACAGCGTCCACCGCCGCCCGTGACTCCGTCCACCACCGCGCATGACCCCGTCTATTGCCGCCCGTGACCCCGTCCACCGCCGCCCATGACCCCGTCTACTGCCGCCCGTGACCCCGTCGTCCGCCGCTCATGACTGCTCAGTTTAGGGTTAAGGCTCAGTTTAAGGTTAAGGCTCAGTTTAAGTGTTAAAGCTCAGTTTAGGGTTAAGGCTCAGTTTAGGGTTTAGTTTAATTTAAGAGCTTAATTTAATCAGTTCAATTTCTAAGACTAACGCGCCCCTCAGCCAATGTTCGTGATGCTATAACTCGAGGTCATAGGGCGTTTTAAATAATTCTCTCTCCCCACCTCCAGGTTGTCGGCCGCCGTGGTGGGAGATCGCCACCCGCCGCTCCCGGTACCGCTCTTGCCCCGCCATGTGCCCCGCCACCGCCGCTGCCTCGGCCGCCCGCCTCACTGCCCGCCTCGAGAAACTTGCTTCCTCCCCAGACCTCAAGGTGACACCCGCGGGAAGACCTCAGCCTCACCCTCCTAAGCCTCATGCGTATGAATCTGACCCTTAAATGCCCCGAACCTGACCCTTGAACGTCCCAAACCTGACCCTAGAATGCCCCGAACCTGACCCTTGAATGCCCCGAACCTGACCCTTCCCTTGAATGCCCCGAACCTGACCCTTCCTTTGAATGCCCCGAACCTGACCCTTGAATGCTCCGAACCTGACCCTTGAATGCTCCGAACCTGACCTTTGAATGCCCCAAACCTGACCCTTGAATGCTCCGAACCTGACCTTTGAATGCCCCAAACCTGACCCTTGAATGCTTTGAACCTCACCCTTGAATGCCCCGAACCTCACCCTTTGTAGCCCCGAACGTAACCCTTGAATGCTCCGAACCTTACCCTTGACTGCCCCAAACCTGACCCTTGAATGCCCCGAATTTGATCTTTGAATGCCCTGAACGTAACCCTTGAATGCTCCGAACCTGACCCTTAAATGCCCCGAACATGACCCTTGAATGGCTTGAACCTGACCCTTGAATGCCTCAAACCTGATCCTTGAATGCCCCGAATCTGACCCTTGAATGCCCCGAACGTAACCCTTTGAATGCTCCGAACCTGACCCTTTTTATAAATGCCCCGAAAATCAGCGTTGAATGTCTCCAACCTGACCCTTGAATGCCCCGAACCTGACCCTTTGTTGCCCCGAACGTAACTCTTGAATGCCTCCAACCTGACTTTTGAATGCCTCGAACCTGACCCTTTGTTGCCCCGAACGTGACCCTTGAATGCCCCAAACCTGACTTTTGAATGCCCCGAACCAGACCCTCAGAGATTCTCTTATCAAGCAACAAATTTCTTGTGTTAGTTGTGGCCAGGCGTCAGTAACGTTTGTTGTTGCAGACGCCTGACGCCGAGGAGCTGCGCCGCACCGTCGCCTGCCTAAGGCGCCACAGCAACATCCTCAGCAGCGGTGAGCCCTTCTTAACCCTTCTTAAACCCGGCAATGGCAAGTGCGAATGTGAGGACTTGGCGAAACATTATCGAAACGTTCAATACATTGAAAGACATTATCGAGACGTTCAAATACATTCAAAGACATTATCGAGGCTTTCAATACATTGAAAGACATTATCGAGACTTTGAATACATTGAAAGACATTATCGAGACTTTGAATACATTGAAAGACATTATCGAGACTTTGAATACATTGAAAGACATTATCGAGACTTTGAATAAATTGAAAGACATTGTCGAGACTTTGAATACATTGAAAGACATTGTCGAGACTGAATTAATTGAAAAAATTATCGAGACTTTCCCTGTTTTTGTGAGATCTCATTTACGCCCCGCGACGCGTTACGTGGCAAGACTTCATGTATAAGAGTATGGTCGACCTCCCATTAATTAAGCTGCTGCCGCACGTACTGTCGTGTTGTTATTGTACTGAAACCCGGCGATAGGTCTGATGTACAGTGAAATGATTCAAGTCCTGCTTGAAAAAAAATATTTTCTTTCCTACGCCACCCTCATTTTATAACACTTCTCTTTAACTTCACTTCTTGTTTGTCTGTCTGCTACAAATCTTATAATCGAAATTTAACACACTTCTACTAATCCTATCGATCTGAAATTTTGCACACTTGTGTAAAGTTGGAGACAATGCATGAATCAATTGACAGAATAAACGATTTGAAAAATGAAAAGAATAAAATTTTTCAATATTAAAAATATTGAAAAAATAATTTTGTCAGCTACAAATCTTAAAACTGATATTTGACACACTTGTACCTGTCCAGTTGATCTGAAATTTTGCACACTTGTGTAAAGTTGGAGGCAATGCATGAATCAATTGACAGAATAAATAATTAGGAATAAGTTTTTTATTTATTACAAAAAAATGAAAAAATTAATCTTTTAATATTCGGAAATAAATTGAGAAATTCGTTGTACATGTGTAACATTGGAGACACTGGATTCTTTAGAAGTATTGTCTTTAAAAAGTAATTTTTAAATGTATATTATTTTTAATTACAAGTGAAGTTGGAACGCAGAAGTTGAGTTGAGCTACAGCAGCAAGCGTGACTGGACGTATATGCGTGTGGTGGCCATATATATCAGTGTTGTGTGTTGCGGGAACGCCGGCAATGCCATTGTTGAACCAATGAACTTCAACCACGGGCAATACACCCTCCAATCAAGCCAGCAGGCGATTTTTGCAACAATTTATTCATCATCGATTGAGAAACAATTCTAATTGGCTTATGATTCAATTTGAAATTTGAATAAAGTTTGAAAATTAAATGTATTGATACTTTAAGCGAAAACGATGAATGTTCGTTGCCCGATGGACCTCACATTGGCCATAAAGTTGTCTGCTGTCTCGAGACGCCATATATAGAGGTTTGTCCAATTTCGTATCCACAATACCGGACTATATAAAGTCTGGTGTCAAAATTCGTCTTCATCATCGATTTTATTTGAAATTTCGATCGAATTAAAATTCTTTAAGAAAATGGCTGGTCTCCAAAGACTCATGGAATGCTCTTCTATGTCAGGCTAAGGCTTGTCGGACTGGCAATTCGCCAGTCCTGCCTACGCCAGTTAGGATCCCTGGGATCCCAGCTCACCCTTCCCAGCAAAAGATTGCTCTGGTAAAGCCAGTAGCTCTCTGGTGACGCCAGAGCTGAGCCGAAGCGAGGCGCCGTCCCCCAAGAAGGGGAAGAGATTCACCGCATTCTTGCGGGGACTCTTTTGTGGCTGTTGCAAGCCACGCGGCGAGAGCGACGGTGGCCGGTGAATGGTAGGAAGTTTTATTCATTGGATCCCGAAGGACCCCCTCCTAACTCCCTTCCCCCAAGAGCAGAGCAGTAGCCTTCACATTGCTACTGCTCTGCTCTTGGGGGAAGGGAGTTAGGAGGGGGTCCTTCGGGACCCAAAAATAAAACATCCTGCCTCCTAAAGGGGAGGGGGGGTCCTTCGGGATCCAATGAATAAAACTTCCTACCTGCTGTGGAGGCTACGATCATTGGAACACCGTCAATCCTAGCTGCGACATTTGGCCTACGTGAGGTAATATGCGGAACATTTTTTCCCCAAAAGGACGATTTTTTTTTGTCCGATGTATAGTATCTCACATTGGACATAAAGTTGTCTGCTGTTTCGAGATTTGAGATACCATGTATAGAGGTTTGTCCCATTGCGTATCCACGATACCGGACAGTCTGGTCCCAAAATTTCGCCTTCATCGTCGATTTTACATTGGAAATTTGTGGCTGCGGCAGACAACAAGGCGACGTCCGAGAGCGACGGTGGCTGGTGAACGGTAGCACCCATTTCTTGATTTGGGGCGCTGACTTCGGCTAGGGGAGAAGGGGTGGTCCTTCGAGACCCAAATAATGAAACAACCTACCTGATGGGAAAACGGGGTTTATTCGAACCTACGTCAATCAACGCATCCGGAATGCGTAGTCCGGGTGTATCCAAATTTCTGTGATCGACTACCACTTTGTGATATTGAAGTCGCCGGGGCATAAACGTTTCAAATATCTTTAATATAACAAATTTAGTTTGTGTATCAGCAGTGCGTTCGTGTTGTAAGCTCGGCGCCGCAAATATATAGGCAGGGCTAAGTAAACGCTTATTCACCATACGCCGGAATATTTCCTCCGAGTAAAAATTAGTTCATGACAGAATATGGTGGAAGTTAGTTAATTAGGATTGGAATTTGATTTTTAAATCAGAATTTATAGATTGAATTTAAAATTTGCATTTTCCTATTTTTGAACGACAAGCAAGTGGGTGTTCTAAGTTCCATATAGCATGTATAGCTTTGAACTGGTATCGATATTTTTATTACATTAATTAATATGAACTGGTCTCTTTTTACAACACTTTCCGTTAATTTCACTTCTTGTTGTCTGTCTGCCTGCTATAAATCTTATAACTGATATTCACTTCATTTATTCTGTCACTTGATTCATGCATTGTCTCCAACTTTACGCAAGTGTGCCAAATTTCAGATCGATTGGATATGTAGAAGTGTGTTATTTAACACACTTCTACCTATTGTGTAACACACAAATTTATGAACTGGTCTCATTTTTACAACACTTCTCTTTAACTTCACTTTTTGTTTGTTTGTCTGCCTGTCTGTGTGTCTGCTACAAATCTTATAATCAAAATTTAACACACTTCTACATACTTATCCTATCGATCTGAAATTTTGCACACTTGCGTAAAGTTGGAGACAATGCCAGAATCAAATAACAAAATATAAATGATTTTAAAAATTGACAATTTTTATTGTTTTAATGTTAAAAAAATTGAAAAAATAATTTTGTCTCGCTGCAAATCTTATAACTGATATTTGACACACTTTTACCTGTCCAATTGATTTGAAATTTTGCACACTTGTGTGAAGTCGGAGGCAATGCATGAATCAATTGACAGAATAAATATAAAAAATTATATATTAAAAAAATTTTATATATTAAAAAAATTGAAAAATTAATTTTTTTAATATTCGAAATTAAAATGAGAAATTCATTGTACATCTTTAACATTGGAGACACTGGATTCTTTAGAAGTGTTGTCTTTAAAAAGTAATTTTTAAATGTATATTATAATTACAACACTTCTCTTTAACTTCAATTCTTGTTTGTTTGTCTGTCTGTCTGTCTGCTACAAATCTTATAATCAATATTTAACACACTTCTACCTGTCCAATAGATCTGAAATTTTGCACACTTGCGTAAAGTTGGAGATAATGCATGAATCAATTGACAGAATAAATAATTTTATAATTTAAAATTTTTTTCATTATTGAAAAAAGTAAAAAATAATTTCGTCTGTTCCAAATCTTATAATCCATATATGACACAATTTGAAATGTCCAATCGATCTGAAATTTTGCACAATTGCATAAAGTCAGAGACAATGCATGAATTAGTTGACAGAATAAATAATTTTGAAAATTTACAAAATTTTGATATCATGAAAAAATGTTGAAAAATAATTTTTTTTTTCAATACATGAAAATAAAATTAGAAATTCATTGCACATGTCTAACATCCAAGGCACTGAATTGTTCAGAAATGCCTTTTAAAAGTAATTTTAAACGCATTTATTATTAAATCTCTTGTAAATATGTCTTCAAACGCACAAGTAATGACATGGACATACGACGCGTCAAGAATGAACGAAAATAAAGAACCCACGATATGATACAGAAACGTCATATAAATTGTACGACATCTCAGGCGGATTGCATGAGGTGCGATCGAGGCAACCAATCAGAGCGATGCAGTAAAGTCGTCGCCTACAGCAGCACCAACCTACCTACTCGACGGCCACTGGCGCACTGAGCTGAACCGGTCGCTCACTGGCTTCTTGATTGCGCTCCTACACGGGACAGTAGATAGTGGCGGCTAGGGCAACTTTGATATATTATCCGCCACTATTTACCATGCTATTGGCTGCATGAATAGGCGCTACAGGCCACGAAAGGTTTCAGTAACTCTTTACACAAGGTTAGCATCATGATAATAAGTTTCATTTAATATTTGATAGTTGCCGCCGCTACTGTCTGGTGTCCAAGGACCGACGTTAATGCGAGCTTTTAACACGAAGAAATCTTCATAAAATAAAACCAACGTGGTTGCAATATAATTAAATCTATTATTAGTGACCACGCGTGGAGCTTAGAGGCGTTGACAGACAAGCTGTGAGACTCGTTCTTGATACAAGAATACGATAGAATTTAAATAGAATGCGTGGGATAAGGGTTAGAGTTTAGACCCTGCAGTTTCCTTGTAACCCCCACCGACCCCCTAACTCCTGACACCCACAGGGCTGTTGGGGGGCTCCTACGACAGCGTCTCCAGCGAGCTGTCTACTCCCTGTGGGGGGCTGCAGGCCGCCCTCAGGCCCCCCGACGCCGCCAGCCTCACCCCCGCCCGGAATGGGTAGGCCGACAACCAACACTGGGTTGTTTTAATAAGAGTCAACACATGTTGAGCAATGTAACCGATATCCTTATGGGTCCAGTGAAAATTTGAAGACAATTGTTTTGGAATAATGGTAAAGATTCTATTAATTGCTTGAATTTATTCTCTGTGTTGTGATCAATTAAATGTGTGTTAAGTTTACGTTGGAGAATGAACACTGCCGGGCGGAGGAGGAGGTTCACTCCTCTGTTCACAAAATATATTAACGGTCTGTTATGCTATTCCTACCTCAATGTTTGGTGCCAAAAATTATCTATCGTAAGTACACTAAGGAATAAACAAGTCAACGCAAATAATTTACTAACCGTCCAGGTATATTGTTGCATTTGTTATAACATAACATAACATACTGATGTCGGCGCTGGAGTGTAGGCCTGTTGGGGCCTGTCGCCGATTCTTTTCCATTTCGTGCCTTGTTCACAGAAGATCTAATATCGTGTTATTTGCCCGGATCTTTTTATGACATGTCGGTGATTCCACATGTCGGTGATTCGAAGCGCGAAAAAATTTTGTCGCGTGGAGAAGTTGCAGCGCAATTTTTTTAGCTTATAGCCGTGGCCCCTGGTGTTTGCATTTTTAGCAATATTTTTTTCGAAGTTTTTCACTGCAGTGCGACAAACTTTTTTAGCTTGATTTCGAGCTCTGGCATACAGGTTATAATCAGACTCGCTGCGAGTTCGTAAATAACGCTTGTAGGCTTCTTTCTTGGTCTTTAGCTGAGTCTTAACTGCACTGGGCATCCACTGGGATTTTTTGACTCGTCCAAGCGTAATCTTGGGTACATAGGCATCAACTGCAGACATAACCGTGTCTTTGAGAAACGACCATGAATCAGCCACATTCATGTCCTTAATACAGTTCGAAATATTCGCCGCATTCACTGTTTCACGGAGTTTATCATAGTCGCCTTTCGCAAAGTTCAAACGTTCACGCTTCCGAAGCGTCTTTTCTGCACAACACTTAATATTGAAAAACAATGATTGGTGGTGGCTTTTGCCCAACGGAGCCTCGTGGCGAAGCTCATCTATCATTGATTCTTCACTAGTGAACACAAGATCTAGAATATTTGGGGTCTGTTTACCCCTAAAATGGGTTGGCTTGGTGATGTTCTGGATTAAAAATGAGTCTCGTACAGACTCAAAGGACAGGGATGCTGGGTGATTCTCATCTCTTGGAGAAGATTCAGCCCAGTCTATTTCTGGATGGTTAAAGTCACCAACGATCAACGTATGCGACCTGCTGAATGACATGCTCGGTAAAAGGCGGTTTAGTACTTTATTGTTATCAGAGGAGCTGTTAGGTGATCTGTAAATGACCCCTATGAGAAGGCTATCTTTTCCTTTTAGAGTAAGTTCACACCACACTGATTCTCTAGCTGATTGATGCTCTGCAGATAACTTAACTTGCTGGGCCCCATAAGAGGTTCTAACCCACAGAGCTACACCTCTACTGCACTGCTCTTCATTTAAGTTATGAAAACAATCAAAACCTGGCAGCTGAAATTCAACAGGTACAATTTTCCCCCCGTGACAATTTTCCCTCAGTTATAATTATATATTGTCGCATTTGGTATAATTAATACAAAAACTCCTGGCATAAAAATGACACATTTAATAGAATATTCGCGGCCGTGTTTTTAACGTACTATCGTGTCGCTGGGTTTCGTCGCATTTTCCTGCTCAGCGTTAGTGAGGATTAGCTCAGTTTTGGGTATCGAGCGCAGAAAACGCTTCATTGAGAGAAAACGACGCCCATTTAAAGCTGCGGCGCCGCCGGCTGGCGCTCAGTGCGGGTTGTGCTCGCTTTACAGCAGGATATGATGTGCTGCTCTGTATGTACTTTTCATTCTAATCTAATTTCTCACTTCTCTCCCCAAAAAAGCCAGGTCAGCTGCCACCCCGGAGGATGCGACGGCCCCCTGCCCTCCACAGACACCAACGCCAATGGGATGATGAAGAAAAGAAACTGGGTGGGTATATATCTAGGCTACCTCTATGCTCTGCGCTTCTACTCACCGTAACTGCATTTCGAACTGATATCTTTATTTTTGAAACACTCTGTGTACTGGGGCCGTATTATCAAAACTTCGTAAGTACGCAAAATCGACTTACGAGTGGCGTTGCTATGACAACCTAATAATAGTGGTGGTATTATCAAAACATCTGAGCGGGAAACATTTTCGTGGGAAAAACATTTACGCTTTTAGCTAAGACTTGCGTACGAAAATTTTGATAATGCCAAAATTCGGGTGTATTTACGTACCACATAACTTTTTTGTCGTAAGTACAAAAAGATACGAAGTTTTGATAATCCGGCCCCAGGTCTATCTAAGCTCTTTATCTTGATGGAGAACGCACGTTTTTTTCAGTTACGCAATTCCCTACGTAAAGCGTTTGGACGTAAGCGCAACAACGCCCACAATAAGAACAACAAGAAAAACGTCATCACAACCACACACGACCTACCACTGAACCACTGCCGTAACGCTGCCGTCACAAACCTCACCAACAACCGCAACATGGATGCTCAGCACAACCCTTCCGTTGGCCTTAGTAGTTGCTACGATCGTCGTAAAGCCAACAGTAACAGTTACGGTAGCCATCTTGGCGAAAACGGTTTCGGGCGCGACTGCAATTCTCACACGAAGACTTACGCTCATCGTAAGTGCTGTGCAGACGAGTCTCGGTGTCTGCTCCCCACCTCAAACAGCTCGCTGAGCATCAACCCGCTGGGGCTGCTGACCCCTCCCAACCGGAGCGTCGTTGCGCCGCTCTCAAACAACGCAGTACCAAGAACTAAAGTGAGCATAAACAAACTTCTATTGTACGCAGGCTAATAAAAAAAGTAATTGGCAAAAAAAGAAACTGTTATGTGCTTTTTAATTTCATGCCAACGCTTTGTCATCAATGTGATTTGTACATGCAAACGCTGGCGCTCAGTTATCATCACCGTGACTGTGGTACAACCGACCGTAGTAATGATGTCTGGTATACGTGCAGGGTGCCAGCAAGAGCTTGGACGCGCTGGACGACTGCTGGCACAGTAGGCACTCTTCTGCCAGGAACAGCGTCGTCTACACTGCCGGCAGCGCAGACCTGCTTTACCCCGCTTCCCACACTGCTGCTCTCCTCAGGGACAGGTGAGCTTAGGGAATAGACACGTCCACCTTCTGCAGTGACCTCGCACCTTTTCGTCCTGAGGGAGGGGCTGCTGCTGGTTGTCTCGCCCTCCGATGCCCAGGATGATAGCAAGGGATGTTGCATCTGCTATAGGTGGCCCTCTACTTAGTGCCCAAGATGATAGCAGGGGGCGGGGCTTCTATAGGTTGGTCCGCCCTTCGATTCCTAGGATGCTAGCAGGGGGTGGTGCTTCTGCCAGTTAGCCCGCCCTCATGCGCACAGGACTTTAGGGAGGAAGGGGTGAGGCTTCTTCTGGTGGCACTACCCGGCCTGTCGCCAGCTGTGTAGACGTCGTGTGAGGGAAGTGCTGGTGTGGAAATGCTTCTGCGCATGAACGAGCCAAACGCTGAGACACGCTTCCGACGCTGACGTTGCTGGTTTTTCAGTTTGCAGGGCGATATCAGCAGCAGTCAGATGCGGCAGGAGCTGACGGAGACGCAGGCGCAACTGCAGGCAACGCAGGACCTCAACCACAGCCTGCAGGTGAGGTGCCGCGCCCTCGTGTCCTTATTCCCCTCCCACCCTTGACAGGCTTGCCCCCTCCTCTCTCTCTGACGGTGCCTTGAGTTTCATTGATGCAATAAACACAAGTGATAGCTTTCTGCAGTGCTATTCGTACGTGAAGTGTCCCGCGTGTTCCAGATAGAGTGTCGTAGTCTGGTTGACCAGAGGGCGCAGCTGGTGGCGGCCATCAGGGACCATCTCGGACCTTCAGCGGACGCCGTCTTGGCGGCCATCTTGCCGCAGCGTGAGTGGGGGGGTTCGGCAAGGCCCTAATATCGTGGCACTGTTATCTTGAGACCGTATCCCGACACTTGTCTTGACACGTTGTTATCTTAAATTAATACTTCGTTTAATTAATAAATTAATACTTCGTTTAATTAATAAATTAATACCTCGTTTGTCCCATCAACAGCGGATTCAGATGATGCCATCAGCTCCCTTTCTCCTCCACCGTCCACCATTTCTCGCTATTCGTCCACCATTCCCCTCCACTTCTCTTCCACACTTCCTCCATATTCCACCTCTACTCTCAATAATCATGCTACCCCTCCTCATTCTTCTTCCACCCTGCCCCTCTATCCCCCCTCTTCCATGCCCCCTCACTCCACCTCAACCCTGCCTCACCCCTCCCCCACGGGGCGTCGACTTGCTGTGCTCGTGGTGGAGTCACTCACGGGAATTGGCAGCCCTAGGGAGGCGCTGACGTTTCCCGTGTCGTCCATGGGCACCCGTCACGTAGGCGACGTCACGGTGGCGCCCAAGACGACCTGGCAGGCGATGGACGGCTTGCTGCGGGCGACGCTCGATGTGAGTTCTTGGCACTTGAATAGACGACTTGGCAACTGTGACCTAAAATAAAGACGACGTGGCAGCTGATGCCTAACATAAAGACGATGTAGAAGCTGACATGACATAAAGACGACGTTGCAACTGTGACATAATATGAAGACGACGTGGTAACTGTGACATTACATAAAGACGACGTGGCAACTAAGACAAAACCTAATCAACGTGGAAACTGTGACCTAACACGGTCTCGGCCAAAAGCTTACACACGAGGAAAGCATTTGCTAAACAGTATTTTCACATTTGCAAGTGCCAGGCTGCCAGTGCGTCGTTAGAAGCTGTCGAGTGAGGTGTGGGCACTGTGGAATAGGGATCGTGGGATGGCGAGTTTGAGAAGGGGTTTGATGGAGCAGTTGGTGGCATTGAGACACCTCAAGCTGTGGAGGCGAAAACTTCGTCGATCAGCGTAGAGAATGGGTCTCGTTCAAGTTTAAAAAAAACTACTTTCTCAATTATTTTTTTTTAATATTCATCGTGACGTAAATTTCAAAGTAGGAATGGAAAATTTTGCTTTTGGAATATCTATAAGAACCGTTCAATATCATCTGAACACCTCTTAACGTTCTTAGAACCGTCATCGTTGGGACAAGACATAGTTCATAAGACTAGAAGCATTTGCCCAAAGCAGGAATAAAAAGCGGCGAAGACGCACACATCACGGCTGTTGAAGCTTGAAGCCCAACTGGTATCACTTCCTTCCTGGTATATAATCTAGCTCACTTGCTACAGACGTACGCCCTCAGCTAATTCCTCCTGAAAAAGAAAACGACACAATATTTGAAGTGCGAGGTACTTACAGCTAATACTATCTTTGACAGTTATGTAAATTAGTCTGGCAAACTGAATTTACTCGATGATCTATCGGACAAGGTGTGCTATTATTAGGGATATGTTGCTAAATTATATTTAACAGTATTTGGATCACAGTTGGTACTTATTAAGTCTAATAAATTAAATGGGACAAAAGTAGGAAGTTCGAGTCGAAGGGTAACTGCGCTAAATTATTATAGGCAAGGAACGTTGCTAGAAATGAGTTGCGGGGTAACTTGAGGAAATATATGTACATGGTCACTATACAAGTACCTAACTTTATAGGCTGGTATGCCATCCAGCGTGCTTACTCGCGTATTGGAATATGGGCAAAGCTGGCTGGCCCCCGACATGCGCGCCACAGACAGCAGACTTACTGAAACCCGGTACGCTCTATGTAGAACTGAAATAAAGATTGCTTGCATTTTTATCAGGCGACTGCGCCAAAATCGCTTTCAAATGTTTAAATAGAAAATTAAAAGTTGATTTCTATCTCAGCAATTAGGAATTAAATTAGCGTTCCATGATAATTTTAATCTAGCTTGAGGAGTGTGAACCTATGAGATTAACGTCACAATATTCACTGCTCCTCATGCAGCTGGGGCCAGCCTGCATGCCCTGCACTCAATGCTTTACCACACAACCCCTGCACCTGCACGGAGCGACGCTCACGTCTCTGCATACGAATCCGTTTGTCACCAGAAGTTCGCCGCTACCTTTAATTTTGTCGGAATGTCTCGAGCCTTACGGTCAAACGCCGGCAACTATCTTGTAAAAATACGATGACTTTGATAAGAGCTCAATGGCACTTTTTTCCACTGGGATTTCGTCAATTAAAACGTCGGTTAATACGGATAAAAAGAAATTTTATTTCAGCACGGAACAGACATTTTTAAAATTTCAAACTAGAGTGACATCAGGTTCAGGGTCCAGAAGCAGTTTAATAAATCTTTCACGGCACTGCCACGACTCTAGCGTCAGGGCAAAGAATCCCTGAGAGTTGTAGAGGCGCGAGTAAAGGTTATTATGTAGAGCTGGCAGGACAATTCTGACTAATCGACTCTCAGCCGCTCAGACCTGACCTTGTACTACGTCGCTACCGCTGAAGTAAGGTCCGACATCAATGTTACTAAGGCGGCTACGCTAGATGTAGCTTTCGGTATACAAATGCGATAAATAAAATGAATCCGGTTAATAGTGAACGACGTCCAACGTTCACACGCGTTGAATGATTTGGTTAGCAGAGTTTACGTTGATTGCAGGAACTCGTACATGGCGCTGACCGCTTCTATCCTCCCCCAGGAATACAGCCGACGCGTGCTCTGTGACCCACCCGCGGATGAACTTGAATTCAAAGACTCTTCCTCGAGCGGGGATGATGGACCTCTTCGAGGTCACGTGTCGAGACAAGCTCAGTTACAAAACACAAATTCCTCGACAAACGATTCAAAATCTAGCTTTTACGACTCTAAACCTTCCTCTTACGATTCCAAACCTTCCTCCTACGACTCCAAACCTTCCTCCTACGACTCTAATCCTTCCTCTTACGACTCCAAGCCTTCCTCCTACGACCACAAACTTCAGTCACACGACTGGAAATCTTCCGTGTGTGACCCCAGGAATGACTCTGTCGACCCAAGACCGAATCATAACGACACGTCTCCTGCTACGCCTCCCTCGACTTCCTCCACGCGCCCCAGCAGCCCCGGGGCCAGCCTTCTCACTCTGCACTGCTACAGGATGGCTGAGGTGGTGCGGTGCCCGGGGGCGGCACCCCCCGACCTCCTGCCGTATGGCTACTGCGTTGGTCTGGTCAACGAGATCTACGTGTGGCTTGCCGGGGCTGCCACATCGAGGGAGACCAGCCCCCGGGGGGAAGAAGCCTTTGGGGCTGCTGGTGGACTCGACTGTAAGGGGTCTGAACCCCAACCCGGCAGGGGAGTTGCTGATCCCGACCCTTCGAGTGTCAGCTTCTGCTGCAACTTCTTGCCGGGTGAGCGGCATGAACTTGAGCGTCTGCCGTAGGAATAGCATTGCGTATATCGATTTACTGGCATGGGCAGTAAAGGATCTATCATGAAATTTAGGTTGGAAATTTTCATTTAGGCGACGCACGTGCTGGCATGTGCAATAGTTAATTTATAGCATAGGTATTACTAGCATTGTAATGATCATACATCACAGCATTGTAAGGCCAATTATAAACTTCCTGCGTGTTGGATTGCAACAGGCGATAAAAAGCGAGTTGATGTGATGACGGCAGACGAACTCTCCGTTAACGGCTATGTTGCGCGTCTGTATCTCAGCTGTCGTTTCAGTTCGGCGCAGTAACAGCTTAATAATCTCATTATGATTAATATTAAATTAATATCTATGATATTAAGGAGCTCGGCCGTCCACCAAAGTATGCGTAAGATACTTGACGCGCACGCTATATACGCTACTCCTCATATGTAGGACCGCTGAAGTGCGAGGAGAGTAGATCGTAATATTGTCACTGCGCCTGAGCTTTATATGTTATACATTAAATAAAATGCAAGCCCTTTTAGTTTACTTATCTTTGCTCACGGCCAGGTTGCGATCGAGCATTTGGAGCCCAAAAATCGGGACGAATCTGAAACAGCGGCTGTGCTACTTCATATAGCCTAGGCCTCGTTTATGCACGCTTGAATATGCAGAGGCGTGCTTGTTCAATGGCTCGCGTGTCCTTGGCCGTTTCAATGGCTAATGGCTAAGGGTTAAAATCGGAATAGATAACGCTTAAAATAGCATATTTTATATCACATCATTTAAATCGTAGTTTGTATCAGGTAAAATAATTTATGAAACTTCTTTCATGCATTTTCCAGTAAATATTGATAAGCTCGACAAGACTCTTCGAATTGCATCAAGTATTACACATGGTAACAATGGTCAGCATTAATTAATGGCACCTACTGGCAGACAAGGCTACAAGCGGACCGCTCAGGTGCAGATTCTTAGCTCTCTTCAACTTGAACCGTTCAGGTTGACAGCGAGCAATGAACTAAAGACTGCTGCTACCGCTACCGCTGATTACGACCAGCCGCAGTCGCGCAGTTCAAAGGTCCTAACGCAATGTATATGGCACGACTACCCTATGCTTGCTACCTCGTGACTAGATGTGATTGAGAGGGTGATGCATTCAAAATCCTGCAAATTAATATTTAAAAATTAGTCTTAGGAGCGACAGTTTGCTGTCGTTCACAAGATGATTAAAAAATATTAAATTTGATTGATTAACACATTTAGTGATGCCTTGTTCTAACCACGCAGACACGATCGCGTCGCTCACGAGAGAGCTTCTCAAGACGCGGCGGCTGTTGGTGTGTGGGCCGCCGGGCAGCGGCAAGACCGAACTCGTGCGCGCCCTCGCCCACCACGTCACCGCCGCCCATCACGTCACCGCCGCCCACCACGTCACCGCTGCCCACCATCTCACAGCCGTCAGTAGCGCGGCTGACACCGCCCCCGTCAGCAGCGCTGCCAGCCCGAAATTCTTCACCGTGTCGGGCACTAACGGCCTGCAGTTGTGTCAGCTCCTGACGTCAACCGTCAGACAGAAGACCTACGGTGACAGAAGTAGCGCTATCAAGACAGACGCTGCAAGTGCCGTCAGCGGAAGACCCTTGACAGACCCACCAGCCCCACCCCTGCAGGTGCTGGTCATTGAAGACGTAGACCAGGGCGGGGGCGTCACGCAGACCATCGAGCGCTGCCTGTCGGGGGGCTCGTCGGGCTCTCACAGCAACCTGGTCCTCCTGGTGACCAGCGGCCTCCCTGCCGCGGCCCATGCCGGCCTCACAAACCTCTGCGACTTCCGGTGGGTGGGACCCACTAGGTGGGTCTAGTGTCTTGCTGTGGGACATGGCCCCTTGGTGGGTGGTGCCTAGTGTCTTGATGTGGGACATGGCCCCTTGGTGGGTGCCTAGTGTTTTGATGTGGGACATGGACCCTTGTTGGGTCTAGTGTCTTGATGTGGGACATGGCCCCTTGGTGGGTGGTGCCTAGTGTCTTGATGTGGGACATGGCCCCTTGGTGGGTGCCTAGTGTTTTGATGTGGGACATGGCCCCTTGTTGGGTCTAGTGTCTTGATGTGGGACATGGCCCCTTGGTGGGTGGTGCCTAGTGTCTTGATATGGGACATGGCCCCTTGGTGGGTGCCTAGTGTCTTGATGTGGGACATGGCCCGTTGGTGGGTGCCTAGTGTCTTGATGCACCGGCAGCTGCGTGGAGCTGACGTATGGATTGTTTGATGTGTCGGCAGCTGCGTGGAGCTGACGTATGGATTGTTTGATGTGTCGGCAGCTGCGTGGAGCTGAGTTATGGATTGTTTGATGTGTCGGCAGCTGCGTGGAGCTGACGCCTTCCTCGGACCTCACGCGAGGTCAGCTCGGTCGTGCACTGCGTCAGCGCTTCTACGCCTGCGAGCTACAGAGTCAGCGTCAGGAACCTCAGCTGCGCTGCATCGCTGCCTGGCTGCAGCAGCTATGGCTGCTGCTGAACCAGCCTGACTCGGCTGATGTGCAGGTGCGTTGAGCCGTTGACTGGTGCGTTGACTGATGCGTTGACTGGTGCGTTGACTGGTGCGCTGACTGGTGTGGTGACTGGTGCGTTGACTGGTGCGCTGACTGGTGTGTTGACTGGTGCATTGACTGGGGCGCTGACTGGTGCGTTGACTGGTGCGTGGAAGGCTCCGCTCACAATGCTCTGGAAAGCCTCGATGACGGAGGGAATTATCCCTTAGGGTCTCAAAAAGGGGCATGTAACGCCAATCCACAAAGGAAGTACGAGGGACATACCCCAAAATTACGGACCTGTGACCTTGACCTCACATGTGATTAAGATTTTTGAGAAGGTAGTGGCCAGGAGGCTTGTCCAGTGCATGGAAGATGCTGACCTGTATATTAACGGACAACATGGTTTCCGGCGTAATCGCTCCTGTTTGTCAGTTACTGGAGCACCATCACCGTCTTGTGGCCCAGCTGGAGGAGGGAGCTGGCGTGGACGTGGTATACCTGAACTTTGCTAAAGCTTTTCATAAAGTTGACCATGGGGTGCTTATTAGAATGCTGAGGCTGTTGGGAGTAGGAGGACCTGTTAGGGTGGATCCACAACTTCCTTACAAATAGAGTACAAGCTGTCGCAATTGGAAACTCGAGATCGAGAGAAACGAAAGTGAAAAGCAGAGTTACGCAGGGCTCAGTGCTTGGACCGATCCTCTTCCTCATCTACATTGCTGATATCGACTCAGAACTTACCTACGCATCTACATCGTCATTTGCGGACGATACAAGACTGCTGATGAAGATCACAGATGGCCTAGACTGCGAGAGGTTACATGATGATCTATCGTCAATCTACGATTGGGCCCTAGTGAACAATATGCAGTTCAATGGCACCAAGTTCGAAGTAATGAGATACAGAGTCCGCACAGAGATCGGGATGCCACATCGCTACCTGGCATCAGATGGCACAGAAATTGAGGAGAAGCAACTAGTTCGAGATCTCGGAGTGTTGATGAGTACTGAAGCCACGTTCGATGCCCATATCGAGTAAATAGTTGCGCGCAGCCGGCAACGGATGGGGTGGATATGGCGGACATTTCGAACGAGAGAAGCAGCACCAATGATTACACTCTTCAGAGCCCTTGTGCTCCCCAATCTTGAGTATTGCTGCCAGCTTTGGTCGCCACTCAAGGCGAGTGCGGAGCGGAAACTGGAGGCAGTGCTGCGGACCTTCACGTACAGGATCAGCGTCATGAAGGAGCTGGACCTGAAATACTGGGAAAGGCCGAAACACCTGGGACTGTAGGAGGAGAGGAAACACGTCACTGGAGAGGAGATGAGAGAGGTATATCATACTGGACACTTGGAAGATGTTAACTGTACTGGCTCCCAACTTTGAAATCGAGACCGTGTCGCGGCCAGATTACAGACTCTTCGTGAGGGATCACTGTCTGTGGTAGTACCAAGGCTGTTTAACGCCTTACCAAAGGTGCTGAGAGGAGGGGAGTTTACCCTTGCGACTTTCAAGAGACGATTGGATAAGTTTCTGAAGAAGATCCCGGATTGTCCAGTTATGGGAAACTACCCTCAGCAAGTGACAATAAACATCATTTTGCGATCAGCTGGCCCAAAGGAGGGCAAATAAACGGAACACGTCCAACGTTACAGCCGGGACCCGAGGGCGGGGGACCTGCCTAGCGACGACTCGGAGACGGAGGACGACGAAGGCGGCGCATCAGCGTGACCAGAGACTGGGAAGTCCCAAACTCATCATAAGGTCATAAGGTTGACTGGTGCGCTGATTGGTGCGGCGACTGATATGTTGACTGGTGCGTTGGCTGATATGTTGACTGATGCGTTGACTGGTGCGCTGACTGGTGTATTGACTCGTGCGTTGACTGGTGCGTTGACTGATAAATTGACTGATGTGTTGACAGGCTCCACAAATGGCTGGGTTGCCGCGTTCCCTCCAGCTGTCGCCGCGTCACCAGTCAACCCGTCTTGAGGGGCTCTCTGGCAACAAGGTGAACTATTGACACAGATCTGGCAACAAATGGAACTATTGAGACAGATCTGGCAACAAGGTGAACTATTGACAAAGATCTGGCAACAAGGTAAACTATTGACACAGATCTGGCAACAAATCGAACTATTGAGACAGATCTGGCAACAAGGTGAACTATTGACACAGATCTGGCAACAAGGTGAACTATTGACACAGATCTGGCAACAAGGTGAACTATTGTCACAGATCTGGCAACAGGGTGAACGGTTGCCACGGCCGCTGCAGTGCTGGTGGCAGTTGACGGCTGTGAAGTTTAACGAGCTCTCTTACTCTCTGTAATTATGGCATTAAATGGTGGCAGTTTTCCTTGAATAATTTTAGACTTACTTTCTTCTGATTCTAATCCTAGAATAGAAGCTGCAATTAGCTGAATGCTTACAACATCGCGTGTAGAACCATTAAGGCATAATTCGATAAACTTAGACGAACGGACATATCATTATTTATATAATGAAGTTGTTATTAAGTAATATTATATATTATCCCGGCATTTTAGCTGCAAAAGTTTGTCGTCACAGTGTCCTTTATGCACCATATTCATGTTTGTAAACTGAGTCTGACAAAAGGAAATTGCCCAATAATATATCGGACAAGGTCTGTGCTGATGTTAAGGATACGCTGCTTATTTATATTTAATAGTATATGGATCACAGTTGATACTTATTAATGCTAATGAATGAAATGTGGACAAAAGTAGGAAGTTTGAGTTGATGGGTAACTTTTAAATTATGATAGACAACAAACATAGAAAATTAGTTGCGGGGGTAACTCGAGAAAATATATGTACATGATCGCTACATATTATAGTATAGCAGTATTTTATCTTCGACGTTGAAGGATAAGCCTGGTTAGCCTGTTGCCGATTCTTGTACTTTTCTTGACATGTTCACAGATAAAAAATATAACGCATTTTCTCGTCGGCGAAAACTTGAAGTCACGGACGGACATACAGACTGACGGACGGACGGACAGACGGACACGGCTAGCACAATAGTGCATTTTTTCCATAAATGAGAAAATGCGCTAAAAACAGACCCTTTGATCAAATCTTTTCAACGGACGGTGGTTTGGGATCGTTTCTAGACGTTCAGTTGTTCCGTAGGGTGCTAGTCATTTTAAGACTGAACATATGCTCCTGCATAGCTTCGTCTAGTCTGTTCTTGAACGCGTTCATACTCGGAGCGTCAACGATGCTATCAGGGAGGCTGTTCCACATGTCGGTGACTCGAAGCGAAAAGAAATGTTGTCGCATGAATGTGTTCCAACGCAGTTTTTTTATTTTACATATTATTATAATATGCTCATTATTAATTTAATTGTAAGATGCATATTATTCATATTATGATAATCTGCATATTGTTCATGTCATCATAATATGCTTATTATTTACATTATTATAATACGCATATTATTCATATTATTAAGTGACAGCAGCTCTGGCCGATGACCCTTGTGTCCCCTCCTCCCCCTCCAGGCGCGCGAGGCCCCATTGCGGGGGGGCAGTGGGGGGCCCCAGCTGTTTGTAGGGCCCCGCGTGCTGGCCTCGTGTCCCGCGGACGTGCAGGCATCGCAGCGCTGGTTCCTGGAGACCTGGAACGGCGACCTGCTGGCCCTCCTCCGCCGGCGAGCTTGGTGGGTTGGGGGCAGCTCTGGTGGGTTGTGGGCAGCACTGGTGGGTTGCGGGCAGCCTTGATGGGTTATGGGCAGCACTGGTGGGTTACGGGCAGCCTTGATGGGTTGTGGGCAGCTCTGGTGGGTTGTGGGCAGCCTTGATGGGTTATGGGCAGCACTGGCGGGTTGCGGGCAGCCTTGATGGGTTATGGGCGGCAATGGTGGTTATGGGCAGCCATTTCGACTGAAAAAATCTATACATTTATTAAATGTTAAATTATGTTAAATTTGAGACATCCGCGACATGGTCACGATGCGCCGCCTTCGTGGTCCTCCATCCCAAGCCATCCGTAGGCAGGTCGCCCCACCCTCGGGTCCCTAAGGTAGCGTTTAACGTATTCCGTCTGTCTGTCGTCATTTGAGCGAGCTGATGCAATATGCCCCTCTGGCGATGCTGCCACTTGCCGAGGGTAGTGGCCCATAACCGGGCAATCCCGGATCTTGCTAAAACGTATCCAGTTGTCTCTTGAATGTATCAAGAATGAACTCCCCTCTTTAAAAGCTCTCTCGGCGAGGCATTGAATACCCTCGGACCCGCCGTAAAAAGAGATCCATATCGTAGAATCTGAACTCTGGCAGCGGCTTGATTGTTAACTGCATGGGAGAATCCTGCACCGTTTCCCCCTCCTATCGTTGTAAGATATCTCTATCCTATAGGACTCACTTTTAAAGTTTTGAGCCAGTCGATTTAGGATCTTCCCAGTGTACAGTATGATATACCTTTCTCTTCTTCGTTCCGGTGAGTACAGTCCCAAGTGCCCCAATTTGCCCCAGTAGGCCAGGTCCCTCAGTCCGCCGATCCTGGCCGTGAAGGTCCGTTAGACTTCCTCCAGTTGCCGCACTGCGCCTGCTATGAGTGGCGCCCAAAGCAGGCAGCAGTACTCTATATCGGCGATGTGCATGAGGAAGAGGATCGGTCCGAGCACCGAGCCCTGTGGCGTTTCGCTTTTCACTTTCGTTTCTCTTGTTGTAAAGTTTCCAATGCGACAGCTTGTACTTGTAAGGAAGTTGTGGATCCCTGCCAACAGGCTTCCTCCTACCCCCAACCGCCTCAGCTTTCTAAAGAGTACCCCATGGTCAACTTTGTCAAAAGCTTTAGCAAAGTCTAGGTATACCACGTCCACGCCAGCTCCCTCCTCCAGCTGGGCCACAAGACGGTGATGGTGCTCCAGTAACTGTGACAAACATGAATAATTACGCCCGGAAACCATGTTGTCCGTTATTATACAGGTCAGCATCTTCCATATACTGGACAAGCCTCCTGGCCACTAGCTTCTCAAAAACCTTGATCACCTGTGAGGTCAAGGTCACTGGTCTGTATTTCAGGATCTAGATCTTGCACCTCCTGTTAACTTTAACCCACTGATCACGCATCACAGGAGGGTTGACCCGCTGCAGTGGGTGCTCGCCACGTATCCCTGGCCCCCGTCGGTAGCGTACGGCCCCCACAACCTATTCAGGTGGGTGACAACCACGCAGTCCACGCCACCAGCCCATTGTGTTTCTGTTATTATCACATGTTACTAAGACCAGCCATCTGATGCCAGCTGTCGGTTGCCTGTTATGCAATATGATAAAACAGAGATCATATCATGTATAAACAAGTAAATTACTGCAAGCATTTTATTGACTTCACCTCTCACCCACAGCGTGGGGGAAACGTACCCCCTGCCACGGTCTCCTCCTCCCCCACTGCACGCGCCGCCCCCCACGCCCCCCGCCAACACGAAAGTAGGTGGAAGGGTGGAAATATATTGAAAATATATTGGACAATCTTTGGTTATACGCCAGCACTTGTGGCGTATAGTGGTCGTTATTATAGTAATGTAATACAAAACTTACGTTTTTTTGCTTATTTTTGATTAAGGCGGTAAGGTCCCTGCAGCCCGACTTATAATGAAGGTCTCTGTTATAAGGAAGGGCTCTGTTATAAGGAAGGGCTCTGTTATAAGGAAGGTCTCGGTTATAAGGAAGGGTCTTGGTCATAAGGAAGGGTCTCGGTTATAAAGAAGGGTCTCGGTCATAAGGAAGGGTCTCGGTCATAAGGAAGGGTCTCGGTAATAAGGAAGGGCTCTGTTATAAGGAAGGGCTCTGTTATAAGGAAGGGCTATGTTACAAGGAAGGGTCTCGGTTATAAGGAAGGGCTATTATATAAGGAAGGTCTCGGTTATAAGGAGGGTCTCGGTTATAAGGAAGGTCTCGGTTATAAGGAAGGTCTCGGTTATAAGGAAGGTCTCGGTTATAAGGAAGGGCTATGTTATAAGGAAGGGCTATGTTATAAGGAAGGGTCTTGGTTGTAAGGAAGGGTCTCGGTTATAAGGAGGGGCTTTTCCCTCCCTATAAATTTCTAATAGTCAAATTTAAAGAAATAAAAAGGTACTTAACTTTATAAAGCTTTCCACAATATCTCCTGAAGTTTTGTCGTATCCAAATACAGGCGAGTTCCCCGAATGGTGGATACGCAGCGCCCATGGTTTCTCCTTCGCCTGCGTCGCCTTCGCCTGCGTCGCCTTCACCTTCCTCTTCCTCCGCAGTAAGGAAGGAGTGGAAGTCTGCGGACATCCGGCACCAAAGACCGGATTACGGCTCTGAAAATCCTTACTCTGCTCAGAAACGTTCAAATTCTGGCTCTAATGAAGCGTACGTGGCTCACGGAGAGCAGAACTCCGGCTCAGGAGGTCAGCACGATATTTCCTCGGACAGTTTGGGGCAGGATTTGCCCTCAGGCATGCCTCTTATCGAGTCCTTTGCGGCTGCCAGGAGAGGGCATAAAAACGGCGGTTGTGGCCCCGCTGGTGAAACTAGCGAATGTCATTCCGGTAACGGATGCTTGCCGAGTTACGGTAATGGTCCCAGTAATGGCAATGGTCCCAGTAATGGTAACACTCCCGGTAATTATAACGGCATCAGTAATGGCTACGGTCACAGTGGCGGCAGCGGTCCCAGTAACTGCAACGATTTAAGTAATGGCTACGGTCTCAGTAACGGCAACAGTCATCACGATTATGATATTGTGTCACCCTTGAAGCCCCATGATGACTCAGCTGACCGCTCCGGATCCGGCTGGTCCCGGCGGTGTTTCAGCAGCTCCTCGATGCCTCACGATTCCAGCAAGCCTTTGTGGCGCAGCGCGCTTCCCGATGGCCCCTTGCACAAATTAAGGAACTCCCCGCTACCTCCCCCTCGGGTGTCTAGCCACGGACCCGTTACCAGCAGCCACGGACCTCTACCCGTACCTAGCAACGTGCCCTTATCGACCAGATCCGTCGTCGAAGGAAGTGGCCACGTCACAAACGGCTTCCATCGTCCCGACGGACGAGGCGGTGACTCGGAAGTTTTGGACATGTCGACCACCGAGCCTGTCTACCTCCCCATACATAGCGGGGAAGACAGTGGCACGAGTGGGTCATGCCACGACGGTGACGGGGAAGCAGAACCTATCTACTTCACCATACCTGGGGACGTAAAAGATCCCAAGTCCGCCTTCAACGGCGCACGCGAGGCTGGAAGCGCCGATACTCGTGACAGAAATTCTGATATGTGGCTGGCGAACGGCTCTGCTGTGTGTTCGCCAGACACCGCCATGTGTCCGCCAGACACGGTGGCAATCGTCCACCGTCGTCAGGAGCACCGTTCAAGAATTGGAGCGAATCTCACCTCCAGCTTCAAACCTGTCGAGACGTCGATGTGATTCAGCCCCACTCGCGTTGCCGCAACTTCACTCGTGTTGCGACAGCCTCACTCGTGTTGCCACAGCCTCACTCGTGTTGCCACAGCCTCATTTGTGTTGCCACAGCCCCAATACGTTCCGACGTCAGGGGTTCAGGAGGAGATCCCCTGGAATCGCACTGGGTTCAGAAGCCATTAGGCCCAGAGGCTTCCATCATAGTTTTAACCTCTACCATTGGCCGCCGGAGGAAAAACCTAACGTCGCTGATGTCAAGTCATCTCTGAACTACCGAAATATTTAAACCAAAATTGTAGAATTTCCAATGAAATTGATCGTGAGTTCTTTATTGTTAGTATTCTGAATGCGTGCGCCAAATATCTAAATAGCTTAATAACCAAACCAATGGACATGCTGGGAAATGGTAATATCATAAATAGTGTATGTCTGTAGATGAAGGCTGTACGTGAGCTGTCTTGCGCGCCGACTACTATTCTCTGTGCAATGTTTGTAAAATTCCAGCTAGCTGAGGATTTGTATATTAGTAACCGTCGCATGTACGTAATGTGTAATGTTGGTACATTTTATGTAAAGTAGTTCATATTATGTGTAGTGGTACATATCATGCTGTACTGACCATATCAAGAGACGAGAATGTTGAGCTCGACTTCTTGGCTACCTTTGGCATCAATAATGGCTTATATGTATTTTGTGGTCGCTTCAACTAGTGTTGACTTTATTGCCCCACTCACTTCTCACGAGTCTGATCAACGCATTACATTTGGCTTGAATATAATAATAATAATAATAATAGCGGTTTCAGCGATATTAGGCCGTAGGCCTGTCGCCGATTCTTAACATCGCAGAACATTCACAGCATTTTGCGATCTCAAACTCGCAACTCACTGCTACAATTCTGCTGTGCTTAACCGCCCGGCCTCCTCGCCGATTCTGACCAGAAACTGGCGCACAGAGCTGGGATCGAACCCGTGCCTCTCTGCGCCAATCTTGGTACTCTGAACTTTAACCACTGGGCCACCCTGCCATGAATGGAACCGTTAAAATCCGCGAGGGCAACTTCATATTTTAAAACAGGCCTACGTGTGGAAACTTTTTCGTTTGTTATTCGACCCTTCAGTCTCGCTTAGTGGTTAATGATGTAAGAATAGTTTTATTGATCTCTTTTATCCTCGGAGGCCGTAATGAAAAATATTCTTCCATTCGTACGTCTGAGTAGATTTAGGGTTACACTTTAGGTTTTGTTAAAATCGGTACGCATGTTACCCTCCGCCCGCCACGTTTAGAGCTAGGGTTGCGATATGTACACATATTGCCCACAACGTTAGGAGGAAGGTTATGATTTGTACATATGTCGCTACCCTGAGTAGTGTAAGTTATAAGAGCGTCTGTTGATCAAAATCGTTTCTGTCGACTTTCTAGACAACTATTTGTCAGCCTCGTCAAGGGACAAGAACTATTTGACGGTGTCGATCAATTGCTATTGCGTAAATTTGGACCTTTTTTGAAGTTTAGTATAGAAAAGAAAATTTTCTCAAGTGTCCAATAGAAAATAAGTTTATCATGGCGTAGGTATAACTATTTTATAGCCTTGGAGAAGCTTCAAACGATAATTAATATTGTGGTTGAGGATCATTCCAACGAACTTTTGTCTAGAAAACCAAGAAGACTGTTCATGAATGTTGCTCACAAGCTTATTTGCTTATGAGCAAAGCAGGCGATCAAATAATACAAATATCAAATGTTGCTACGCCCGGCGCTTGACGACTCACGGCGATCTGTGTTGTCCATGTGGATAACTACTTGTATGCTTCACCTATTTATATTAGAAATAGATTAAGGATTGAGGTTGATGTCGTGTCATAATGTAGTTGATTTTATGTCATGATATTGTTGATGTTGTTTACTGATGTTCATATAGTCGTAAGTCGAATGTCGATGTCTTGATGAAACATGAATTGATGTATACGTCAGTTAGGTCACGTTGTCTACAATGAGCTCTATAGTCTATAGCCATTAGTCATGTTCTGTGTCTCTTCCAAGCCATTTAGCCCTTTACGCCCTGGCGTGACGAATTCGTCACACAGAAAAAAACATCGGTTTTCCAACAATTTCACGTTTTCTGTCATTTTTTCGAAAAATTCACATGAATGAAAAAAGTCTTAGATTTATTTTTTACATATGTGTACCAACTTTCAAAGTTATCTGTCGGTAAGTAACCGAAATAAAATTTCCAATTTCCAATGGCAATGTCCAATTTCTTAAGGAAATTCTATTTCGGTTAATTACTGACAGATAACTTTGAAACTTGGTACACATATGTAAAAGATAAATCTAAGACTTTTTTGTTCGTGGGAATTTTTCCAAAAAAGTGAAAGAAAACGTGAAATTCTTAGAAAACTGACAAAAAGGGGGTACTGTAGAAATCTATCTCCTCCTATGATTTTTGAGCTACAACATCGAGCGAGACGCATATCATTCGATGCGTAAGGACCATATCTATCGATTGGTCCTTGCTGTTTTTCAAAATTCTAATTTTTGTGGGTGGGGTGGGCATTTTTCGAAAAAAAACTCTAGATCTTTTATTTGCGAATCGAACGGTATATTACTCATTGCTGTAGCTTAAAAACTCTGGGAGGAGATAGGTTTGCAGTGACAATAAGTGTGAATGTTCAGTAGGGCGCGACAAAGTCCCGAGCCCCTCAAAATAGGCATTCAAGGTGACATAGATGCAAGACTAGACATTACTGGAGCCGAAATTCAGTCAAGGATGGTGGGAACGACTGCATGAGCACCATCCCACACGACAGCAGCCGGGTAACTAAAGAGCAGCGTCTTCAGGTTGTCTATTTATGTGCCCGACCAGTAATTTTCGCCCATATTAAATGTTAAAGAACTCCCCCACCCCTAACCCTTTCACGAACTGTCGTCATTTGGATAGGTCAGAATGTCAGCTTTGAAGTGAGACTTAAAACCGAAAAAGTGAATTTTACGATTTTCATCCCAGAAATTCAGGGCGTAAAGGGTTAAGTCAATTTAATTACTTAGGCACAACACGCGTCTCAAATTATGTTCAATAAGCTGAGAAACTCTATCGACCAGAAATTATTTATTATGTTTAGATGCTATTTTTATCACTATATTGAACAATTGTTTGCTGATAAAAACCATTATATTTGTGCACTGTACCTTAATGTACAATCGTGCCTTAGTATGGAACATAAATTGATGTACTGTATATTATGTGTGCCTTGTGTCAGTCATTAATGTTTGATGTGTGGACTGCTGAGGTCATGCAATCAGGGCTCATACTTGTATACTTCTATCGCTTCCCGTACGTTATCTCTTATTTGTTATTGTGCCTGCTGTACGTTATCTGTTATCGTGCACTACGTTATATCTGTGGTTATCTTGCGTTATCTTACCTTTAATTAATTATCACTATATTTCATTGTAATGTATTTATATCATTTTAACAGAGGTAACGACTAATATAAAAGGTTAACTATACGGATCCTAGTTGACCCCATGTCAACTCATCATATATCCTGTTTGAGGGACTGCATCGTCCACACGTCAGCTCATCATATCTTGTTGGTTCACACAGCGCAGTTAATGGTAGTGGGCTCACTGTCCAATATTAATTTCCTTGTTTTCACTTTAGTAAACTACCTCCCAGTAAAATTATTCAATAAACTACCCATCAATCAGATTATCCTTCTTTACCTGTATGCCAACTATTGCAGGGAATCCACAAATTAAAGTAAAAATCTGGCTACCGTCAATGCCAATTACCTCGCGACAGCATTTAAATCGCAGGCCTTCAATAGAAATGATCTAATTTATAAACGAAACAGAACATCATCTCTCTGATCGTGAGTTCTTTGTGAAACAGTCATCACAGTAGGACCAAAACAGCTTCGTTCTTATTATGTGGGTACCAACCCTACAAATCGTCATTCTGACCAGGATTACACGGGTTTTAGTGACGAGCAGCGAGGTATTGCAGTATCTACCGAGTGGCAACTTATGTGTCATTGAAGGTAGTTTCCATGGGGTGCCCGATAGTCCGTTTTGAGCGCCATTGATTTCCTTCGCGATATGCAAGGTTATTACACGTTAATTATGCAGTTTATCTGTAATAATTGAAATTAATATAGATTGTTTGTCTGTAAAATACCGGCTGTTTGGCACTTAAGGCCACACTGCAATTTTTAGCTCTAAAATATATGAATAATGCAGGTAAAAATAGAGGGAGGCGCTGGAAGTCGACATGACAACATGCGAAAAACTAGGTGCAGCAGATTGACGGTTATTTCCACGCTTCTGAGAGCAGTGGTGTAATTGGGGAAACAACTACAATTTCGTCTTGAAGGCTTCACATTATGGTGGAAATTTGTAGGCTTCACATTTGGATGGAAATTTCTTGGAAGTTCAAAAATGGAGGGTAAATAAGTTGGTTTTGGTCCTCCACCGAAGTGGAAGTAGTATACTACCTTTCTGGGGCCGGATTATCAAAACATGCTAAGTATACGTAGCCGCTAACGTTTAGCGTAAGTACAGCTAAGTAGACGTGACTCTACTGAGTGTTATTTGATTGGTCAGTTAGTTGGATGGTTTCGATAATACCTTTTCAGATGAGTCATGCGTAAGACAGTTTTGTTAATGCCAAATTTTGACTGACTTACGCCATACGTAACTTTTTGAACGTAAGTACGAAAAGTTACGTGAACTTAGCGAAGTTTCGTTAATCTCTGCCCTGGTGACCCGAATAAAGTTACAGAATAGTAAGTAACGAATATTGAGCATTAGCATCCTCAATTAAAACAGCTATCTTTTTATATGCGTGTTCACCGATATACTTATGTTTTAAGTTTACTTTTTACAAAGACTTCGCAATTGTAATTCATCTTAACTTGAGTTCATTTTAAGTGAGGAAAATGTTGTTCCTACTTGGGAAGGTTGGTCTTGAAAACATCGCCCATGTGTGTAGTCAGTGTTTTTTTATTCATAAAACCGCAAGAAAAAGTTTTTTTTTTTCAAAGAACCATCAAGACATTCACAAATTGTGCTCTGCTTGCTGAGTCACGATTGTGCTCTTGTAAGAGGTGGTTGTCCGCTCGTAGCTTCGGGATAAGTTCGAAGTTTCTGTGCAACTGAGCGATATTTGTCGAATACTACCCTATTTCTACGCCTTGAGGTGAGAATCAGTCATTATATTCCATTTATTTTGAGTATCAAATGCTTGTTAGTAATATTTCAAGCGTCTAAAACTTGCTTAAAACTTCATTTGCCGATGGGCGGCTTGCGCTCATGTTGGACATCATAACTGAGATAGGTACGACAGTTTCGTCAAAAATCGAAGTCCCCCCCAATTCTGACTCCGGTGTTTGCTGAAAGATTGTTTTAAATGCGAATTTTTCCAATCTCCAGTATCGTAAAGCGAACCTTGAAGCGAGTTATAAATATTCGTCTACAATTAAACTCCTGAAAATTTGTCCAGCTTACGTCACGCCTTCAATTATCGATTCTAATCATAATACTACCGGGACTACCGGCTGGCTTCAGAGTCTTGAAGTTGAAGATGTTACCTTCTATGGCACTTATAATAGCCGCCACTCAGCCGATGCCGCACTTAGCCTAGTTAGTTACGGCGACTTACCTCGCTCGGCTCGCCGCTTGTCACGAAAAACCGTATAATGAACGGAATTAGGCCTAGGTACGTGGGTTTTTAATGCCCCATAATAGCTAAGAAGCTTATTCGATCGTGCTTTAAAGTTTTGGGTCAGTTTGTTAACAAAATCAATGGTTTCTTTTGAAGGCTGGCCGCTGTCGAGAGGCGACATAAGTGATGTGTCGAAGTTAATGGCATTGACGGACGGTAGCACCGCGGCTACTTCTGTCAAATCCTGTTGCTAGTGAAGAGTTAGAGCTGTTGGCGACTTGCGAGGTTTGTTTGATAGGTAACTAGTTAGGTTGTTGGTCATGCAGCCACCGTACACTACCGATGAATCGCGATTTTAGTGCGAAAAGCAAAGGCCAAACTTGAAAAACTTTGCTGCGATCGAGTGGCGAATTAAGTGTTGGCTACGAACTACGCGCAATTCCGAAAGGTGGCACCACGCTGTAGGTAGTTCCTAGCTTCAATTAGGTGTAAGCCTTCCAAGACAATTACCATCATTTACCATAATGATATCAGGTTATTAATTTGGTGCCTGACCTGACACGTTCTTATAGCAATGATTAGCCTTGCAATGACTGCACCGGCAGATTGAAATATATGAACTAGCTCGCATATCGGATCTAGAAATCTGAAACTCCATTTTCCTCAATTTTTAGGACACATTTTGAAACTAATCAAATAACGAGGATGGGTTGATCATGAATATATGAACCATCATTCCTCGAATTCCACCTTGGGCCTGCAGGCAGTAGCTAGCTGCATTTTTTCAATGTCATCGTTTAGGAAAATAAAACATGGCGTGGATGGGAACGTCAAGAAAATCTTGTCCGCTCAGCTAATCAACGGCTAATAAACCGGCCAATGGCGCGTGACTTGCGATCCTTGCGTGACTTGCGATCCTTGCGTGACTTGCGATCCTTGCGTGACTTCTTGCGTGACTCGCGATCCTTGCGTGACTTGCGATCCTTGCGTGACTCGCGATCCTTGCGTGACTTGCGATCCTTGCGTGACTTGCGATCCTTGCATGACTCGCGATCCTTGCGTGACTTGCGATCCTTGCGTGACTCGCGATCCTTGCGTGACTTGCGATCATCCCGTGACTCGCGGTCGGTCTGATAAACGTTTATATATCCAGCTTGTGCGTGTTTATGACTTGTAATTATTTTTAAATAGGGACGGGGGTGGGACCCAACGCTGTAGTATTTTGGAGCTCTTGAAACCTTGTTGTTGGTGAATGGTGAGCGATGTCTTGCGGAAAGGTGAGTTAGTAGAAGTGGTTAAACTCCTTTTTTTCGCCAGATGTTAAGGACGTGTTCTCGAAAGGTTGTGTTAATCGTTAGTATATTGCATAATTCGTGTAAAACTGGAATTTATACACCGGAACCTACCCGTATACTAGTATATATTGAGTTACAGGCTTTTTTTGACGTTATTTGTTCGCGGATTTAGCCGTTTTTAGCGCATTTTTCGTTTGTGGAAAAAAGGCGATATTGTGCTCGGTGCTTGTCATGTCCGTCCGTCCGTCTGTCCGTGAATTCACATTTTCGTCGACGAGAGAATGCGCTCTCTGTCACTCACTGCAGTGAGTACTGATCTAATTTTTTAGTTTATCTGGCAACCCTGAATTGTGTACCACTACATCCAGGAGAAATACATTTCGTGGTGCGTATATGTACCACTTCGGAGTCAACGTGTTAATTGAATACACGTAGTGACTGTTTGAGTTTGGCTGTGGGAACGAGTGAAAAGTCTTGCGGATGTAAGTGAGAGAGGCCTCCGGTGCGACGTGGTACGTGTTGTGTTGTCTGATGCTGTACATAGATGCTTTCATAGCATTGATGTGTTCAGTGTTGGACTCGTGATTGTCGGCTATACAGTGAACACTGAACAGGTTTACCAGTGTTGCCTAAATATGAGTTCTTTCTCTTGAGCGTTTCCGTGTTGGAGGTAGGGAACAGATTTTTTATTTTATTCAAGCATCTATTTTTATGATTTGCAGAATTGTTAACGGTCTAATATTTTTTGCGATGAGTTCTTGCCACGTTATTGTTTGGAAGTGTTAGAGGCTGTCTGTATTTGCGTGCGCTGAGTGTGGTAGTAGAGCCGTGAGTTGATGCGTGCTATACTCAGCTATAGGGTGACTTGACAGTGTCTGGATTAGAAGTTTCTTGGGTGGGTTTTATGCCGGGGATGATGTGGTGTGTGATGCTGGGGACGGCTTTATCTGTAGCGTCTTGAACAAGTTTCGTCGAGTTGTGAAGGTAGGAGTGTTATTTCTCCAGTGTCGGGTGCAGGCATTGAGCGAAGGTATACTGAGTGGTGTGTGGCTCTTCCTACAGTGTACAGGCAGCTTTTAAGAATGATTTGCATGGTGGAATTGGCATTTAGATGGCATTGGTAGAGAGGGGAGCGATGATTAGGATAGGTATGGTTTATGGAAGTGATTGGTACGGGCTATAGGTGAATATTATAGAATGGTGTATTTTTTAGAAAAGTCCTTTTAGAGATGAAGTGCATATTTCATCTCTAAAGGGGGAAGGCGATGCCTATTTGCGTACATTTAAATGGAGCTATGAGAATGAAAAGTTGTTTCAAAATGATTAGTCAGAGTTGCATGTTTAATATTCTGCCATTCAAGTCTGCAATAAGTACCTCGTGTGTAGACTGTTAAAGGGAGTGTGGAAGTTGATGTAGTTAATATATATATTTAATTGTTTCATGGACATCAGTAGGTGGTTTTCCTTGTGACTTCGCCCTTCACACATGTCCTTCACATAGAGCTTCATGCCTTATTCTCGAGTTCATCGCTGTATAATCAATTACCAGTTATGGTAGAGTTCTGACGCTGAGGCTATGTTTTTGTGGTTCTATTCTTTGTTACCTGATCTCGCCCTCAACATCCTGAATAATCAGCCTCTCATCAGAGCGTATCACTTGGAAAGTATGACTTATTCTTTTTGGTGCTTCTGTTTCATACCATTTTTTGTATATATACGATTGTAGTAAAACTATACACATTTGTTTTCGCTCCCTCCTCTAGGGGGCGTCACTGCCTCAAACCTGACGGGCATATACGCAGCTAGAGGACAAGAGGCAGTAACCTTCATAATCATCACGACATTGATTACTTTCTCATTTTGCATTCCATTTCCATTATTGGGCCGTCGACCCCCGTCAAGGACTTCCCCCCCCCTAGGGTCCCACATCCGGCACGCCCTCTGGTGCCTCGCCATAGTGGCGGCCGACAGCACCCTGTTGCACCCCGGACACTGAGAGACCCTCCCCCTCCTGGCTCTCACCGGCTCCTCTCCCCCTCCACTCACAACCGCGCCAACGTCTCGACCCCCACCCTCCCCCTCCCGACTCTTCCCGGCTCCTCCCCCTCCCCACCGGTACCAACGTCTCGTACCCCAACACACCCCCTTACATGCCTCGCGTAATTTCCCTTCGTAATCCACGTATTGCACCTCCCGCACTGTCTCCTGTCTCCCACTCCACTCGCTCCACCCGTACACGTCCTCTCATGATTCACTCTTGCACCCTCCGTCTCAACACTCGTACCACATATGCTACATACAAACCTCACTCGCTCCTCAGCTACTGTATGCATACGCTTCTGGTGGTTGATCAGGCCCGCCTTACTTCGGCAGACCTTCCCACACCCCTCATATCTGCACACCCAGTCATTCACTCTTCTAGCATTCCTGTCCAGTCTCGCCACAATTGCATCCCAAGCGTACTCATGCCCTTTCTGACATTCCCACTCATACAAATGTTCAGTGCGTTCTTTCACCATGCCCTTCCATCCCTCCCTATCTTTGCTCAGCCGCTCTACATCCCTCCAGTCCACTCCCGCTTCCTTCAACATCCGCTTCCAATACAAGACAGTCTTCCTCTTACGCCCTTTCATCTTCCCGAAACCTTCCAACCTCTCGTACCATCCTAGCACCATCGCTTTCGTCAGCCTCTTATTTCCCATTCTCATAACATGTCCCACTCGCTCCAAAACACGCTTCTCAATTTTCCATCTCACTCCTTACACCCAAACACTTCCTAACATCCCACATGTTTACCCCTCTCGCTTGCATTTGCCTCAGAGGCAGGCCATTCCGATCACTCAACACGTATCTATAACACTTATCTATCCACTTTTGCAACCGATTCATATCCTTTACATACCACACTCTCGCCTGACAATCATACATCAGACTACTCTCCACACATGCCTCCACCACCCACGCCTGAGACTTCTACATGCTCGACCCTTTCAGCCACCCTTTCAATCTCCACCACAAATTTCCAGCTCTCCTGATCCTGTTATTCACATCCACTTCCGAACTCACCCAGCTCCCAAGTACTCTAATTTCACTCCCCTCTTCCGTCCCAAACTCAAGCACCTCCTCTTTCTCATTGTTTCGTTCCTCCCACTGATTCATCACTTCTTTCACTGCTCTCACACATTTTCAATCTCACTCTTCACGCCCACAATAGTGTCATCCGCAAACAAAGCCAAGGACACTCTCACTTTAACACACTCACTACTCCCCTTCTCCCATGCACTCTCTCCAGCAAACGAACCCCCTGACAACCATCTCCACGTCACCCCAACCTCTTCACCCCCGCTTCTTCTGGCCACCTCCGCTTGCCTCATTACCGCCTGATGGTATACATTAAACAAGATGGGTGACGTGGAGCACCCCTCTCGCGGGCACCCAGCTTTCACTCACTCCCTCCTTCCCTCTCACCTCGTAAACAGTCGACTCCTGCAAATCCACAATCGTATCCAAACATTTCCCTTTCATTCCATACCTCTCAAGCAACCTCCATAAACCCGGTTTATTCACTTTCGGATACGCTTTTCTTAAATCCAACAGTCTCGCCACAGGCCACTCCTCTTCATTCATGCCCTCATTGCCATTCAGTTCCATCTTCTCTTTAAATCAACTACGTCCTCTTGCATATGAACCATCATTTGCACCACAACCGCTGTCGACTTTCCCTTTCGAAACCCTGCCTGTTCCTCATCCAACAACACAACAACCCCAAATACTCAGCCCACCACGCCACTCTCGTCGCTATCACAATCGCAAGTATCCTGCTCCCCATACCCAACAGACATACCCCCATATAGTTATTGCAGTCATTCCTAACACCCTTCTAATAATAATAATAATGATAATAATGATAATAATAATGCCTACTTTCAAAAATTCATCTCAAGCATACAGAGCGTATGCTCTGTATGCTTCACAAACACTTCTCTCTTCTTCTCACAAACACTCTTGTATGCTTCACAAACACTTGTGTGCTTAACAAACGCTTCTCTCACCAACTCAATCACTGTCTCTCACTCCTTCATCCGCCCACTTAATATATGCAATCCTCACTCCATCTCCCCCCGGCGCCCACTCTTTCATATCGTTCATAGCCGCAACAATCTCTTCTCTTTCAGGCACTTCATTTAATCGATCATTTGCCTCTTTCGCTCTTTCACACTCTCGCAGGTCAGTCGCACCATTTACCGCTCGTTCTATCACTCTCGACACCTCATCATACCTCCCGCACGCCACTCGATCGTTCCAAATGCTCCTTAAATTCATTCACACAGATATTTGCACTCGCTCCAGCCTTGCATCCCATCGTGCCAATCTTCCTCAAACACTTGTACATGTCTCCCACTCTGCCTGTCGCACATGCTTCGTCACATTCCCTAATCTTATTCTGTCACCACTCTCGTTCAAGCAACCTCAACTGTCTTCGCAAAGCTCTCCTCGCCTGCTTCACCTCCTCTCTCGCTAAAACACTCAACTCCGTAAAAACACTCAATTTCTTTTGTTACCAACCTTATACCAAGATTCCGGACACCGACTGTAAGTCTTAGAACTGGATTTGTAGGTGATGACCTAGGACGAACATCATTGATCCTGTCACGACCAAAACCCCAAGAATCACCCTCCACCCTCGGTAGCCATGACTCAAGACGAAGACAGAGACCCTAAAAAAATTCAGCGACAAACAGTTTTAATGATCGTTCACACTCGATAATATCAACTGCTTTCTGACTTCAATAAAACTGAAAGGAATTTTTGTTCCTCAACGAGATGACATCGCAGGAGGCCGACTGCCGAGCCTCGGGTTTCGCCGAGACATTTCTAGCTGCTACGAGTACAGGTGGTACTGCAACGAACTGCCACCATCTGTGCCGCAGTATCAACAACCTTAGCAGTTCAGAAACAAGCAAGCTGTGGTCGAGGAAAGAAGATCTAGACGTGCATGTCGACTCTGACGACTCGGGCACCGTCTGTCACCCAGAGTCGCCTGTGGCGGAGCTGGCGGAGCAATACGAACGCAGCTGCACGCGGACAGGTGAGATGAACAGATGGTTCTTGCGGGTGCCTGGTGTTGCTTGTAGGTGTGGTGCTTGTAGGTGTGGTGCTTGCAGGTGTGGTGCTTGCAGGTGTGATGCTGGCAGGTGTGGTGCTTGAAGGTGTGGTGCTTGAAGGTGTGGTGCTTGAAGGTGTGGTGCTTGAAGGTGTGGTGCTTGAAGGTGTGGTGCTTGAAGGTGTGGTGCTTGCTTGTGTGGTACTTGCAGGTGTGGTGCTTGCAGGTGTGGTGCTTGCAGGTTGTGGTGCTTGCAGGTGTGGTGCTTGCAGGTGTGGTGCTTGCAGGTGNTCTTCCCCCTGCCCATCCCTCTCCTTCCTCCTCTCTCCCTCCACACCCTCACCTCCTCTTCCCCCTGTCTTCCCCTCTTCCCCCTGTCCTCCCCTCCCCTTCCTCCTGCCCTCACCCCCTCATCCACCTGCCTTCCCCTCTCCTTCCTTCTCCCCTCTCCATCCCACCTCCCCTGCCACCCGCTCTCACGTTCTCTGCTCCCGCCAGGGTCGCCCTGCCGCCCCGCCCGCCGCCCCTCACAGTCCCAGGGCGCCGCCGCCGCCCCCGCGGTAATGTAACGCGCAACGCGTGGGCCCTTCTTACACTTGGGCCCTCTGGGGACACATGTGGGCCCTTGTAGTCGTATGTGGGACAAGATTAGCAATTTTGTATTTAATCTGAGAGCTGGCCTTCTACTTAGGTACGTGATCGCGCTAATGAGGTGGCCTTCTACTTACGTACGTGATCGCGCTAATGAGGTGGCCTTTTACTTACGTACGTGATCGCACTAATGAGGTATTTTTATGCTTCGTACGTGATTGCACGAATGAGGTAGTCTTCTACTTGGTACGTGATTGCACTATTGTTGGTATTCTACTCAAGTACGTGATTGCACTAATGAGGTGGCCTTCTACTTACGCATGTGATCGCACTAATTAGGTGGCCTTCCACTTAGCTACGCGATCGCACTAATGAGGTGTCGCATTGACCATTTTGTCGCACTTTACTTTCTTTTGTCGATGTTGATACAAAGTTTTGCTTGTTTGGGAGCAATAGCTAGTCTTTAAACCACTCTATTGTTAATAAAAACTTTCCTTACTTCAGGAAGACCAGCGTCGACGCTCTTCGGTGCGGCGAAACTCCGCCTGCGCCCACAGTGACACCGCCTGTCCCTCCAGTGATACCGCCTGTGCCCACAGTGACACCGCCTGTGCCCACAGTGACACCGCCCTGTCTCTTATACACATCTAGATGTGTATAAGAGACAGGGTGTGGGCAGGTGTGGTGCTTGCAGGTGTGGTGCTTGTAGGTTGTGGTGCTTGCAGTTGTCTCTGCTGCAACAAAAGTCTGATACCCGTTGCGAGTTGCCAGTGCAAGCGGATATTAAGTTTTTCTAACTGAATTCATGTTCATTGTGTAGATTGCACTCTATTTACTCACGTGTTGGTTAATCTGGATGTTGATTGGTTCAGTCAGTAAACTGGTTCAATCAAGTCAGCAAATGAGGTGCTGGAAAATGATACATAAGAGCGGTATTGTGAACCAGCAACCATGGCAGCCAATGTTCATACAATTGAACCAACTGGGGAATGCCATGCATGCAAAAAATGTTTCCGACATTTGGCGATGAGATGCCATTCATGCCGCTAGTTTTGTCCATGAGTTTAATGCAGAATATTTGCAAGCTATTATGGCAGATGTACGCCGTGTAGAACAAGTCCCAAACTATACATAATTTCAACGGACAGACGAATTATCATGACCAAAAGTGAACTCCCTCCTCACCTCCTCTTCCCCCTGCCCTCCCCTCCCTCCTCCTCTCTCCTTCCACACCCTCACCCCCTCTTCCCCCTGCCCTCGCCTGTGCCCACAGTGACATCGCCTGTGCCCACAGTGACACCGCCTGTGCCCACAGTGACACCGCCTGTGCCCACAGTGACACCGCCTATGCCCACAGTGACACCGCCTGCGCCCACAGTGACACCGCCTGCGCCCACAGTGACACCGCCTGTGCCCACAGTGACCCCTCGTCTGCTCCCATCGACTCTCTGTCTCTAACTATCCACGAAAATTATCTCGCAAACGTTGGCACGAACTTTTCGTCGACGGTGGCCTCCACATCTTTTTTTCGGTTGTCTGGTACTTTCAACTCATCTTTACCAGACGCCGCGGACTCGAGCGATGCCGACTCGTTCTCTGCAACAACGGCTTTGGTGAGTTCATCGAACTGCGCTTCATACTTTTGCTCCTCCACTGAACTGGAAAATCTACCCATAGCGGCGCACAGAACTCTTCCTCCTCAATGGATGCCTCCACGAATTCCTTCATGTGTCCCGCCAACAAATCTGAAATCCGCGAAAACGTTGAAAGACACAGCCTTCGCCACAGTGTTGGCTAATCGACTGCGAAAAACCACCGCTCGCTCTGAAATTTTTGATGCGTCCTTCGATCTTTATGATGGGGAAGATATGTTTTCGGTGAAGCGAAAACGAAGCTTCAGTGAAGGTAACTTAGTCGACATCCTTCCGCCGCAACACCCCGGGCCGATAAGCGTCGGTGAAGGTCGTATCTCGGCGCTTCGGTCCATCTCCAGCAAATCAAAAATTCGCGAAATAATCAGAAATCGCCGAGCAACTCTTGGCGGGAAGCTAGTTCGTAATCGACGATCAAAGTTTGAATATAAATCTTCGAGGCGGCTGCTTCCCTCCAGGACCCCTGCTGCTGACTCTGACGCTGAAGAGGTCTTGGAGGATAAGGCTGGCAACGGTGATGGCCTGGCAAGTTTAGTTTACCTGCGAAATATTTTAAAGAAAACCCATAGTGACTCGGCACTTGATGCTTTAAATTTCCATTCTCGACTGATGCCGTTGGATTTCTTGGAGAGAAATGACAAGCCTGCAGAAGCGCCATTTTTACCAGTTAAGGCCGGGTTTGGAAGCAATGAAAACACGTTATACGAGAGAGGCAAGAATTTTAGTTCCGAACAAAGCTTTCATGATCGAAACCAGCGAACACAAAGTGGAGTACCCAATATTGATTCTTTCACTGCCAAGACTCCCACTCAAGATAGTGAAATTCGTTCGAGTACGGAACCGAATTCGTTGCACGTTGCAGAGGAGTCGAATTCGACTAAAGTTTTCGTTGATGAAAGCAGATCCAAAAATTTTGCCATCACTTGGAACGGTGCGAGTCGTTCAGCAGAGGGAAGTTCTTCGAGATCTGGCGCGGATTTTTCATCAACCCTCGACAGGAAGGAAGATCTCCTCAGCGCCGCAGGCCGTAATTTTGTTGAGAACACATCTTCGAATCAGAAAAAAGTGGTTGAACGAAATTTTTCAGTTGCAAAGTTGTGTGGGGAACACAGAGCAGCCAATGAGCAGCATGCAAACACCGCTAAAAAACTCTTCTCACGCCGTACATCCCCGAGCCCCCGCGGCAATAAATTAAGTCCTCCGAGGAGTAGCACAAGCGTCAGAGATCTGGTCAAAAAGTTCTCATCTATGGACAGCTTGGACTTAACAGAGAGCAATTTACCGCCAAGGTTTTCACGTATCACTAAATTAAAGCTGCAGGCTACGCAGAGTCAGGAGGCCAAGTGTGCTAATTCGGAAAAAAGCTACAAATTTCGTACGGGACTCGAGAGGAAATCTAGTCTGAAGACCATTTCATATGATTTTGAAGGAACCAAAAATCATCTAACGATGAAAATGGTAAAAGTCAACCAACCGCCGTTTTATAAAACAAATTTTAAACACCACTCAACCTCTGAGCTTGTGCAAGAAGAACACCACTCAGATGTTTTGTCGAGTAAGAGACCCCAGAATTGTAATAAATCTTTTGACATCGAAGGTTCTTCCAAGAAAATGATCTTGAACTCGAAAGTTTCCAGTTTCGCTTTGGAAAAGTCGTCCGATTCGTTCAATGAGCCTAAACAAAATGGTGTGAAGTCTATCCAAGAATTTCATCGACTGAAACCACCCATGAAATCAAATAGTTTCAGGCGATACTCTTCGGTGGCTCCGCTCAGACGTCTGCACATGCATCACGAAGAACCTTTGCTGGGTGAAGGTCCCAAGAGCTTAGACTCGATATTGAATCAAAGGCTCGGCCCTGAGAGTGAGAACGATGCAAGCCACACCGGCAAGCCGAAGGATTTCACCCATGTTAAACAGTCTTCGTTTCAGAAGTTGAAAGAATCTTTCGTTGGGTTTTCATGCAAGAACTCCCGATCAAAATCTCTCAAGGATATTGCCGCCACTCACGATTTTGGCACTTCAAATTTAGGTGCAAACGACTGCCTACTCGAGGCGCCGTCGACACGATCCAACTGGGAAACTTGCGTTCCATTGAAAACGCTGAAAACTTGGACTGACATCGCTCGTCTTCCCATGCGGCACAGTTTTCGTAGAGCGAATGTAGCTGTCGCTACTGAGAATGCGGATGTTCCCATCTCCCAAGTTCCGTCGACTGCTGCCCCAAATTCGTCGGCACACGAAGTTCCTATCAGTAACTGCTTGTGTGCGGAGGTCAATCCTCCCGGCGTGTTTTTAGTCCCTGGAGTTAACGTAAAAACTGAATGGAATTGCGAGCCTGGATACGCGCAGGCATCTATGCGTCGATATTCGTTTAATATGGACTTCCCTCCGAGACAGTCTGACGCTCAGGGTGTTTCTGATGACCACAAGAGGTCTTGTTCGAGCGCCAATCAAGAGTCGTATAAAGGATCACTGATATCACAATTTCTGCGGTCAAGAAACATTGCTCCTGATTCCGTCATAGGTAAAAATACCTTTAAAGGTGGTTTCTTCCCCACTAAATACGCAGGCATCCGCAAGCATTCGTGGTGCCCCAACTCCTCATACGCTATATACTCCCACAGCCCGGAAATGTGTAACTTTCGACGCCACTCCTTGTCGGAATTGTCGCCACCCGAAATTTTCCTCCATGGAGGGGATAAGCCCAAAAGGTTGACGCCTTCATCATTTTATCCCTTGACCCTGTGTCCTCATTCCCCCAGCGTGCAGGATGTCGTGCAGACGTGCACTATCAACTCCTTGCCCTCTGTGCCACTTCACCCATCCTTGCGATGGTCTCCACCGGCGGATCCCCCATACTTCTGCACTAAGATGTGCAACCCCTCGGAGGACCCGCTGGCCACTTACTCTATTCGTCCAATTATGGCCAAAAAGGAGTGTTAGATTTGCTTGTACAGTCAGATATCTACCAGGGAAGGTATTGGTCGCAGCTGTAGGACATCTTCAGCAAACCTTGTCACATTCTTGCCGTTGGCTTTTATTGGGATAAGAAAATTAAGCTCGATTTTTTTTTGCACTTTCGCCTGCATGACGTGTTCAGCTTTTACTAAATAAATGGACGTGTTCATCTTTGTCTTAGTAACGTGATTTGTAACAGCGTTTACTTCAGAGGATTTGAGGAACTAATTATGAACGTATTTCTTATTTAGTGTGTTCTAATTGTCTCGTATCGAGCGAGCTGTTGTGGGGACTGCGACTCTGGGAAGCAAAGATCCAACCCATCGACTGTGGCCTCACGCACGACCTGATCGAGACAAGTGCTCAGTGGTTGATTAGTTACAATAAGGAATTTTCACGTACCTCTACAATATGAATAAAACATTGACCTTTTATCCGCAGTTTTGTTCCTTGCCTTTAATATTTGGTTTTACAATTATTCGTTCGCTGCCACGCTTGCACGGAAGCACGTGAGATCACGCGTGCAATTTTTAGCTACGAAATTTTGCAATTTACAACTTACACGATTTAAAAGTTCTTCAGTGAAATACCAAAGATTTGATGGTGGAGAAGTAGTCGTTTAGCCATCACGGAGGGCAGGCATGGTTGCCATGAAGAGGTATTGAGCGTTGGTTCCAGTTTGCCTCTACAGTACTGTGCAATTATCTACATGGAGAACGCGTCAGGTTTCAATTGTTCATTTATAAATTCATTGATATTTACTGTCCACGTTCGAAGACGTTCATCATGTGGCTGAATATCAGCTGAATTTCTATCTAGCTTCACACAGAAGGTTAAAGAAGAATTCACTCGTCAATTCTTAGGTTCATTGAAAGTTGCTGGTTCAAGATAGCATGCAAGCTCCACACAACATAGGATAATTGTTAATTTTGGTGAACACACAGCGGGACGTAGCAACCTAATCTGACTAACTGTAACCCGCTAATCAATAACGTAATTAGCTGTAAACCGATTAACAGCAACTCAAAACTTGATGCTTGTTTTTACATTCAAGTTGACAGGAGCAGTTAGCGTCCCACTGCAAGTCATAACTGTCAAGGGGGCGGCGTCTACAGCCGGGGGCACCAGTGCTAGGGGCCGAACTGACGAAAAAATTTGAAACTTCGTAATTCGGTTAGCCGATCGCTGGCGGGGTTTTGCGCTCACTAATGATGAGGCAAACTTGTGAGCGTTGGATGTATCATTGACGCTCAGGACGGGAAAAAATGACAAATTTTTCTCTTGCCGGTTACCCAAAAGTGACAGCCGCTGCCTCCTCTTCAGTAATGTCGCGAACACGTCGTGTGGTCACGTCACGAACACGTCGTGTAGATCACGTCACGAACATGTGTAGGTCACGTCACTAACACGTCGTGTAGGACACGTTACAAACAAAATACGGTATATCACTTAATTCGAGGCTAACTCATAACTAACATGTTTCGACGTACTCATTGACCCCAATTAAATAAAGAACGCAATATTACAAAGAACAAATAAATAACTAGACAAGCCAGCATTGTTGCAACGGCTCACGATGAGAATTCAGCAAACTGAGGTTCTTTCGCTGGCCGAACTGAGGGCATCAGCTGATCTAACTGAGAGCATTCAGCCGGGCCAACGGAGGGCATCAGCTGGCCCAATGAACAGTACTGATGGACTGGCCCCCGGGACCTTGGCGGTGAGGACTTGCCTGCCGACGCTAAGAGCGGCTGTTTACAGAGATAGGGCCACAGCGTGGCCTGGGACTTCAGGTGTAACGTCCGAGCCACCACAGTTACCATACACGCTGCCACGCTTGCACGGAAGCACGTGAGACCACACGTGCAATTTTTAGCTACGAAATTTTGCAAGCGTGCGGTCTTAACCCTATACCGCCTGACATGAGTAACCGGAGCAATATTGTCACAAGCCTATTTCCCAAAAAAGGATACGTTCTAGTGAGCGCAAAATGACTTGCACTGATGGTTGCCGCCACGTACGACCACTTTAAAATGTTAAACGTCTTCAGGTTGCTACACTCAATATACTACACACACGTCGTATTTTACTCTCTGAGAGTGACATACGGCGGTAGAGGGTTAAGAAAGACGCGATGTTTCTAGGAGATCAGTTAAGACAGGGATAGGTCCTAATACAGTTAACTATAAACGATTACTTGCTACATTCGTTCAGCAACGCGGACAGTTAGCTTCACCAGTTGTGCGAAAAAACAAAACCCGTCACTCACCAAATCTCGCGTACTCATCGGATATTAAAATTGCGTGCAACACTCACTTAACTTAGTTTAGAGGCTCTTGCAACCGCAGCAACCAGGACACAACCGCTGCGACCCGGACACAACCGCAGCGACCAGGACACAACCGCAGCGACCAGGACACAACTGAAGCTACCAGGACACAACCGCAGCGACCAGGACACAACCGCAGCGACCAGGACACAACCGCAGCGACCAGGACACAGCGACTATAGCACCGAGCAGTTGCCGGCACTCACAATACTGATATCTCAAGTTTAAAGATAAAGATTTGCGTAGAAAAATAGCCTTGTGCTAGGAACGAGATTTAAGCCTAGAAAGCACCTCACCCACCTAAAACTAAATATCACGGAGCTGCCTAGACATCTCAGTCGTATCACTAGTCTGCCTAGCGTTATTATAACTAGTTTTCATCTAGTCTAGCTGCATCAAGGCATCGCAGTAACATCACAAGAAAGCGTACCAAAATGTAAAAGACTACATAAATTCGAGGCGTCGTCTCAGGGATCCTTAGGAACTTGGCTTGGTATGTAGAGCGAGGGTAGTGAAGGGGTAATGTGATGGATAATTACCCTTGGCAGGCAAGGGTAATGGGTTGACTGGTCAGTCGAGGGCAACGCACTGTGAGCAGAAACCGTCGAAGATTTCATTACCGAAGAAGTCACAGCCTTCCCTCCGGCACACGCGGGGGGGCGCAGCTCCTTTCAAATCTACTCTAGCCTTCCGATCAACGGGCCTGGGGGGCTTCTTGCTGTTATTATTATTATTATTGTAGTTATTATTATCATTGGTAGTGGTGAGGGCGACATTGATGTTGCTGTTAGTGCGGTCACTCGGGCTGTTGGACCGACGACGGCTTTGGTCTCGCTTGGGGGGCCGTGGTTTGTTGCCTCCCGCAGGGGGCAGCGTCCGGGCCGCTGGGCCAGGGCCTTTTTTGTCATTAGGCCCCCCGGGGTCGGGATTGCCGTCGTTATAGAAAGTTGACTTCGATAAGAAGAGAGCGGACGGTTGGGACAAAGAAGGAGACCGCGAAGTAGGTAAAGGGGCAGCGTCGGGGCTGAGGTTTGCATTGAAACGGGACCTTCCCACCCCGTGTCGGGGACCATCGAGAGACAAGGGACGTGCCGGCGTCCTAGGCAAAGGTTTATCAGGAGGTTCCTCGCCAGGAGACACGTGAGTCTCCTCCATTGAGGAGGAGGGGGACTCATCGCTACGTTTCCCTCTGTCCAGCGCCAACTCCCCGTCTTTCTGTTTGGAGTAACAATCCTTGCAAAGGTAAGAGGTTCTGGCGGAGCCAAACTTCCCGCACCCAGCGTTGACACAGGGGGATTTCTCCTCCTCCCCCTCCCCCAGGGGGACTTCTGGGCCCACGTCCAGTCTGGGGACGCGTGAGTCCCCGTCAATCGCCGAGGGTTTCGTCTCTTGTTCATTCTTTTTCTTGTTCTCCTGGAGCTCCTGGAAGCGGCGCCTGGCGTTGGCCAAGTAGTTGTTAACCATCTTCTCCTGGAAGGCCATGCGCTTCTCGGTGTGGATGGCTGCGCCTAAAATGAAGTTCTGGGACCCATGCGGCCTTCTCGAGGACGCCCTTCGTCTGAGGGACCGTGTCCTCTTAGCAACATCGGACTCCTCTTTCTTCCTGAAGGAGCTGGGACGCCCCATCTTTTTGAGGCTCTTGAACTTCTTGGAAACGCTGCGGCCCAGCGTGCCCAGCTTCGAGCTGTGCCTGGGACAGGGTCTTGGCACCGTCAGGTGTCCTGACGAGGGGTCCACCGTCCCCCCCGACGGGGGGTCGCAGGTGCAAGAGGTGTCATCGCTGTCGCCGCTCGACTCTGAGGATTTAGAGAGGGCTGCTGACCCCCCCGCGGAGGGTTCGTACTCGAACTCCTGGTAGTCGCTGAAGTCTCGTGAGATGGGCACCTGAGGAAGAGGGGACATTCAGGGGGGGATTTGACGAGAGTGGCACAGAGGGGGACAAACTTTCTTTGAGGGAGCGTAACCCCTACTACCGCCACACCCCCTCACATGGCACCTCAACGTGCCACCCGCTTGGTAGTACACGTGCCCTACACCGTCCCCTCACGTGCCTCCCCTGCACCGTCCCCTTACATGCCTCCCCTGCACCGTCCCCTCACATGCCTCCCCTACACCGTCCCCTCACATGCCTCCCCTACACCGTCCCCTCACATGCCTCCTCTACACCGTCCCCTCACATGCCTCCCCTATACCGTCCCCTCACATGCCTCCCTCACGTGCCCCTCACCTCGACGACGTGCAGGTAGGACTTGAGGAGGTGCAGCTTGCGGTGGTACGAGAGGGGCTCGATGGGAGGGTCGGGGTCGGCGTTGGGGGTCCAGGCCTCCCCGGGGTCCACGGCGAAGTGCAGCGGCAGCAGCGCGTGCTGCCGCGTCGTCAGGGGGATTACGGCTGCGGGGGGAGGGGCGTAAGTGGGGATTATGGCTGCGGGGGGAGGGGATAAGGGGGATTACGGTGGCGGTTTGGTGTATCAGGCTCTAGTATTATAAACTATATATTATGCACTATATATATGCTACACTATTCACTATATATACAGGGGTTGGAGAAAATAAGGGAAACGCCAGGCATTTTGATATCGTAATTTTTGAACATGTTATAAACAGTGAAAACATATTTTCATGTTTACTCTTGCTGCTAATTGATATTTTATCATTGCACAGATATTTTATTGATTTTTTCTATAACCTAACCTATAAATGGCCAACCTCTCTGACTTTCAAAGAGGCCAAATTGTTGGTGCCCATATGGCAGGTGCTAGTGTGACAGAAACTTCCCAAGTGCTTAACGTTTCTAGAGGTAGTCTCTATAGTAATGACTGCTTTTGAAAGAGAAGGAAAACGTCCTCAGAAAAGCCCAGGTCTGGCCGTAAGTCGAAGTTGTGTGAGAGAGACCAGACCGTCGGTACCTAAATCTGATTGTGAGGGACAATTGGAAGACCGTGGCTGTTGAAATTACTGCAGACCTCAATGGACACTTACAGAACCTTGTTTCCATATATCACCCACCAGGCGGGGCAGCATCACCCACCAGGCGGGGCGGCATCACCCACCAGGCGGGGCAGCATCACCCACCAGGCGGGGCAGCATCACCCACCAGGCGGGGCGGTATCACCCACCAGGTGGGGCGGCGTCCCCAGGCTCGTCCATGGCGACGAGAGCGGAGAAGTGGGCGGCGTCGTAGGTGAGCAGGAGTGGGCAGGCCTGGCACTCCGAGGGTGGGTGCTGCAGGGGGAGGTACACCCCACCGAAGGGGATGGGGGAGAGTGGGGCGCCGTGCACGTCCTGTGGGGGAATAGAAACGTCGGTGCTTACTACCACCACCACCATCACTCTGACGTAAGCACTCACCACCACGGCTAATATGGAATAAAGGCCAGAATTTTTACAAAATTGCGGGCATAGAATAAAATTATATAAAAAGGAATAAGCCCTGCAACCAACGCCCAGCCTCATCATACAATACCTACTCTCAGCTACAGAATTAGAAGTTCTAAGCAGACTACGCTGGAGCCCTGCAATTCAGACGAATGTAACACTGCCTAAAGATAATAACGCTGTAGGTGTCCACCCAACACTTAAACATGCTCGCTCATAATAGCAGGCAGTTCTGTATCCGGGCTCACCTACTCTGGCCTAACCTATTTACGCTGCCCAGACAAACGACTTTCTTGCAATCATTGACCGCTTTACCAGCTCACTGCCCCGCCTCTCTAACTTCCAGTAGCCAATGAGTTTAGGTTATGTCCGCTCAGATTTGTTGTGGACGGAAAAATGTTGATACTTGTGTAGGTAAGGTGCCACCAGCTTAGTACAGTACATGTTGGGGTTCTACTGCTGTGAGAGGGTTGTTGGACCCCAAAGGGGTGAAGGAGCTGGCGCTGTCGCTGCCCAGACCACTGTCACCGGTGTCAGGAATATCGTTGTTGTCAGCTTCCAGAATAATGCAGAATAATCATGCTTACCTAACTAACTCCTCCCACACACCTTGAGCGTGGTGTCGGCCACGACGATGATGGGGCGGCGCAGGACGTGCGCTAGGGCGAAGATATGCACCTCCTCCAGGCTCTCGTACACCGCCCCGCCTCCGCCGCCCTCGCCGTTCCTGAGGACCAACAAGAGATAACTCACGGCTTCCCACCTGGCGTGAACAAGGATTGTTATCTCGACAAAAGCAACGCTAACACATACAAGGTGATCATCACACGATAACGCTTATTGCATCTACCCGCTGCGACTCGAGGGAGATGTGCGACCACCCAGCGGGGGTTGGGGTGATTGGGGTGAGCCCTCAGGGGGACTCGAAGTGGTGTTGCTGGGGGGGTCCGTGGGGGGCGGTGGTGGTGGGTCGGTGTTGCGGGGGGCGGTGCTCGCGAGTCGCAGTACATTAGCCCACTCGTTGGCCCACTCTGCCTCACTGTACACCAAACCTGCGAGTTGAGGGGTTTGAGTGGAAGGTAAGAGAGCGGAGACAATGAGCTGAGGGGCGAGGATGCAATGAGCAAGTGGGCAGAGACACAAAGAGCTAGTGGGTGGAGACTATTAGAGCAAGTGAGCGGGACACAGAGCTAGTGGGCGGTGACACAGAGAGCTAGTGGGCGGAGACATTATGCGATATTGGGCGGGACACAAAGAGCTAGTGGGCGGAGACACAAAGAGCTAGTGGGTGGAGACTATAAGAGCTAGTGGGCGGGACACAAAGAGCTAATGGGGGGAGACACAAAGATCTAGTAGGTGGAGACTATAAGAGCTAGTGGGCGAAGACACAAAGAGCCAGTGGGCGGAGACATCAAGAGGTAATGGGCGGGACACAAAGAGCTAGTGGGCGGAGACACAAAGAGCTAGTGGGTAGAGACCTTAAGAGATAGTGGGCGGGACACAAAGAGCTAGTGGGCGGAACACAAAGAGCTAGAGGGCGAGACACAAAGAGCTAGAGGGCGAGACACAAAGAGCTAGAGGGCGGGGCACAAAGAGCTAGAGGGCGGGACACAAAGAGCTAGAGGACGGGACACAAAGAGCCAGTGGGCGGGACACAAAGAGCTAGTGGGCGGGATACAAAGAGCTAGAGGGCGGGACACAAAGAGCTAGAGGACGGGACACAAAGAGCCAGTGGGCGGGACACAAAGAGCTAGTGGGCGGGATACAAAGAGCTAGTGGGCGGGACACAAAGAGCTAGTGGGCGGGACACAGAGCTAGTGGGTGGAGACATCAAGATAAAGTGGGCGGGACACAAAAAGCTAGTGGGCGGGACACAATGCTGTGTTGCGGCAGTGGGAGGAGTCAGAGTAAGCAGTGATGAGGGGGTGGAGACATTGACAGGCAGAGTGTGGAGACAGTGATGGGGGGGGGCGGTGACATTGCTAGGCAAAACGAGGAGTCAGAATAGGCATTAGGCGGGGTGAGGCAGTTACCGGTGTCGGAGTTGGCACGTGCCGTGTGGTAGCGCCAGCGTCGCCACAGCGCCGTGGCGTAAGGCGATACAGTCATGAAGGCATGCAGCGCAGACCGCAGGGACAGCAGACGGTCGTGGAACCCCCACATGCCTGCAGGTTAACAAGGGGTCAGGGCCGGATTGGGACGTGGACGTATGTTAAGAGACGTGATTAATGCGGCAACTTGAGTACCGAGCTGTCGACCTCTGTAGAACCAGACAACGTACCCAGGGACGCGGCGTGCAGTAGGCAGTTGCCATCCCCCGTGGTGGCGAGAGGCCACAGGCGCCGGCAGGGGCCCCACCACCAGTTGAGGCGCCCACAGCTCTCGAGCGCGTGCAACGTCGATACCTCCACCAGGTCACGCTCCACGAACCAACGGAAGTTCGCTGCGGGGTTGGTCATAATGGCTTGAGGTAATGGAGAGATAACGGGGAGTGGGCAACTAATGAAAATTTAGCGATAATGTTAAGTGATGAAGACACTAATGCCTCTAATAATACTCACGCTCGTAGACAGAGAGGTCGGGCAGCATGAAGCTGTGGAGCGGTGCATCGACGGCGCCTCCCGCCACGCTACTGCCGTCCAGGGCGTCCCACAGGCCCTGAGTGGTACACAGTATACACTGATACAGCGCTCTGAGTAGTTCAGTATACAGGGTCCTTTGTAGTTCAGTATACAATATACATCTAACAGGTCCTTTAAAGGTGGATTTGGAGTAGATTAAGACTCAGCCGCTTGAACGTCACCTCCCCCCCTTTTAAACAAACACGTCAACTCCCCTCTCACCTGGGTGAGCTCGTTCCTGGCCCTGCAGACGACGGGGGCGTTTTGAGGAGCCTTGGAGATTCCACGGTGCAGCGAGCGACCTGCGGGTAATCGTCACATCACATAACTATCACTCCATCACCACCACACAGACGTACAACACTATATCTCTACCACACAACTATTTTTCTACTGTTTCGGACCTTGCAGTCCAAGGCTACGCTGGAGCGCTGCCTCAGTATCCCTTCTCTTCTGCAGTGAGGTGCATCAACCTCTCCCATTAGCCCATATCTCCAATCCCATTGACCTTCGGCCTAAAGGTTCGCTGAACCGCTTTAAACAGCCGCGCTGCATCAAACATGAACGGTATTTACAGTGGGGGGAAATAAATATTCGTACACTTGAAAAATCGTATTTTAATGTATGTAAGTACACAAACTTAACAGGAAAAGTGATTTAAATTATGTATAGAGACGCATAGTATTCAAAAATACTATCAAAAGAAATTAAATCTCAATGCAACAAAAAACAATGCAACATGTTCACTTTTCGGGGTGAAAAAAGTGTTGCATTGTTTTTTGTTGCATTGAGATTTAATTTCTTTTGATAGTATTTTTGAAAACTATGCGTCTCTATACATAATTTAAATCACTTTTCCTGTTAAGTTTGTGTACTTACATACATTAAAATACGATTTTTCAAGTGTACGAATATTTATTTCCCCCCACTGTATAGCTGGCAGCAGAACTCAAGTAGAGGAGAAGGATCACGAGGGCTCTGATGAGTGTGATAATCGGTTCCGCTTCTCTCGTTCTGAACGTCCGTGAGACACGCCTTATCTGTCGACTGCCTCTTGCATTCAATACCGTTAAGCGGTCATCAAACTTGCACTGGGTAGTGGGACTCCGACTCCTCTGCCAGCTCTGAATCTAAGAACCTCAAACTTGGTTCAGTTGAATTGCATGTTGTTCGCTTGGGCCCAGTCAAGTACTGCAAACAGAGGTCTTCTTGCAATCTCTCACCGTCCGTCCCGTTCGTTATAGTTCGCAAAAGGTCGATAGTTCACTCAACTTCCACCAAAGTACCATCACACCACCACAGCGCTACCATCATTCTACCAACCAACCACGATCACTTTACCATTTGACCATGTTACTTTGGAGTGCTTTATATATTTCCGCTCATCAGCGTTGGCATCTCCCTAATCCAATGCAATTGAACCACGATCAAGCGAACTTAGAGACAGGAGTTATGCACATGGCCTCTTCCTAACAAAATTTAGATCAGTATTTCAGCATGGCCATGTCTTACGACGAAATTGTTCGTTTCTGTGCGTGAGGTGCACATCCTGAAAGATGAGTAGCAGAGAATAGACCCTAGAACACTGGAGGTTTGAAATAAACCAAGCTTTTAGCTAGAGGTGACTAATCGGACCGTAATAAAACTATCATTTTCCCCGCACCAAAATGGAACATATACATTTTATTGACAATTTGATCATATAATACCAATATAAAAAGTAGCAATACTCACTGATGGCCGAAGAGTCGCGGCCCAGGTTCTCCTGTTGGGGTTCAACTGTGGTGGGAGGGTTGCTGGACACCATAGGGGTGAAGGAGCTGGCGCTGTCGCTGCCCAGTCCACTGTCGCCGGTGTCAGGAACATCGTCGTTGTTGTCAGCGTCCACTTCAGTTGTGAGGACGTCAGTTGGGTTGACAGCTTTGTTGCAGTCCGCGGGCGGATCTCTTGGTCGGTGATCCCGGTTTGTATTACGGGGATCCGAGCTTTCTGTGCGGGTGTCGGGATTCAGAGCTGACACGGGTCGAGCCCGAGGAGGGTCCTGAGGAGTCTTCGCCCTGCGAGGCGGGTGTGTCTCATGAGCAGCAAGCGAGAGGATGTATGGGTTCAAGGGTTGGCATGACTCGAGGTTGGTTAGAGGATCGCCTGAAACCGCAGTGGGGGGAGGCGTGTAAGGAATACGCACTTGACACCCCGGTATTTCTGGGGACGTAACCTCCTGGTCGTAACCTCTTTGTCGCGATTCACTAGACGAAACTTCTTGGTCGTAACCTCTTCGTGGCGTCCCCTTAGACGGATCTACCTGGTCGTAACCTCTTTGTCGCGACCCACTAGACGTAACCTCATGGTCGTAATCGTTATGTCGCGATCCACCAGATGTAATCTCGTGTTCGTAATCTCTTTGTCTTGAAGCACTAATAATAACTTCCCGATCGTGCCTCCCATGCCTGGTGGCGCTAATGGTCGCACGGGCTTCTTGTTCCGCCAGCTCCTCCAAAGACCGGCGGGAGCGCCCCGTGACGACGGGAGAAGCCGTTTGGACGCCTTGATTCTGAGTTTGGTAATGTCGGTGTCGGGTCTCGAGGGCAGCGTTGAAGCCGTCTACCAATGCCGCCACTTTAGACGACCGTCGGGGTGCATCGCCCACGATTTGGTTGCCGCCTCCTACAGGAGCAGAGTACGACTCACCAGGTCTAACGAAGCGCTCGTCTTCGTAGAAGGTGGGCTCATTTAACGCGATTTTGGAACCCCGCGTGCCCATCACGGGACTGGGGGACGATGAAGCACCAGAGGTGGGAGGAGACTGGGGTTTGCGTCCTCCCATCACTTTCTCTCGGAGGAGTGCGTTCTTGGCAGCGCTTGAAGCCCGCCTATTGAGGGGACTTTCACCCTCACGAACACTGATCACACTGCCTGAGCGTTCCATTTCCCCACGAGGCCATTTGTTGAGTTGTAGCGCCGACCCAGGGCGCAGGTCTCCACCAATTGGGGCTGTGTCGCCAAGTGTGGCCCGAACGGAGCTCAGTTTGGCCCGATAATCAGCGAGGATTTCAGGCTGGTAGACGGAGGCTGTTGACTGACTTAGGTATATTGACCCGCTCCTTGGGGGAAGTTGAGGACCGTCAGAAGTGCCTCGCTGGAGATAACCTTCCCCACCATTACGCAGGAAATAAGGAGAGGACGGCAGTTGGACATTGTAGGAGCGCTGAGGGTGGAGAGGGGCATGGGAAGGGACGGGTGGGGAAACCTGGAGTGCCTCTAGTCTCATGGTTTCTAGCAGTCGTGCGGACGTGGGGACGAGCAGAGAAGTGCCGCCATCCCTTACGAGCTTGTAGGCTCGACGAGGCGGTGGAGGAGGTGGCAGCACGTCCCCGGGGTTATCATGGGTAGGGTCGAAGAATTCCCCCATAGAAGTAGGTCGGTGGGAGTCAAGTCGACTGCGCCGTAACCCGTCGCTGCTGTCCACAGAGTCGCTCTTGCCATGGCTGATGACTAGACCGTTAAGGCCCTGCATGTCCCGACTACTGAGACCCTGGGAGTCCACCATGACACTCTGAAGGCCCCCTCCGACGAAGGCCCTGCTGTTGAGGTCATGAGGAAGGCCACGATTCAGAGACTCGTACGGGGGCTTGACGGGAACTGATCCTCTCAGCTGGGGTAGTGCCTTGCTGGGAAGGAGAGTTAGGGGGACAGGGTGGGGGGAAGTCAGCCCCCTCCTGGAAGACGTGACGGGGCGCAGGGTGAGCTTGTCGTACATCACGAGGTCACCGGGAACGCGCTCCAGTTGCTCACCTGGTCATACAAGACGAACTCAGAGTAGCACTGGCTGAGTGATAGATTCTAATGAGTGCCAGCACTGGTAGGCGCTTGCACCCGCAACATTCTAATGAGCGACAGCACCAGTAGGGCTGATGAGCGGGCTGGCACCCGCTAGACAATGGTATAGCTGTAGCATAGGTATATAGTTTAGCGGAGTCACTGTTTATTAGTCACCGTTAGATCTGTCGCCGCTTCTGTACACTGCAGAATATTCACAGCATGTTACAGTCTAAAACATGCAACTTACTGCTTCAATTGTGCGTTACTTAACCGCACGGCCTCCTCACCAATTTGACCAGAACAGTCGCAGGAGGCTGGGATCGAACCCATAGCTTGCTGCTCAAGTTTCGGTGCTCTGAACTGCCACTAATAGAATACTCTGCCTCACAATAATATTGATTCCATTTATTTCTTACAGAAAAGACAGCCATGCTCACCGTGATGCTTGGCCTGCCCGACGTTGGGCTGCCCGAACTCGGCTACCTTGGCTGCCTCCATCCTGTAGGGGCATTAGAGGCAATAGAGCATTAGGGGCAAGAGGGCTTTAGAGGCAAGAGGGCATTAGAGGCAAGAGGGCATTAGAGGCAAGAGGGCATTAGAGGCAAGAGGGCATTAGAGGCAAGAGGGCATTAGAGGCAAGAGGGCATTAGAGGCTAGAGAGCATTAGAGGCAAGAGGGCATTAGAGGCAAGAGGGCATTAGAGGCAAGAGGGCATTAGAGGCATGAGGGCATTAGAGGCAGGGCGATAGTGTATCTTGTCAAGGCAGTGCAAAGCAGTAAACATCTAAGTAACCATTGTATAATGTAAGGGACACACAGTTTTATGCTTGATTCTGCATATATATTTTTGCTGAAACTAGCTGAATGGAATGCTGGTAAACTACCAACACTTCACACTCTAGAGTTTAGAGGCTGTCATATTCACTTTTACATCAAGCAAGATTTCAATTTATTCAATATCCAATTGTCTGCGTGGCATTCAGCTAGAATATGTGCAGCTATTTCTGTTCTGGTAATCTTTCAGTCTTCTGATTGTCAAAGTAAGATATGTGTAAATATATTTTCATTTTTTTACTATTTACATTTCCCACATTTATTGTGATCTCCTTTAAGGTAAGTTGTGCTAACATATTTTATTCCTTGCCTGGTTGGCAGTGCCCTTCATATATCAGTTTGCATCTGTCCAGTTGCTGGTTACTGTCCCTAACACTGCACTCCCTCTAGTTACATAGGCATGTAACTAATGTAAACATTCATTTTCTTCCAGTTGTTTGTCGAGTACCTTTTTGCATATATATAATCATAATACCCACTCCATATGCATGCTTTGCAGCTCAGTACTCTTAGGTACACTTGCTCCTTCCCCAGAGCTGGCTTAGGATTTCACTGAAAGCTTACTGACGTTTTGATGCAACCTTCCTAAATGATGTTCTTGTTTATTTAATTACACACAAGTTTCAAGGCCCTAGCTCTTGTAATAAATCGGTCTGTAATATAAATCCCACTTGTGCAGAGGAAAATGTACTGTAATTACAATACAGCAAGATAACTGGTTAGGGCTGATGGGGATCATTTTTAAGGACTAGAGCATGAACCGCATCTTGTAGGTATTAAAGAACTTGCAGGATTAGAGGCACCACGTTTGCTTGCATTCTGTTCTTGTGTTTGAACTGGCAATAAAGACCAGCAATGAGACTCCACAAGTCAAACTGATGCACATTGTTTCTGAGTGCATAGGTTTTGCTCTCGTAACAGGTAGAATTTTCCTGCTGCAACCTGCAAGTGTTGTGTAATTTAATTATATTTTAAAAAGAGTATTCAACTTCACTAATGTTTACTTGTAACTTAATATACATTATTCTATTCCATTGAATTGTTGTTTATATATATGTAGGTACATGTGAGTTGTCTTAAAGTGCTTCACTTTGATCATCTGTCCACAAATGTTCAACTTTCACCAATTAATCACTTGGTACAAGGTGCTATTCACAAGGTGGAGGGGCCCAATGAGCAGGAAGTATGTAATGATATTCAGATTTTTGGATGTACATCAGCTTCCAAATCTATATCTTCAGAAGATCTTGCCAAGTCATTTCTCTTTAAATACGTACCTCTTAACATGTGTTTTTTGCTAGAAATCTTGAGGTTTAGGTGCTTCCGGTGATGAATTCTCAAAAAATATTGGCAAAATTTTGGGCCTAAAATCTGATGTTGGCAACACAAATGCCAGACTTACATATGGCACAACAAACTGTGCAGCCTGCATAGAGCCAGACTCTTAAGTGTGGCGCAACATAGGCTAAGCACCCCATATCTAATGTATTGCTTCAAAGATGTACGATTGAGGCAAATGGCAGTTGCTAATAATGTATCCCTGCAGATTTCATTTAATGATCAATATAGCCAAATGGCAAATGATCAAGATGGATTTGTCTCCCTTATGATTGCAGCTGGTGATGGATACCAATCAAAATTGGCAGCAGATATCAATCCATGTGGCATTGATTTATCAATAAATAGTTAGTGATTGGACATGAATGCCAATTGAGGGTCAAGATGGCTCAATGTATAGCTTGAGAAGATGCCAATATTAAATCCCATGCTGGCAATCTCATTTTTTTGCTAACTTGCATAGTATAGACCTTTTCATAAATGTATATATATTTGTATTCACATTTTATTACTTTTCTGTACTGGATCTCAAATGATTGTCTATTTTGTTTGTGGTTTACAAGTTTTTTTTTTTTTTTCCAAATGCTCCCAGATCAATTTGATTCTTATATAGTATCACACTCCGGCAAACATTTTCACATTGGCTTTCCTACACTGACTCACCTAATACCTCTGTTCTATATCACACTCCAACATTTGTATTCACACTGGCTTTGGTAAGGTACATTGAGTTGAATTATATATCTCTTAAAGGGGGGCATCTACCCTAAAGTCTTCAGATTTGGCTTTTCCAGTTTTTAGTCTTACCTTAAAGCTGACATTCTGCCCTATCCAACATTACCATTACCATCTCTGTACGTTGATTTATGCATTCACGACAGATCATGAAAGGGAGGGGGGTGGGGGAGTTCTTTAACAAATAGAATAGGAGGAAATTTGCTGCGGGCACTTTAAATAGAGTGTCTGCAGTGCACCTTAGTTTCCTGCCCAGCATCATATGAGGAGGTGTGCATGCAGTTGCTCCCACCATCCTTGACTGGAATCAAGCTCCAGTAACGATTAGTTTTGTATCAAGCTCCAGTAAAGATTAGTTTTGTATGGGCACGTGACTTTGTTGCACTCTCCTGAACATTCACACTCATTGTCATGGCAAACCTATCTGATCCTAAAGTTTTGAAGCTACAGCAATGAGACATATACCATTTGATTTGTAAAGACCATACCTATCGAGTAACGAAGCCTTTTTTTTCAGATTTGTGCATAGTTTGGATTCAAAATGGGGGGAGGGGGGAAAATCTGAAGACAATGAGAAAAACAGGAAAATGTGTGTAAAAAAAATATGGCAAAAATAAAAAATTGGCTTCATTACTCAATTGGCATGGTCTTTTCAAATCAAATGGTATATCTTTCAATGCTATAGCTTGAAAACTGTACGAGGAGATAGATTTTTCAAAGTACCTCCTTTTTTGTCCGTTTTCTATTTTCACATTTTCCAAAATTTCCAAAAAAATTTCCAAGATTTTGCCAAAAAATCGTACTAACAAAATCTGCTTGTATTTTGATTTTACATATATGTGTGAAGTTTCAGAAAGATCAGTTAGTAAATGTGGAAGTTTTTCTGGAAGGTAGATGCCCTCCTTAACTAGAAATTTCAAAGAAAATAAAATCTTTACAGAATTTCATCGTATCTTCATCACTGACAATGGAGCTGGACACCAAAATTTTTTCTATGAAGATCTGATGAACTTCAGTAGAATTTTCTTTGCTTAACCAAAATTAAAACCAAAATTTGCAAATAAAAAACAAAGCACAGGAAAAAACAAAAACAAAACTGACATATATATTTACAATATCAAGTGAATATGATCTAAAAGCTGAATTCAAACTGGGACTCTGCATAAAAATCTAAAAGGGTTCTAAATACACAAATCAGGAGTACCAAAAAAGGAAGCAAATACCTTAACCCATTAACACAAATAATTCTTTGGAGAGTACCCTATTAAAATTGTTTTCTAATTCTAAGAATTTATTTAGATATCCCATAACAAATTTTGAAGAAAAAATTACAACTTTTTTATTAAAATACAGACTGGCAAGTATGCTGTACTTGCCACCTAGCCATAACAAAATGCATGGCAAAAATAAGAGTACAGGTAGATAAAGGAGAAATCTTAAGTACTTGAATAGATAACCCAATGAAATCTCTGCCTTTGTTGTCCACTTTAAGCACGTTTTTTTGTGAAAGGTATTCATACACACTAAGTGCACAGGAATGTTGCACATGCAGAAACAATAAATGATATGAGCATCACATTTAAGGCATCTGATGTACAGACACCAGCCTTTATATGTCCAATGATGCTAACTGCCATACCAAATTGTATTCACAAAAGACATTCAAACTGGGCTTGTGCTGCTCCTTTAAACCAAACCACTGGAAACTGCTCCTCTAAATTTGCAGTGGTTTGGTTTCAACTGTTACTCAGGTGCATTGCTAAAATCCCGTACTAGATTTTCTACCTTGATTATTCTATATGCAACCTAACAGACAACCTTTATTAGTTTTTAAGATTCAAGGCAAATTGATTTTGAGGTTGAATTAGAAACGACTTTGAGCTGATAGTGAACAAATTCTTGTTTGAAGGGGCTCTGGATTGCAAATAATTTCATCATCAGATGCAATATTGTTATGATCTGTTACAGCTTTAGGAGTTTCTTTTCTTCTGCAAGGCTCTTTTGCTACTCAGACATTGCTCTAGTCTTCTGCTTTTTCTTTCAACAGGAAGAAGTCATGAATTACATCAAGTGACAACTTGAACCTAAAGATGCAAGTTAAAATTAGTTGCTACTAATCTTCAAGTGGTATAATGAAAAAAAAAATCAATTCCAGAAATTTATATCAGAGTGACAAGTACCTACACTTGCCACATATGTGTGTCACAATATTCCAAAAGTTGTGGTCTTATGGTGCAGCTTCTTCTGAATTTTCCCCCTAGTGCTGATTTTCATAATTGTGGCACATTACGGTACTAATCATTTCATTTATCTTCGCAAGTCAGTAATTATGCTCATACCTCAACTATAAAGTGGGATAAAGATAAAACCACCCATGGATTTGCCAAAAATGCTCATAAATAAGGCTAATTTCACCAGTTCCTATGGCTCTTTTTTAATTTCTTCAATGAAAAATAAAAAAATGGCCTATATCATATATAGTCAGATGGGGTAAGACAGGACCAAAATCACTAACAGGCATGTAGCATCTATACCATGAATAACTAAAAATTCCTAAACTTATCACAAGGTGTGGTTATGCAATGGGCTTCA